TTGTCACTTGATGCATTTTGTGATTTCCAAGAATGTAGACCAAAAAGTAGTTCTAATTGGCTAAGAATCATCAAACTTTGTCAGGTGATGCAACTTGGGTCTTTAATAGGATACTTAGGGTTAGAGGCTTCAAATACAAGTGATAGGTTGTACAATTTATCAGAAGAGCGATTCAAGGCCCTTGGGCCTCTTGTTGACCTTGACCTTTTATTTGACCTTGACCTTTCCCTTTACTTTACTCATCTTTAATTTGTGTTTAGATCAGTTTTAAAGATACCATTCAAGATATTTTTATCAAACTTCATATGCTGTTACATACTGATGAGATCAATATTCAACTGCATCGACATTTTTGACCTTGACCTCTGACCTCACTTTTCCTAATTAAGTGTAAAATTCATATTCTGATACATATTGGTGTAAGCAATTCAACTGCATTAACATTATTCACCTTGACCTTTTATTTGACCTTTACCTCACTTTTATCAAATTGTGTTTAAGTCAGTTTTAATTCAAGAAATCATTCATGATATTTTTATCAAACTAAGTATGCTGATACACACCAAAGAGAAATATGCAACTGCACCAACATTTTTGACCTTGACCTTTCCTTTGACCTTGACCTCACTTTTCTTAAATCATTGCCAAACTTTATGTGATGATACATACTGATGTAAGCAATTCAACTGTATTAACATTTTAGACGTTAACCTTTCATTTGACCTTGACCTCACTGTTATCAAATTGTTTTTAAGTCTGTTGTAAAGAAACCATTTATAATATATTCATATGCTGAAACATACTGATGAGAGCTTTTTAACTGCATCAACATTTTTTGACCTTGGCATTTCCTTTGACATTGACCTCATTTTTAGGAAATTGGTGTCAAACTTCATATGCTGATGTATAAAGATGTAAGCAATTCAATTGAATCACTATTCAAGATATTCTGATCATATTTCTTACACTAATAATCAGAAGCCTGGAAGGCTTCAATGGCGTCGAAAAAGAAAAACAATTTCAAAAGATGTGAAGATAGGTCAAGTGAGTGACTCTGGTAACATAATAATAAAATATTTAATACAGTTACAGTGAAGGGCCTCATGTCCTGGTCTGAATGATTAGCAGAAATGTTCATGCTCAATATCAAACTATTTTATAATTTCTTTTCAGTCAATCGAAGACATATGAAGGGTTACATAAATTCATATATTATTTTTTCTAATTGCCATTGTCAGAGCGTTGTTCTACAGTGTAGTGATTGCATTTAAACCATGACTCTAAATGTTACAAGTATGATTGAGTTACGATAGGGCGCGGTAAACAAATAGAGGAAATGGATAAATATATAACAGTAATACTACAGAGGCCTGTTCAGCAGAGCGAACGTTCGCGAGCGATCGCCAAAATTAATATTGGAAATATAAGGAATTTTGGCGTGCGCTCGCGAATTCGCTCTGCTGAACAGGCCTCTGGTCAATATCAGCGGTTGTTCGGATAAAGTTGGATTTAAGATTGTTAAAGTAAAGCTAAGATTAAGAAATTCAATCTTTATAATCTTATAGTATTCGTGTTTATTTTGTAATTATTTTACAGTCTTGAAGGTTGTTTGTATTACAGTAATCAGTCCCAAAATGTCATTCATGTCAATGTCACCCTCTCTGTACTCTGTAGAAATTCATCCACAACAACCATAACATTTTTCTTGCGTAAAAATTAAACACAATATCGTTGTTTTGTAGTAGATTTAATGGACACAATTTGATGTAATTTTATATTCAAGCTATTATTCATTGTGAGCGTTTTCAAAGAAATTGGTTTATAGCTGTTGCTATTTTCTATTGCGGATGCATATGCAGCCACCGACACATTCGGTCGCGTAAATCTGACCGATCACTAGATGACGCTCGAGCTTCGCTCGACGCCATAAAAATGTTCATGTTGCATTACTAATATACCCTCGGCGGGGCATTTATGTCCTATGGACATATTTCTCGTTAGAATATAGATCACAGTTAAAGCCACAAGGTCACTGACCTTGGTGTCATTTAAAAGAACTTAATTAGTGGAGAATGCACACCAAATATGAAGTCTCTGTCTCCTATGGTTCAAAAGTTATGGGAAGGTTCAAAAAGACTATTTTTAGCTTATAGGTAACAGTCAAGGTAACAAGGTCATTGGCCTTGGTGTCATTTGGAAGAGTAATCAGTAGAGTATGCATACCAAATATGAAGTTTCTGTCTCTCATGGTTCAAAAGTTATGGCGAAGGTTAAAGTTGACAACAGACAGAAAGACAAACAGACGGACAGGACAAACACAATATGCGCCCCCATCTATCGATCCGGGCGCAAAAAATCGTAAAAATAGTAAGAGCTACAGATTCATCAGACTCGAGAAACACTGGGCTACTGAGTAATCATGGTACTGTAAATCACTTTTTATTCACGAGAACTTAATTTTCGCGTAATTACGTGAGACAATGCGTTCGCGAAAATTTAATTCTCGCGTATAAAAGTATTCCTTACGTTTGTATAGAGGAATAACAACTATTCGTGAAAATTATGTCTCGCTTACAAAGAGTCAATGACAATCTTGCGAAAATAAGGTGTCGTGAAAATTTAGTGATCTACAGTAATTAAGTTGAAACTTGTGTGAAAGCTTCCTAAGGTAGATTATGTTTTATTGGACTGTTTGTTTGTTGCCTGTGGTCACGGCGTCACGGCGTCAGGCTGTATAAGGATTGATATTTGCAAGATCCGAAACTAATAGATCATACCTAGAGAGCTAGATTTTGTACAAGCTGATTTACACTGGAAATCTTTACCTGCATTTTAAAAGAAACAGTTTTCAGAAAAAAGAATGATATTACTGATGCAAAATACTTAAGTGTTTACTTCCTTAATCTTTTTGCATGGAACAATTATTTCATGTGATTCGCCGTTTCAACATGTCCGTGTGTCCTTTTTTCTGCATTTCTAGACTACTGGATCAGTCCATTTATATTCTACGAAAGGGGTGAATCGCTCTTTTTGCGCCATATGTCAGTTAGTAAGCTCGTGACGTTTCCTTGGATTGTTCTATTGTGTGAATGGGTGTGCTAACTTTTATGGAATTAAATAAAGTTTGTCCTTTTAACCTCCTTTTAATACTTCAGAAATTCTATCTATAAATTTTATCTCAAAAACATATTGTATATATCAGTATATGAACAAGCAACACTAAATAATTGATTTTTTAGACGGGCTCACGTGACCCCGTCTATTAGTTTACTGTCAAAGCCCTCAAAACGTAAGCCGTGGTGATAACGCTCGGAACTACTCGGATGTCTCGCGCACTCGACAATAACCTCGGACGTAATACGATGGCATCCATTAAGGACTACTTTCAACCTCGTTTTAAAAATGGTTGGAAACATGTTTGAATGGAGCGAAGCGGAGTCAGCCGAGGATTGCCGATTGTGGTGATAACACATGAAGTAAATCTACGCTATATCAAAGAGTGCAGAAGTAGTTTTGATAAAAATATAAACATTCTGTATGAAACTGAAGGAAGTGATATAAACTTTCTAAATCAAATTATTGAAGCATTCTGTAAATGTAAACTCAAAATATTAATTGTAAACTCAAAATATTAATTGTAAAACACACTAGTAAACAAAGTACTCTTCTGCGTACGCATCATCCATTGCTTATTTCTAATTTGTTTCCCGATCCCGCAGTTGGACTAGTCCAGTAATACACAACACAGTTCAACAAGTCATGGTCTCCAGATGCATGAACATTTGTATCCCCGTTTCAGATGCACACAATAGATAAGAAACCAGTACAAAATCTTAGATTTTTCTTTCCACAAAGGCCTAAATATTGAATTTTCTTATTTCATTCTCAATATATGCATTAAAGTGGCACAACCCCCCTTCCTTTTTAAGAGAAAAAAATGAATAAACACATTGTTACTGTTTACTTCAGTGGAATAACTGACAAAATGTGTATTTTTAATTATATACATCTTTTAAAATTTCACAATGCATGAATTCATTACAGATATTATTGATATTATATATACATGTAATAATAGGTGTAATGTACAGTGTAGCTTTCAATTTACATCCAAGGGCAGAACACTCCAATTGCAGACCCCCCCCCCCCCCAACAGAATATATAACAACTCTTTAGTATGCAGTGTAGAGATTATTTTTTTGTAACAGTAAGTAAAATAAAATCAAGGATTTCATTAACACAAGGTTTTCAAAATATAAAGTAAGGACATATTTTAAACCCACAAAAGTATTACTCAAAAGGTTTATCACTCCTCATGCTGATATTTATGGATTTAGTCAGGCAAGCTTTTTAAAAAGCTGTTAGTTGTTACTTTTGGTATTGAAAAGTACAGGCAAGTAAATAAATCTTAGATAACTATATGCATCGTCATGGAGTACTAGATTATCTGTTGGTCTCTGTTCATCCTATAATTCTGTTGCTTTTGGGCAACATACATGTATCCTCGTCCATTAGTTTGTATTTGGTTTATTTTATTCCTTTGTGGGTCCTTAACCGTACTTTATTATACTCTGATGACCGTTAAGACCCTTGAGTTTTTTTTAAGAGTTTGAGGCACCAGATAAAGATTTAAAACATCATGTCTCACGAGTAAAATAATTTCCATTTTCAACTAAACATTTCATTTTATGGTTATTACTTTTTCTTTGTTTTTTTTTTTCTAACTCTTTTTCCTAATTAGCCATTTTTGCGTAATGGAGTGATGTGGTAGATAGGCAGCTGTGGTCAGTTTGAACATGGCTCTTCCTGGTCATCTTACCCTGCATGGAAAACTGTGTAGAATGTAATTAGTTAGGTTTTGACCTCAAATTGTCCTCAGCTTGCATTAATTAAGCTTAGGAATTTGGAATCAATAGACCCCTTTTTATAGATAGTAGTATCTTTATTGGCGTATACATTGCATATATTGCCACATATAACATTACTTTATATACATGTACATACATTGGTTAAAAGGTGTTGCACAGGTACTATTACAAATATGTAGAAAACTAAAAGAAAAAAAAAGTAGCAATGCAGGTGTCTTTTGTACTATTAATGCTGCTGAATGGTAGCGTTTTCCCTCTTTTTAAAAATTCAAACACATTTCCCAAGTATTTTAAGAAGAATTGGAATTAAGTAATTCAATAAATTTTGCCATACTAGGTCACCGTCTTACATAATAATATTTTTTAATATATTTTTACACATCTTTCGACTATGTGCCTCACCTAGTCTTGGCATTAATTTTTCTTATTTTGCAGATTTACACAAATATTATTGAGGTTTATATCTTTCACACAAATATTTCATAAGAACATTTAATGGTGCAGGAAACTTTTGATCCAGAATTGTGATGTTCATGATTTGTACATCTATAATAATTTATTTCACAAACATTACATCCATTCTTCCGGAAGCATTATAATAAAACTTAAAATTTACTGTTTTACTTTCCTAACAATTTGTGTAACGTTTATTGATTCAAGCCGTGGACAAGACACAGTAATTATTTTAATAAAAATCCTCTGCCTACAGCGTCACTTTCTTCCAGTGTAAATGTAGAATTTCCACAGAAATAACCTTGACCTTTCACCTCAGTGACCACGGCCTTGTGATTTCCACAGCTGACCTCCTTGGCGACTTTTGCCGTGAATACTTCACCAGAAGGTCCACGAAATGTCCTGGGCTGACCAAGCTTGATTTTATTTTTATAGTATTGAAGAGCGATTCTAGCAGATGTCCCTGACCCACACGGAGATCTATCTACCTGGAAAATTGACCAAAAAATCGTGGTTAAGAGGAATTAAAGTTAGTGCGTTAAAAAAGAAATTGAATCAGAATACTAGTATGAGAATTTTCACTACTAATGATAATGGCAAGATGATCTCCCCTTTTTAAAATTGTTACTGAGATTTTCCATCCCTTTGATTTATTAACCGATCTGGTGCATTATTTTCAACGTCGATTGTTTAATACAAATCTAACATATAACGTTTATGCATCAGTTTAAATATTTATCTTCTTGAAATTACATGCTTAGGATATCAACTGAATATAAAAATTATTTGGGCCAAGGAAAGGTGTAAACTAAATGGAATTTTATGGTGACCAGTGTCTAATCCACAGAACGCGATACTAACCGCTCTCTCAGCATACACACACATAGTGTCTGTTATTTCATCTGAATGGCCATCGTTTCCGTCCGTCAGAATCGTACCATACAGAAAAGACACGCCTTCAGTCTCGGGGTGCTCCAGCAACAGCTGCCCTCTCAAAATGTCTTGAAAAAGAAATTTGCAATGTCAAAAAAAAAAAAAAAATAAAAAGACAGATAAATAAGAAAAAGTCGGCAATAAATAAAATAATATTCAATGTTAATTTAGTGAAAATCATGAAAATTCCAGGGACCTCCTCCCTCGATACCCCCCCTTTTAGTATATCCGCGCATGCAAAGGGGCTTTAAGTGGACAAAAAGCCACCAACAATGTATTCACTTCACTATGACGACACAAGTTGTTTTCCACCCTTTCAGTCTCAATACCTTGGTTCAATAATGTTTCCCCTCATTTCTACTACAGAACTCCGCCACTGTTCAAAGGTCTGCCCCCCCCCCCCCTTACCTGTCGTGGCTCCAGCCGCTGCCCTCAGCTCGGACACTCGTGAGTTTCTGACGTCCAGACCATATTGTCCAGCTGACAAAATGGCATAGAAAGCTCCTGCATACACAATGTCCACCGTTATTTTACCGTGGCCAGGAACATCCACGCTCAGATCTGGAAAATAATACGCCTTTCTTCCAACAGTGCATCGTGGAATCGGTTATAATGAATGATCCGGTTATAAAAAGTCCATAGCTTGTCTTCAAGGTCAGACGAGACGTTCCTCAATATCTGTTTGTGTATCTTCGTAATGTATGAAAAATATTCAAAATTTCAATAACATTCTGATTTTTTAAACCAGCTTCTAAACGTTTTTAAAAATCCAAACACTGAAACATTTGAAATTGGAAAATTATTTTTCTTCCCAAAAGGATTATATAAGAAAAACTACCCCTGGTATCTTTCAGAAATGCCTGGTAAGGTGCCTCAATTTTTTGTGAGTAAACAATGCAATGGAGACTAAGATGAAATTATAATGTTGAGAATGTCTTTCCTTGGTATGCAGGCAATTTGTTCAGAATCATTTATTTTCCGAGATTTTTTCAGTAATGAAGTTTTCGGACTTTGTCTAAAACAGCCCCAGGAAGGACCTAATGTATTTTCACCAAAAGGCATCATTCTATATTAAATACCATATCGATTCTTTATGTTAGATAATAGTACAGAAAAAATTAATTCGGTGTTGTTTCCAACGGCTTAAACAACTGCTAAAGGTTCAAGATTAGAAGGGGGAAATTCAGCCTCTATAGCTAAGTTTGCATAGTTAGTGCTGGAAAAGCTGAAAGTTTTATGTATGCCTACCTGGTTTAAAGACGAAGCAAGGCACACTTTGGAACCTCACAGCGCCGGTGTTCCTCCCATCATATGTCACGTAAGCAGCCACTGGCCCACAAGGACATTGAATATTTATCTGAGTCTCTGGAACAGTGACGTTTTTAACGAGCCCCTTTTCTATGGCATAACGTCCTAATGCAATCACAGCGTGCCCACACATGGTAGAGTATCCCTCGTTATGAATAAAGATTGAAGCAAAATCACACGTTTTTATATCTGAAGGCACGACCAGCGCTCCATACATGTCATAGTGTCCCCGCGGTTCCCACATTAACAATTTCCGGTACTCGTCCAAGTCACTTTTGAGATAGTTCATTTTGTCCAGAAGTGTTCGACCTTTGATTTCTGGGTATCCCTTTTCTATGATCCTTAAGGGTTCTCCACCAGTGTGCATTTCGGTTGTGGATATCGACACAGGATAAACAAGAGGCATGGTTGTCCTGTCCTTGTAAATGACCCAGAAAAAGTTTAAAAAGTTTATCTTGCCTTTAAAAGAAGCTCCTTCCCACGGAAGAGAATACAGATATGCACTACTTGTGAAAGCCAAAAATACCAAGGGGTGCCCAACGGGTAAACTTATCACCAGAAAAACAATCAAAAGTAACACGAGTTCAACAAGTATGCTAGAGATTGTTTTGCCCTCTACATGATCTGTAATGGCGATAGTTCATACATATCTGATGTGTTTGATAAATCTAAGCAAGATCATCCTAGCGAACGTCCGACGCAAGTGTTTATCGAACTACGATCGCTAACTCAATTCGTTAATGCAGAGAGTGACCGAACTTGAGAAAGTACAGTCCTCATATGTCAAGACCATAGAGTCTCTCAAAAATTCATTCAATGAGTTAAAATCAGAAAATGAACCGCTTTCCAATATAACCAACAAAATACAATCAGATTTTGTCTCACATGCAACTGGATGTGAAACTTCTCGCAAAAATACCAAAGCACATTTGAAAAAAAAAACTCGATTGTCTTGACTTCATTGAATATCAAGCTGTGAACAAGAAAATGAATGAAGAAATATCAAGAGTATCCAAAGTGTGTGTTAATTTACAAAAACAAATTTCTAACACAAAAACACAAAAATCATATGCTTCAGCTATTTCCCCGCAGAGGACCCCTTCTTCAGCCGAGGTGGAATTTAAAGGGAATTCACACCTGAGCGAACAAGCTATCTATTACTATACAGACAACGCTGATTGTTCCATTGCCCGTCCACCCACACACGTCGATAATATACCTGGCCCGTCTGCAGCGATCAGTCCAAATACACAAGAGTTAGCCGACCATTCACACAAAACGACCCTGTCGTTAGCAAAAATACTAGTTGTAGCAAAACTACATATGCCGCAAATCAGTACACACCTTTGGGTAAGAAAGTTGTGCACGTCAATTCTTGTCAAAACAAGAGTAACACCATGCCTGACTCAGTTTCTATGTCGTCTAAGAGTGTTCGATCATCTGATCAACCTTTTAACAATGCAAATTCGGCAAACCAACAGTATAGTTACAAAGTGGATGCGAGTTACTCGACAACGGATGCTACAGCGCCTAACTAAACCTCACCTGAAATGTCTCCGCCCAACGAGGGTGATAATGACATCTTTGAAGGTGTAACGTACAAGCGCAATGCCAGATACTACATATCAGGAATCGGTAACAGGCCTCGGGGTGGCCATAAAACTTAGACGAGCTCACTTTTGATCTCAGTCTCACTTTTACTAAAGGAATTAATAGTGGAAAAGTGAGACTTAGATCAAAAGTGAGCTCGTCTAAGTTTTATGGCCCCCAGGCCTGATCAACGCAACCAGGCATGCTTAACTTCCTCAAACGTAAAGGAATATCTGTCTCACACTGTGTGTTTTTTAAACCGAAATACCCTGGGTCTCGTCGCAATGCAAAAATTAATGTAGCTCTGTCTGACGCCCATATCGTGGAAGCACCTGGATTTTGGCCTCACAGATCTCCTGTCGATTGTGGATAAGTGAAAAGGAGTGGGAATCAAAGATGGTGCAAAGCAGACCTACTGAAAATGGTACCTCAGAGGAAGAAGATGGGAGACCGAACACTCCTGAATCACTCGTTCTGCAATAAAAAGTATTTTTTATATCATTAAATGTCTAACTCCATAAATATCTTGACCTGGAATGTCCGTGGTGTCATATCGTCGTCACTTTGTTTATCAGAACTCTTACTAAAATCAAAGTGTGACATTGCAATAATAACAGAGCATAAATTAAAATCAAGCTGTGACAATTATCTGGACTCCATATGTTCAGACTACTGTAGTCTCACACGTATAGAAAAATTCACTAACGAAACTATCCGACATTTGTCGCTTTCTGGGCAAGGGTGGATTCTGTATAATGAGAAGAATATGGAGATAACGAACAGTATTCAATCTCAACGTCCATTAAACAATATACAAAATAAGAGCAGAGCAACCACGGACCTCCGAAACATCAGAGGTGGGATCAGGTGCCATGGAGGAGTGAGCATCCCCTGCCGACCGGTCACACCCGCCGTGTGCTCGTTGTCATGATCAGGAAATAACGGAAAAATCCGTCGGCAATTCAGTGTATAAATAATGGACTAACAATTGGTATGAAAAACGTCAGTCAGCATTTGACTCAATGATAAATTGTATTTGCTGACAAGGTCATTGTATCGACCATAGAATTTACGAAATGATGACTTTAAACGAGACTGTTGATATTCTTGTTTCATCAATTTGCTTGTCAATAATTTATCTCGTTTTAGAAATTGTTCATACGTAGAGCATGCTCTTGCGTATATCGAATCAACTGAGATACTCCGTATGCAGGTGATGAAGGTATATTGCTGCATAAGTAAGGGAAGTTGACGATAGAAAAGTTAAAGTCATCACGTTTATCATATAGCTTGGTTGTTAGATTACCATTAGTGTCTTTTTCAAGTAAAATATCCAAGTATGAAGCAGAAGTGTCGGACTCTGTGGTATCTTTTATCTCAAGCTCACCAGGATATATCGTATCGACGTAGGAATGGAAATTATCATTATTAATTGACAATACGTCGTCGATATATCTAAATGTCGAGTTGAAGGCCACAGCAAGTGTTTTCTTCTTTTCACGCATAAGATTTTGGATAAATTCTGCTTCATATGAATATAAAAATAAGTCTGCTAATAACGGAGCGCAATTTGTACCCATGGGAATTCCAATAGATTGTCGGAATACCTGGTCTATAATGTACAAGAAAGGTATCCAGTTCTCAGTTGTCGAAATCACTGACATTAGCTCTACTCGCATTATCGGCGTAGAGCTCAAGCGCTACAATCGAAAGTCGTTGTTTATTTTTGGTGTATATGAGTCATTTTCAAAATTTGTCCAAATTCCAACACCAGTATTTTGCAAAAATAAATGTGGCAATCTAAACTTTTTAAAGTTTTATTTTAGCATTCAAACATCATAGATGCATAAACAATGTTAAAGCACAAAGAATTCTATTAACATGTACTAAAAAAACATTATATGTACATGGACCCAACAATAAATGTCCATGGTGTTACTTAGTTAAAAGTCATAGTAAAATCATAATTTAAAAAAAAAAATTAAGGTTTTTAGAATAACAATCTCAACATAGTGATAAAATTATTCTATTGAATCAAACTGGAGCTTCATAACAGAAAATTATCAGATAAAGTATAGCTGGAAGTTGTAAGTGTTGTAACTTTTGTATATATCTTACACGTTTACTTAAGGCATACATCATTTACCTCAGCACAAAATACTTACTTTGCAAATAAACTTAGTATTAGAAAACGACAGTATTGTGTTGCAAGTTTCGATAAAATTGTATAAAGATTTAGAACATAAATATAGGAAAAATGTGTTAGTAACACCAAGGATATTTGCATAACACAAAGGACATAAAGGTTACACTAAGGATATTTTGTGTAATACTTAGAAAGAAATAATAAAGTTGTTCTCCTTCCTTCCGAAAAGGATAGTAATGAAATTACCCTAGAGGTGAATATAAGAGTATATGGTTTTAACATAAAAAATTGGCGGGGGATTTCTTTCATTATACATTTTGAGTCTGACTAGTAACACCAAGGATAAAACAGTAACGACATAGACATAACTATCCAATCATAAAATATATGACAGTAGAAAAATGAAATCAAATTGTTATGCCCGAATAATAAATAATTACTATCACATGACTTTGAATCAATGATCAGTACTTGTTAGTGTATTTACATATCCAAGCAGAAGCTGTAACACCAATGACAAAAAATAACACAAAGGACACCTTTAAAAGATTCAAAGGTTTACATAGATGAGTCTTAGATCAGCTAGAACTAATTTTTAATGATGAAATAATTGTGAAACTAGAACATGTACATGTATTTGTAAATGACCAGATTTCAAATAAATAGAATGCATTAAGCTTTTTATGGATTTTACATTTTCATTTCATTTATATACAGCTAGCCTCTTTCCACAATGAGCTCTCTACATAATACACATCTACAATATATGATGGTGACAATATTATTAAAACATTAGCAATGCTATACCAGCTTTTCTCTTTTACAGTTTTTGGCCTGTTAAAAAGGAACATGGTTTTAGGTTCTGTCTAATCCCGTGCATACATTTAAGTACATTTTTTCTGTATCTTTATCCGGTCTCTCTTCCAAAGGATCTGATTTCTCTTCATCTGTAGTCTGATGTTCATTATTGACTCCAATTCTTTCTCTTCCAGGGTGTCAGTCTTTTCAGTTTCTTTAGTCGGATTTCCTATCAGGAACTCTTGACCTTTTTTAATCTGTACTCTTTTTCATTTTTTTCATTGATATTTTCTGCCCTTTTGCTCTTGCATCCACTGATCGTTTGCCAAACCTTCATTGACAGTTCTTCAGGGTAACAATCCAACAAAGTGGCTTGAAATATAGTGGTCTGCCACCACATCTGGCCTTGTTGTTGTCCAATGCTGCCTTGACTATATAATCTTCACCACCACTTTCCAAAAGCTTATGTACATCCAAGGTTAAAAACTTCTTTCAGCACCAACTTTTACAGGATGTAGAACAGTCATGAAGGATTTCAGTTGGACAAATCTGAAGAACATCCTCAACTAAATGCAAAACTGTATTCTAGGGTAATGACTGGTACATTGTCTCCTTAAAAAATCTTTTGAAATCCTTTTAGAACAGTTATGAACAATTTGTGACTTTTTCATCTAAGGGTTTACATGATTAAAGGACTTTAAATGCATTTGCAAAGAAATGTTCCGTATCTGATATAACTTTAAAGGTATTTTCAATCCAATGATATAAATCTATCTTTTACGTCTTGGATTCTATTGGCTTCATTGCAACTTTTTAATGTGTCTTGTTTACATCATCTTCATCAAGAGAACATAACTAGAATCCTCAGACTAAAGAAAACAAATCATATTCTGCCTTATTTCACATTCCCTTGTGTTACCTAAAACTTCCTTTGTGTTACCATTTTTAACCATCATATATTTTTAGCCCTTCATTATTTATTGTTACTTGAATTGCAATATCCCACCACATTTGTTTTCTGCAATACAATGAACACAATTACCACTCCATATGCAATACGCTTGTTTCATTTTTCTATCTTTAATCCTTGCTGTGTCCCTTGAGTAACTGAATTTGTCTATGGTGTTACCATAGGTTACTTTAAAGAGCATAAAAGGGGATATGATTGCATTACATAATGAATTTTTATATTTCAATTTATTCAAAAGAAATAAAAGTTGTATATTTTCCTACAGAAACAAAAGAACATGCAAGAGTATATTAATAACATAAATATTTAATCGTTTTTACATCCATTGTGTTACCAAACATTGTCCTTTGTGTTACTCAAATTATTTATTGAATTAATTTATAGCTCATGGAAACATAATATGAATAAAGTGCCCCGCCACAGCATGATACGCCCGTCAAATATATTGTTCAATAATCATAAATTGGTTAAGGTGCAAGAAAATCAGATAACCTTGATTAACAGATTGACACAGATTTCAATGATCTAATTTCCATTTCTTATCATGTTTAAAATATTGTACATACATAAGTGACTTACAGTGTAGGGATTAATTATAACAAATAATACATCATATAATTCTAAACTGGCTGTGTTAGAACTTAAGAAATATCCATCTGCAGCTTAAATTGTTTATTGCATATTTAATGGAATAATGGAAATGCTACAGTTTAATAAAAAAAATCAAAAATAAATTATTCTTTAGACTGTAAAATTGTGAGGCATGGTGACTGCAATTTGTTGCAAATATATAAAAATTGAAATGTACCCCGGTAATTTTATTTCAATGAACACATGTATAATTAGTTTCCATAATATTATACAATACTAATTTAGTTTTAATCATACATTAAACATCAATATGTTTTAATTACGTTACACCAATTGAAAGATCTTTATCTTGACTATAGCCATCAAGAACTCTTAATTAACACAAGCAACTATGAGGTCATTTCTTTTTGCCCAACTCCCAAAAGATAAATTAAGATGACAGCTGCTAATCAGAGATGTTCTTAGACTACCAGTTAGGTCCTGACAATAAAGTCATTAATTTCTCTCTAATTTGACATGTAAATTTCTGCTATCAAAATTCTTCTTGACCAATGCTTGATAATTATGCCCATGGGACAAACTGAATTCCTCCTCTCAAAACATTAACATTTGTTACAGATTGGTGTTAAAGTATATGATGAAAAAATTAGTTTTTACTTAATTTAACATCTTTTCATAAGGATTAGTTTTAATTATATTATACAATATTATATTAGTTTTTATCATACACTGTATTTTAAAGCATCAATTTGTTTTAATTACATTACACCAATTGAAAGATTTTTTTCTGAACTAGCCATCAAGAACTCTTAATTAACACAAACAACTATGAGGCCATTTCTTTTTGCCCAACTCCCAAGAGATTAAAGATAAAGATGACAGCTGCATTTTCAGAGATCTGCACTACCACTTAGCGCCTGACAATAAACTCATTAATTTCTCTCTATTTCTGCTATCAAAATTCTTCTTGACCAGTGCTTGATAATTATGCCCATGGGACAAACTGAATTCCTCTCAAAACATTAACATTTGTTACAGATTGCTGTAAAGCATATAATGAAAAAATAAGTTTTTACTTGATTTAACATTTTTAAACAAGGATACAACTATATATTTACATTTTTTAGGATTATGAAATTTAAAATTTAAAAGACTTAGTTTTTTTTTAAAAATTCACTTAAATTAAAGGTCACAGTGACCTTGAAATAGGCCACGACACACCTTCTACCTAAGATGCATAAACTGGCCAAGTTTGATGACTCTGAGTCTAATAGTTTTCTAGTTATGGGCCGGAAAGGATTTTTCCATATTTGGCTATAACTTCTTAATTAAAGGTCAGAGCGACCTACTTTTTGTGCCCGACACACCTTCTACCCAAGACGCATCAGATGACAAAGTTTGACAATCCTAGGCCTAATAGTATTAAAGTTATGAGCCGGAAACGAAAAAGCTAACAGACGGACAGACACGAAGCCTATAACATAATACGTCCCGTCTGAAGACGGGCGTATAAAAATAAATGCCAATTTGATAAAAATATTTCTGTTATTTTATATTGTAATAAACTTTACACAAATGTTGTATTAAAATTGGGAATTTAAAGGGTTTTTTTTCAATTGGTCCGCGGAGTTACCCAATTCTGTCCTTTGCATAACCAAGACTGCAAAATCATATGATTTTCAAATGGTAAAAACATTTAGTAAATAATTTGGCATTTTAAAACAAAATTAGTTACTGGATAGTTTTAAATAAGGGAGGAAAATAAAACATATGACTCCAACTTTCATTCTTTTTAATTATTTTCTATGTAAATTGTCCATGGAGTAACTAGATACATCCTTAGAGTAACTTTTCTTGCAGTAACAAAATGGACAGTAACACCAGGGAATTATTATATAAATAATTGGAAGTATAAAAGCAATAACTGACTTATGAACATAAAGCACACTCCTAGATGATAGGTATTTTGTTATAAACTTGCTCAATGCATCAAAGAAATGGCAAATTAATTTATCATCACAATATCGAAGTAACTCATAGGACTCAAAAATAAATTACTATTGCAATCAAACTTGCCTTCAACCACATATTGTGCCTATGGTATAAAAGATCTGTGTAAAGTGTCTCATGATATTTTGGCGGGAACAAGACCAAAAGAAGGAGGCTGATAGTGAAGAGTTTCTTTAGGAAAGATAACTGTTACAGATAACTTTTATGTCCTGGTAACTCCAAGGACACGGCCAAAATAACACACACTTAACTTTAAAAAAATCATATTCTTACTCTTTTTCAATCACATTTTAGCATGCATTTAGACAGTATCAAACATGTACAACACAATAAAGGTCATTTTACACTGCTTAATTATATTTACTACATCAATAATCAGAGCTGAAGTCAAACATCCGGCCAAATCACAAGCAATTCTCTTTAATTTTACTCAGGTTGAAGGACTTTTTTCAGTATTCAAGTCAATTTTTAATCGCACTTAATTTTTTTCTACACTTGTAGATTGTTGTTAAATTCATCGGGTAAAACAAATTTGATTTTTATTGCAAAATTTTCAAAAAAAGCTTGTATAACAGGAATTTGGACATTTTTTGAAAATGACCCTTATATCTTCCGTCGGAGAGCAATACACAATCTTATGTTGATGAGATAAACTTACTTGAAGCACCATATAACCTCTACTCTTCATATGGTGATGTGCTTATTGGGGTGATTTCAATGTTAGTCTTTATACCAAAGACTACTCGCACTGCAATTTGCAGAAATCAAAAATCATGAATGTACCACTCGAAGCAACCTGGCATGCCCGAACATAGACTTTAAAACAAGTGGATCAAACTACACGTTTAATACGACACGAACTACATTAGACTACATATTATGCAGCAAAACTGTGCAATTATGTCGTAAACTATCATGTCTATGAAGAGGGATCCTTCAGCTCTACTTCCGACCATCTGCCAATCTGCATGGAACTACAAACCGACATCAAAACATGTTCTATGCAAACCATCTGCCTCGCTTCCAGCCTGACATAAAGCCAAACTAGACCAAATAAAGGAATACGAAAAATATATCCATAATCATGCAAACTTCCAAAGCATAAGTCTGAAAACTATAGATGATAGATTATTAATCCAAACAGTAAGTCAGAAGTTGTTTTGTTATAAAATTTCAGAGAATAACTTGAATGAAATCAACAAGATTTTTTTCCGTGTTGGTTACTTATCATAGTTATGTACATTCTGCATGTAAATTAAAGTAAATATAGTAAGAGAATGCCATTTTTATTACATTGGAAATATTGCAATACATATCGCAATACATTTAAAAATATCGCAATACGAATTCTCGGGCCAATACCCAGCCCTAATTACAAATATGTAGTAAACTGAAAGAAAAAAAAGTACCAATGCAGGTGTCTTTTGTTCTACTAATGCTGCTGAATTGTAGCGTTTTCCCTCTTTTTAAAACATTCAAACACAAACTTCCCAAGTTTTTTTAAGTATACTTTCAGAATTGGAATTAGGTAATTCAATAAATTTTGCCATACTAGGTCATACAAAATAATATTTTTAATATATTTTTATACATCTTTCGACTATATGCCTCACCCAGTCTTGGCCTTAAATTTTCTTATTTTGCAGATTTACACAAATATTGTTGAGGGTTATATCTTTCACACAAATATTTCATAAGAACATTTAATGGTGCAGGAAACTTTTGGTCCAGAATGGTTATATTCATGATTTGTACTTCTATAATCATTTATTTCACAAACATTACATCCATTCTTCCGAAAGCAGTTTATAATAAAACCTTTAAAATTTACTGTTTTACTTTCCTTACAATTTGTGTAACCTTCCAATTGATTCAAGCCGTGGACAAGACACGGTGATTATTTTAATAAAAATCCTCTGCCCACAGCGTCACTTTCTTCCAGTGTAAATGTAGAGTTTCCACAGAAGTAACCTTGACCTTTCACCTCAGTGACCACGGCCTTGTGATTTCCACAGCTGACCTCCTTGACGACTTTTGCCGTGAATACCTCTCCAGAAGGTCCACGAAATGTCCTGGGTTGACCAAGCTTGATTTTATTTTTATAGTATTGAAGAGCGACTCTAGCAGATGTCCCTGACCCACACGGGGATCTATCTACCTGGAAAATTGACCAAAAATTCGTGGTTAAGGACCCTCTCTACACGACTAGTATGAAAATGTTCACTAGTAATGATAATGACAAGATGATCTCCCCTTTTTAGCTCACCTGAGCCAAAGGCTCAAGTGAGCTTTTCTGATCAAAATTTGTCTGTTGTCTGTCGTTGTCGTTGTTGGTGTTGTCGTCGTTGTTGTCGTCGTTGTCGTTGTTGTAAACTTTTCACATTTTCATCTTCTTCTCAGGAACCACTGGGCCAATTTCAACCAAACTTGCTACAAAGTATCCTTGGGTAAATGGGATTCAAATTTGTTCAAATAAAGGACCACGCTCTTTTCCAAGGGGAGATAATTATGAATTAGAAAAAAAATAATGGCATTTTTAAAAAATCTTCTCAAGAACCACTGGGCCAGGAAAGATGAAACTCATAGTGGAATCATCCTCAGGTAGTATAGATTCAAGTTTGTTCAAATCATGACCCCAGTGGGTAGGGTGGGGACGAAATGGCCGATCAAAGTTTTACATAGGAATATATAGGAAAAATCTTTAAAAATCTTCTTCTCAAGAACCACAGGGCCAGGAAAGATGAAACATATGTGGCATCATCCTCAGGTAGTGTAGATTCAAGTTTGTTCAAATCATGACGCTCAGGGGTAGGGTGGGGCCAAAATGGCTGATCAAAGTTTTACATAGGAATATATAGGAAAAAATCTTTAAAAATCTTCTTCTCAAGAACCATTGAGACAGGAAAGATGAAACTCCTGTGGAATCATCCCCAGGTAGTGTAGATTCAAGTTTTTTTCAAATCATGACCCCCGGGGGTATGGTGGGGCCAAAATGACCGATCAAAGTTTTACATAGGAATATGAAGGAAAAATCTTCTTCTGAAGAACCATTGAGACAGGGAAGATGAAACTCCTGTGGAATCATCCCCAGGTAGTGTAGATTCAAGTTTGTTCAAATCATTACCCCCCAGGGGTAGGGTGGGGCCAAATGGCCGATCAAAGTTTTACATAGGAATATATAGGGAAACCTTTTAAAATCTTCTTTTCAAGTACTTTAAAGCCATTCTTAGTGATATTTATAGGGAATCATCCTCAGGTAGTGTATTATGACCCCTGGGAGGTTAAAATTCAAGCCCCCCCCCCCCTCAGTAAACTTTCAGTTCTGATCTGATATGTGCTTTTTCCTAGCCAATTGCTCAGGTGAGCGATGTGGCCCCTGGGCCTCTTGTTAAAATTGTAACTGAGATTTTCCACCCCTTTGATTTATTAACCGATCCTGGTGCAGTATTTTCAACGTCGATTGTGTGATACAAATCTAACATCTAACGTTTATACATCAGTTTAAATATTTATCTTCTTGAAATTACACGCTTAGGATATCAACTGGATATATAAATTATTTGGACCAAGGAAAGGTGTAAACTAAATGAAATTTTATGGTGACCAGTGTCTAATCCACATAACGCGATACTAACCTCTCTCTCGGCGAAAACACACATAGTGTCTGTTATTTCATCTGAATGGTCATCATTTCCGTCCGTTAGAATCGTACCATACAGAAAAGACACGCCTTCAGTCTCGGGGTGATCCAGCAACAGCTGCCCTCTCAAAATTTCTTGAAAAGAAATTTGCAATGTCAACAAAAACTTAATAGATAAATAAATAAGAAAAATTTGGCAATGAATAAACAAATATTCAATGTAATGAAGTGAAAATCATGAAAATTCCAGGGACCTCCTCCCTCGACCCCCCCCCCCTTTTAGTAAATCCGCGCACGCAGAGGGACTTTATTATAAGTGGACAAAAAGCCACCAACAATGTATTCACTTCGCTATGACGACACAAGTTGTGTTTTACCCTTTCAGTCTCAATACCTTGGTTTAATAATGTTTCCCCTCATTACTACTACAGAACTCCGTTGTTCAAAGGTCCGACAACCCCCCCCCCCGTACCTGTCGTGGCTCCAGCCGCTGCCCTCAGCTCGGACACTCGTGAGTTCCTGACGTCCAGACCATATTGTCCAGCTGACAAAATAGCATAGAAAGCTCCTCCATACACAATGTCCACCGTTATTTTACCGAAGCCAGGAACATCCACGCTCAGATCTGAAAAATAATACGTCTTTCTTCCAACAGTGCATCGTGGAATCAGTTATAATGATCGGTTATAAAAATTCCATAGATTGCTTTTAACGGTCAGGCGAGACGTTCCTCAATATCTGCTTTGTATATCTTCGTAATGTATGAAACATATTCAAAATTTCAATAACATTCTGATTTTTAAACCAGTTTCTAAACGTTTTTAAAATATCCAAATACTTAAACATTTGAAATTGGAAAATTATTTTTCTTCCCATAAGGATTAATTAAGAAAAACTACCCCTGGTACCTTGCAGAAATGCCTGGTAAGGTACCTCAATTTTTTGTGAGTAAACATGTTTAAGGGACTCCGACCCTCAGCTAGGAAGGACAACTCTTTAATCTATAATTTAATTCAAAAAGTCTTTAAATGAAGCTTGAGAATTAAATCTTTTCATGCAACAATTTTCATTATATGCCTCTCAATGTGCTTCAAGGTTCTTTGAACTTCTCAGAAAGGTCTAATTAAATTAAAAAGTTGTCCTTCCTGGCTGAGGGTCGGAGTCCCTTAAGTAGCAATACTTCAATGACATAGTCTTGGAAAAATTTATCTATTATTAAGGAACGTCTCGTCTGTCATTAAATAAATGAAGGGGAAAAGAAGAACTGTTTTTAAAAAATACATTTATAGCTATTTTTTACTTGCCCTTTCTCCTTCTTCAATGGCATAATGCAATGGAGACTAAGATCAAATTATAATTTTGAGAATATCTTTCCTTGGTATGCAGGCAATTTGTTCAGATTTAATCATCTATATTCCGAGATTGTTTTCAGTAATGAAGTTTTCGGTCTTTGTCTAAAACAGCCACACGAAGGACCTAATGTATTTTCACAAAAAGGCATATGGAATCATCCTTTATTAAAGACCGTATCGATTCTTATGCTAGACAAGTAGAGCTTTTCAAAAAAGCTTACCGTCTTTAGCAACAATTTTAAACAGTAAACAGATCTATACTTAATTAACAGGCCGTATAATTCTTTTGAATTTCTTGATTTTGTATTTCTAAATTAGCTTTTTACGGGCATTAGCCCTACCATGGTTGTCGCTCGGTCATCTCCGTAAACTTTGACTGGCCGAGAGCTTTCGGCAAACCTCGGCTGATTCCCATTCACTCTTCAAACAAGAAAGGGGAAAAGAATAATAACAAATTGTAAAACCTGCAAGCAATAACTATCAAATTTTATTTAAAATGAAATTAAAGAGACCTTTTTATTTATTGCTATAAAAAATATCCTGTTATTAAGAAATAATTACTGATGATTTTGTTGTTCGTTTTGTCATTTTTTTAAGATTGGAAATCTTGCAAAATTGTTAAGTCGTACGAAAAATAGATCATCAGAAAGTTATTTCCCTTGCCTTGAACAGCATTTCAACCAATGAAATAATTGAAAATTTTCTCATCATACAATTTCTACCAATCACAAAAGAGAGGAAGTGCATAGTCCGAAGACTGTAAAAAACTTCAACTATACAATACCGTCTTCCAAGGAAGACGGTAATAATAGTAGAGAAAAAATATGAACGCCTTATTATGTGTCATTTAGAAATTATCACCAAAGTTGATTTTTAGCTCTACTGGTCAGAGACCAGAAGAGCTTATGCGATAGTAATGCGTCCGGCGTCCGTCCGTCTGTCTGTCTGTCTGTCTGTCTGTCCGTCTGTCTGTCCGTCTGTCTGTAAACAATTTTTCAAAACGCTACTCCTCCTACAATTTTAGTCTGATTTCAATATTACTTGGCACACAAGTAGACTACATTAAGATACATAGAATAGTGCATCGGTTTTTGATTTCAAGGAACGGTGTTGCCATGGTTACTAAAAATAGAATTTTCTGTGAAATTCCTTTAAAACGCTACTCCTTCTACAGTTTTGGTCTGATTTCAATATAACTTGGCACACAAGTAGACTACACTAAGATACATAGAATAGTGCATCGGTTTCTGATTTCGATGAATGGTGTTGCCATGGTTACTAAAAATAGAATTTTCTGTGAAATTCCTTAAAAACGCTACTCCTTCTACAGTTTTGGTCTGATTTCAATATAACTTGGCACACAAGTAGACTACACAAAGATACATAGAATAGTGCATCGGTTTTTAATTTTGATGAACGGTGTTGCCATGGTTACTAAAAATAGAATTTTCTGTGAAATTCCTTAAAAACGCTACTCCTTCTACAGTTTTGGTCTGATTTCAATATAACTTGGCTCACAAGTAGACTACACTAAGATACATAGAATAGTGCATCGGTTTCTGATTTCGATTAACGGTATTACCATGGTTACTAAAAATAGAATTTTCTGTGAAATTCCTTAAAAACGCTACTCCTTCTACAGTTCTAGTTTGATTTCAAAATAAGTTGGCACACAAGTAGACTACACAAAGATACATAAAATAGTGCAATGGTTTTTGATAAGTACAAACCAGTAGAGCTACAGTCTCGACAGAGACTTCTGGTTCTTTTTAAAAATATAAGGTTAATCGTGAAGGCCAAGGCATATGAAAGCCCTATCTCTTCTCAATCAAAAGTTAAAAGGAACAAAATGCGTTTGTGAAACACTGATGATCCCGTATTGCAACATAGCGAAGATTAAACTTTCCTTAAACGCACACATCGTCGAAAACCCACGGTCGCTCTCGCTTCTCTTACCTTTGAGGTAAGAGAAGCGAGACCGACCGTGGGATTCCGACGATGAAACGCACATTGAATATATTGGTACCCGAATTTTAAAAAGTAGGTCAAACTCCAATGTCAAGGTAAAAGGGTCAAAGTTCTTGGTATCCAATGAAGGTCTTCTCACAAGGATTAATTATGTAAAGTATGAAAGCCCTACCCTTACCATTCAAAAGTTATGGCCAAAGTTAATGTTTTTAAAAAATAAAGTCAAACCCCAAGTTCCAGGTCAAAGGGTGTAAGTGCTAGATATCCAATGAAAGGACTTGTCACGAGGATTTAATATTTGAAGCACGAAAGCCCCAGCCCTAACCCTTCAAAAGTTACGGCCAAGGTGAAAGTTTTTAAAAAATGGGCCAAACTCCAAGGTCAGAAGGTCAAAGTCCAATGAAAGTTCTTCTCACAAGGATTACATATGTGAAAGTATGAAAGCCCTAGCCTTTACCGTTTTAAAGTTATGGTCAAGGTTAAAGTTTTTTTATAAGTACAAAATCTCCAAGGTCAAAAGGTCAAAGTTGTTGATATCCCATGAAAGGTCTTACTACAAAAAATACATATGTGAAATAAAAAAAAGCCCTAGTATCTACCTTTCAAAAGTTATAAAAGTAAAAACATTTTTGTGTAAAAGTGGGCCAAACTCCCAGGTCAAGGTCAAAAGGTCAAATTTGGTGGTACCCAAAGACAGGTCTTGTCACAAGGAATGCACATGTGAAATATGAAAGTCATAGCTCCACTAAATCCACGAAAGCGGGGGGCAAAAAGTAATGCGGTGTTGTTTCCAACGGCTTAAACAACTGTTAAAGGTTCAAGATTAGAAGGGGGGAAATTCAGCCTCTATAGCTAAGTTTGCATACAATGAAGCGCATTGAAGTGGTAAAATTTTTCGTTCGAATGGAACGTTTTGAGCTATCTTTAGAACGTTTATTGTCATCTTATGACACGCCCATTTCTTTAGAAATGGATAAAACGGTCAATTTGTTTATTCGGATACCCGTAGAACAGGTTTTCCATAAATATAATAGCCAATCAAATTGACGGTCTAAATAAACACCGAGTAAACACGTGTTCGACCGAAACATGTGTTGTGGTAACTTTAATAGACATGATAAGTTCAAAAATATGTACATATTTGTTGCAATTTGAGTTTTACAGAAGCGGGGAGTCTCTAATTCTTTCTTCTAATTTTTTTAAAGCTCCATTTCGGTGTAACTCATGTTGCTTGTCACGAAGAGCGGGGTGTCCTTGGACATTACCACGAATATTTCTTTTTCGTTTCTAAAGAAATGGGCGTGTCATTATGTTATAATTGACGTTCAAAACATGACTCAGAACGTTTCATCCAAACAGAAAATTTTACCACTTCAATGCGGTTCATTGTAGTTAGTGCTGGAAAAGCTGAAAGTTTTATGTATGCCTACCTGGTTTAAAGACGAAGCAAGGCACACTTTGGAACCTCACAGCGCCCGTATTCCTCCCATCATATGTGACGTAAGCAGCCACCGGCCCACAAGGACATTGAATATTTATCTGAGTCTCTGGAACAGTGACGTTTTTTACGAGCCCCTTTTCTATGGCATAACGTCCTAGTGCAATCACAGCGTGCCCACACATTGTGGAGTATCCCTCGTTATGAATAAAGATTGAAGCAAAATCACACCTTTCTGTATCCGAAGGCACGAGCAGCGCTCCATACATGTCATAGTGTCCCCGAGGTTCCCACATTACCAATTTCCGGTACTCGTCCAAGTCGCTTTTCAGATAGTTAATTTTGTCCAGAAGTGTTCGACCTTTGATTTCTGGGTATCCTTTTTCTATGATTCTTAAAGGTTCTCCACCAGTGTGCATGTCGGTTGTGGATATCGACACAGGATAAACAAGAGGCATGGCGATTGTCCTGTCCTTTGTAAATGACCCAGAAAAGTATACCAAAAGAAAAGTTTATCTTGCCTTTAAAAGAAGCTCCTCCCACATAGTTTAATTTCTATCCCGACCTTTTATATTATATATTATATTCCCGCTTGAAATGTGAAAGGGTATAGATAAGATAAGATTTATTAACACGATTTGGAGCCCATCAGGAGAACTATAATAGAGGTATTGTGAGCAATTAATTAATAATAACACACTCCTCCCCCGCCTCCCATATGATTATAATGACAAAGTCCATGTTTTGTTCTGAGAGACCCGAGATAAGCGTCAGATAAAAAGGTAAAGTAGAAGGTGCACAATGTAATAAAGAATCTGTGAAAGTATCGTGAAATTTTATTCAGTGGTAAAGGAGGAGTGCGGATAAGAAAAGGATAGTTCTCTAACAAGCAAATTCAAAGAATTGCGGTCCCCCGCTTCCGGTGTCTTTGTGGGAGAGATGTTATTTTTTTATGACATATTTGGCCGGTTGCGTATCTATGTCTCAGATAAGTACAGCTCAGTGGTTGATCCGTGGATCACGTAAGTCTGGTTTAAACCTCAGTTGAGTCGGGATTACCTGAGTCGCATTTCTGTTGCACGCTATAAAACTGAGTAAGGTTTACCTAATCTTGACTTACTCATATAAGATGTTGAAGGATAATAGGTTTCCTCATATTACAGCACTTCAAAACAAGTTTTAATACTAATAACTGGTTGAAAATTAAAAGGATATATTTAAAAACAAAGATATATATTGATTTAAAATTGTAAATTTAAAATTCCGAAAAAATGCAATACAATTTAATTCAAATAAAAAAAAACATATAAGACATTATTTTTGAGAAAACACATATTAGCTATTTTTCTAGAGAATTTTTTACAGCGGCAAAATGATAGGGGACGAACATGCCCTCCCTCCCCCGGTTCCTACGGCCATGTAGATAGCCTGATTAATCAAAACTGAAAGACTTTTTATCCTTAGGAAATTCGGCATTATTAGAAATTATTGGAATGTGTATCATCATCAATTCGTTAATTTGATTTAATTTTTTTAAAAGAAGGTCAAACTACTCCAAGGTCAAGGTAAAAAAAAATCAAATTTCTTGGTATCCAATGAATATTCTTCTCACAAGGATCACATATTTGAAGTACAAAAGCCCTAGCCCTTACCGTTCAAAAGTTATGGTCAAGGTTAAAGTTTTTTCTTAAGTACGTAAATTTCCAAGGTCGAGGTCAAAAGGCCAAAGTTATTGGTATCCAAAGTCGGGCGTCATATTGCAAATGTACACATGTTTTTGTTCTCGGAGATGGCTGGGACAATCTTCCTGAGACTTTCCTCAAAGAAAGACCACTGGTTGTAGTTGTGCTGTGTGGTCAATCAGTTTCAAAATGGCTACCGTTACCGTTCTTTAACTCTGATTTTTAAATCAAAGTACTGATAGTACTGATACGAGTTGATGGTTGTCCAAGCTTAGCTACCTGGTATTGCCTGAATCAGGTCAGTTTAACTACCGATGTAATGGGATAATTTGCATCAAATGTATAACCGGAAATCAATCTCTTTTGATTGTTATACATAACTGCTGGTTATACAGACGATCGAGTAGCAGGTGTGGTAATGTTTCTGTCAGATGAATTGGATTTTCTATCTTTCAAAAATGCATCCTCACAATGTCAAAGGTGTGTGATGATTTCTCGAACTCCACACAAAGAAGTTTGTGTGGAGTTCGAGAAATCACAAACCCTTGACATTGTGAGGATGTCAAAAATGGTGTGTGAACGCTACCAATATAGTAAAAAATATAAGACACTGACAAAAATATTAATTTGTATGATGCTTGACAAAGTGCATACATTCATTGTTGCAGGCATATTTGAATATGATAAAGCCTGCTTAAAAATCTGCAATATTTGCTAGGAACTTTTGCGATTTATTTATTCGACAGGGTATGTGTGTCATCGTTACCTTAGCATTGATTTTGAATAAATGCGACATGATCTCAGAAAAGACTGCTTGTTCGAAAGTTCTACTGTGTCAGCGGATAAGAGAATGCAAAGAGGGATTCCGTAGGAATGAAACATTTGGTAAGTTTTTGTCCCTGCGTAAAAATTTCACTCACTTATCCAACGAAGCGATGGAAAATGGCGGATTCTTTTTACTGACGTTATCCTGGTGATGACGTAGATTAGCAATACAAATATGACCAATCATTTGCTATTTCTGAGAAAAAAAAACGAATTTTTCCTTTATATTTCCATGGAAAAATTTCATTGTCGATTGTGGTCGCGCCCTTTCCCTGGGGTTCATGAATTGAATAAGCTTGAACCTACACTACCTGGGGATCCTTAAATATAAATATGACTAATCCTGGCCTTGATGTTCTTGAGAAGATTTTTCAAGATTCTTCCTTTACTAGTATATTCCTATGCAAAACTTTGATCGTCCATTGTGGCCCCATCCTACCTTCGGGGGTCATGATTTGAACAAACCTGGAACTACACCACCTGAGGATGCTTCCATATTAATATGAGACCAATAATAGCTTTGCTGTTCTTAAGAAGAAAAGTTTTGACGATTTTTTCCTAACTCCGGGGGTCATGATTTCATCAAAGTTGAATCTACAATCCCTGCAGATGCTTCCATACAAATATACTCCAGTAACCAATCATTGCTTTTCTATTCTTGAAAAAAAGATTTTTGAAGATTTTTCATATATTCCTATGTAAAACGTTGATCGTCCATTGTGGCCCCACCCTATCCCCTGGGGTCGTAATTTAAACAAACTTGAATCTACACTATCTGACGATGTTTCTATATAAAAATGACCAATCATGAATTTTGCTGTTCTTGAGAAGATTTTTGAAGTTTTTTACCTATGTATTTCTATGTTAATCTTTGATCCCCCTGATTGGCCTCACTCTACCCCCTTCCCGGGGGTCATGATTTGAACAAACTTGAATTTTTACCATCTGAGGATGATCCCACAAGAGTTTCATCTTTCCGTGCCCAGTGGTTCTTGAGAAGATTTTTGAAAGATGCCATTAATTTTTTACTTATTCATAATTATCTTCTCTTTTAAGAGGACATGGCTCTTTATTTCAACAAACTTGAATCCCCTTTAATTAAGGATACGTTGTGCCAAGTTTGGTTGTTATTGTTCAAGTGGTTTTTGAAAAGAAGATGAAAATGTGAAAAAAAGTTTAGGACGACAGCAACAACAACGACGGCGACGACAGACAACGGACAAATTTCGATCAGAAAAGCTCACTTCAGCCTTCGGCTCAGGTGAGCTAATAAATTTTTCAACCCGGAAGAGATTTTGTTTCAACACGAAGACAGTGTCAGAACAGTGAAAGAGAATCGAAACCGCAGCAAACATAATCTGACAAAATGAAAGAGTCTTCAGGGATATTTGGATTGATCACTTGTGTTTATTTGCTCTTTTGTTTTCTTGTTGTACACTCAGAAAGACATAAAGGAACGTGGTCGTCAAGGAATTTTCTTCTGTCTGTGTCAAAATTTGGTGTCCAGAAAACCGACTTGAAAAATGAAGACGCGACACAAGGATTCTTTTACGGAAATATAACAACGAACAGTAATTCACCAAACTCGTTAACACTAGTTGTTGTTGATAGTGAATACTTCTCTCATATTTTTAGAACTGTTACATTAAATTGAAACAAACAACATAAAACCAACATTTGTAAATCTATGTTTAAAACAATTGATGTAGTGGAATATGATAAAGACTGCAAACCAGATGGGACAAAAGACTACCTTCGTAGAGTTCCCTGTCCTAAAAATAAACTCTGTCTTGATGAAGATACTCCATCAAATGTAGTTCCAAACTATCAATTTACATACAAAATAATGGATAAACAAATACCAAGGTATGTCATTTTTAGCTCACCTGAGCCGAAGGCTCAAGTGAGCTTTTCTAATCACATTTTGTCCGTCCGTCTGTTAACTTTTCACATTTTCGACTACTTCTCAAGAACCACTGGGCCAAATTTAACCAAACTTGGTACAAAGCATCCTTTGGTAAAGGTTTAAATTGTTAAAACTAAGGGCAAAGTCCCCTCACAAAGAGAGATAATCAAGAAAAGACAAAAATAGGGATGGGTCATTAGAAAATCCTCTCAAGAATCAATTCTTCTCAAGAAAAATTTTGAACGGAAACGGCCTACGCGCATTGATAACGGTTTTCCGTCCAAAGAGCTATATGCGGTATATATTGCATATCTTTGCCCCCACAAAATTCAAATTTTGAAAAATTCTTGAAATGTGCTGAATTCTATAAATTCTATGAGAAATATAAATTTAAAAAAAAACATATTATAGTTTCAAAGTAGTTTATTGACAGTTTTTGATTTTATGACGTCACAAAATAGTCTGATTTTATATCATTTTTTAGAAAGAGGACAAAAATTCAACAATTTTATCTTCAAAATTTATAGAGCGCAAGTTTGCTCAGGAACAATATTTACGTATTCCATTGATATTATCATTTTACACATTATATCAAAATATTGAGCCTGATCAGAAATGCGCTCGGTGACTTTTACTCAAAATATCGACGTAATATATACATTTATCTGTAGAAATCATAGAAATGTTAAATTTACGTCTTTTTCGTAATGTCATTTCAAACATATGTCGTCATTGCTTATGAAAATATTTAGTGCTTTGAAGGCAGCATATATCCCCCTGTTTAAGAAATAATTAAATACTTCTCCGTCAAAGTTTGATTTTGGGGGCAAATATTGGTTATGTAATGTGTAATTGAGTTCTTTTTAGCTAACTTTGTTTAAAAATGATAAATGGCAAACAATTTTTCTCAATCACTTATTAGATTTATATTATTCATTAAATATCCCTTCTTTGGGTCGAAATCAAATACAACTAGCTAACTACAGCGAAGGTAAACCTAAACTTCTTATAAAATAGATCTATACACAAGTACCAAGGACAGGTCGGCTCTATTCGGGCCCCTAACCCTGATACCTGTGATCTTCCTGACAAATAGTCAGACCTTTGGCTTATGGCTTGCCAAACTATATCATACAATTGAGCAGCTTCGGCTCTATTCGGGCCACTGATCAATTGTATGAGTCCAGAAGTTTAAACTAGAAATAAATATTACCTATCTCCTTCTCCGCTGTAACAGGAATCACACTGTCTCTCAGCGTCTCTAACTTTTATACTAGTTAGACAGTCTATTAGAAAATGTTTCTTAGTAGGGTCTTCCATTATGTTTCTTATTAGGGTCACGCCTCTGGGTACATTCGTCCCAAATGAAAAAAAAATTATCTTTTTATTAAATGGTTTTATTTTCAATTAAACAATGAAACAAAGGACCAAAAGAACCATACTTTGGTTAACACTATCTGTGTTGGACATGGTTATATACTCTCTAACATAAAACAAATTTCTCAACAGTAGTTTCTTCAATATCAACTGGACCCTCTCTAAATTTCTTTACGGTTTTTACTGAAACTTCCTTACAAAACTCAGTTTGTGTGCCAATGTCAATCATAGTTTTCTTACTCTCAATCAGTTGTTTAGCATCATCATTGGATGGACGTTTCCCCGGAAGCATAGGAGATGTTTTCTTGCGAAAAACCCGCCCAACCATAATAACAGATTCTGGTCTCTTTACTGTTTCTGTAGATGCACTTTGACCACTGGCACATGCTGTATTGCTCTCATTGGATTCCGTCAAAAGTAAATCACCTGGGTCTTGTGACAATTATTCTTCTTTCTCTGAATCACTTTCACTTGACAAATTAGTGTTGTATTCTTTTTCTGGGTTTTCTGGTTTGCCTTCATTTGCTAGGTCAATCTTCTGTTTCAAAGTTACTGGACTTTCCAATAAACCTGCATGTGCTCTCTTCCTATGTCTCTTTACATTACATTCTTTTTGTGATGTAAAATCACAAAATTCACAAGAATGTTCTTTCATGGCACATTGTACAACATGCATGGAGAACTCGCTGTCTCCTTGAAACAGTTCGGCACACATTGTGCACTTCCTTGTCCCAATCCGTCTGGTTAACTTTGTTTTCACCATGGTTTTGCGTGATCTGAAATAGACAAAAGTATATGATACTCTAAAATACTTCTAGTACTCAGTTTCATAATCTTTTAACCAAATTGGAGGTCTTCTACTTCTAAACTGTCGTGTAGGTAACTCTTCATTACCAACAGAACCTATCTCATCAGTACTACCCTGATGTTCATCAATAACTGTATCTTTTGCAATTGCTTTCTCGTCATTTATGTCATCAGTCAGCGATTGGTTTTTGTCAAGAATTCTGTCGTCTCTCTGTTCTACAGCATCTGGAGTTTCTCCAAACAACGTTTGATGTCGTTTCAGTCTCATTCTGTCGACGTGTATGACCTGATTTGACCCATGCTCCGCAATTCACCATGTACGTTACATCAGACATGACCTTAATGACTTTGTATGGTCCACGCCAATAACTCGTGAATTTTTTGGGGTTTCCTGTCTTAGTTCTAGAAAAGTACATGTAAACCTCATCATTTTCCTTGAACTTTGCCCAATTTAATTTTCTGTCATGATAATCTTTCTGAACCATGGCTTGTTGTGTATTTATGCGTACAATTCTATGTGCATTTTCAAGCCTTTCGTGTAGTTCTCAAACCCATTTATTTTGAGGTACTGGTTTAATAGCAGAGAGAACATCATACACGATGTCTAAAGGAATGCAAACCTCCCTTCCAAGCATCAATGAATTTGGAGAAAATGGTTTCATGGATTGTGGTTCTGTATGCCATCATGACATAATGTAAATGCTCATCCCAATCCGTGTGATTGTCGTTAACAAAATTGCTGAGCATAGTTGTGAAAGTTCGATTGAAACGTTCCACCATACCATCCGATTGGAGATGATATGGCGGTGTGTGTGTCTTTCGATCTACACATTTCGGAGAACATTCTTTCAAACTGCAAAGTACATATCATTTATGCTATGAGAACAGTTGCAAAACTTTCAGCTTTCAAACTGTATTTGTTTCCATTCTTTGTGACTGGTAGCTCTCCTAAAATGTCTGTCGCTATTCTCTCAAAAGGATAACCAGAATGCACTACCTTCATGGGTGCACACTTGGTCACATGTCGCACATCACGCTGTAACCCAGGCCAGTAATATCTATTGCGAACTTTAGACAATGTCTTTTTAATACCAAGATGACCTGAAGTTTTCTTATCATGGTATTGTCTAAGAACATTACGGCGCTCAGAGTATGGGACTACATACTGATAAAGTATCTGCTTTGATGACAATTCTTCCCACTTTTGACAGATTAAATGATCTTTAATGCACAGTCTGTCAAACTGAGAAACCAATGATTTAAGAAAATAGTTTTCTGGTGCCACTTTCTTAGAACCAGGGGAGGAACCTTCCTCAATCCATTCACGTAGCTTCTGCAGATCATTGTCATTTTTCTGAGCTAACTGTAGTGATTGACATTGCTCGATCTGGTTACAAATATTAACATCGGAGTCCTCTTTTTCAAGTGTACTGTGATAACCACATTGCTTACATGGAAGCCTGCTCATTGCATCAGCATTTGTATGTAAACACCCTGGACGATGTTCAATTCTGAAATTGTAAGTTGACATAACATCTATCCAACGTGCAAACTGTCCCTCAGGGTTTTTAAATTGCATTAACCCCCTAAGAGAACTACATGTATGATCTGTCCTTACAAGGAATTCTTTGCCGTACAAGTAATGTTTGAAGTACTTGACAAAATGTATCACTGCTAAGAGTTTCTTTCTGGTAACGCAGTAACGCCGTTCAGATTTGGACAAGCACCTACTAGGATATATGCACAAACTCTCTCCTTGCCTTCAGTTACCTGCGAAAGTACAGCACCAATGGCTTTATCGCTCGCATCAGTGTCTAAGATAAACTCCATTTCAAAATCTGGATGTGCAAGAATTGGTTCCGAAGTCAGAATCTGTTTTAGCTTGTCAAATGCAATCTGACATTCCTCTGTCCATTTAAAGGGTTTCTCTTTGGACGTCAAGTCATGCAAAGGTTTTGCAATAGAGGCAAAATCCTTGACAAACTTCCTATAATAACTACATAGAACAATAAAGGATCTTACTTCTGTAATATTGGATGGCGTATTCCAATCTAGAATTGCTTTGGTCTTATCTGCACTTGTAGCTATCCCATTTGAAGATACAACATGGTCCAAAAACTCAACTTGTCTGGCAAAAAGAGTACACTTTTTCGGTCTCAGTTTCAGTCCTGCTTCTTCCAGACGGTCAAACACTTTTGAGAGATTTTCTATCATATCTTCAAAATTCTTTCCAAAGACTATAATGTCGTCAAGATAAATAAGACAGATTTCAAATTCCAAACCGCACAGCACTGTTTCCATAAGACGTTCAAATCTTGCTGGCGCATTGCAAAGGCCGAATGGCATCACTGAAAATTCATACAAGCCTTTTCTTGTTGTATAAGCTGTTTTCTGCTTGTCTTGAGAGTCAACGGCCACCTGCCAATACCCTGAACATAAATCTAACGTAGAAAACCAGGTGGCACACCTAAGCTGATCAAGAGAATCGTCTTTTGGCAAAGGATATGCATCATGCTTCCTAATTTTATTCAGCTTTCTGTAATCTGTACAAAATCTGGTGGTACTGTCTTTCTTCTTTACTAACACTATATTGGACGCCCATGGGCTATTTGAAGGCTCAATGATATTTCGATGTAGCATATCATTAACATGCATGTCCACCTCCTTTTGCATATGCTCAGGTATTCTCCTTGGAGACTGCTCAAAAGGCTGGTTGTCTCCAGTACTAATCTTGTGTTGAATAATATTGGTTCTCCCTAAATCTTGGTCAGACTTTGCAAAAGATGACTGGTAACGTATTAGTAACTGAAGTACAGCTGGCTTGTTCTCCGGTGACATACCTGTACTTGACCTTACATATAAATCTTGCAAATGATCTAAAAGTTCTAAATTTTCCTTGCAATCTGCCGCCCTTTTGCTCGTGGTCGCTGTCAAAACATTTTGAACCGAGTTCAATTCAGCAATGAATGTGCCTTTCTTACCTCATTCTGTACGTTCATAAGACGCACTGGCACTTTGCTCTCTTTGTTGCAGGTTACAAGTCTTCTTGCTACCAATGCTCTATCAGAATCATTAAATTGCTTACAAGGTTCTACTAAGCTTACTTCAGAGAATCTGGAATCACTTTGGTTATCCAGGTTATGGACATCGCAATAAGTCAAAACTTCACTCTTTGGAGGTATCCCCAGATCTTAACACAATGTTACTCGGAAACAAACAATTTTTCCCTTGTATTGACAAGCAACTGACTTTCTTATTTGACCAAATTCAGCATACAACTCTCCAGGTCAAGTGAACATTTATGAGCTCTTAAGAAATCTAAACCTAATATTCCATCAACGCTTAAGTCGGCAACTACCATAGCATGTTCAAAGAGCATACACTGTTTGGAAAACTTCATCTCATGTGTTCCATACACTTTCAATGGTGTGCTATCTGCTATTAAATTATCTGTACTTAATTAATTGTTTCAGTGGCTTGTTTGACAAAACATTGGCTTTCATGCCCTTTTACACAATGGAAACTTGCTCCTGTATCTATCAAGAATCTCAACGGTATATCATGAATTCTTACTTCAGTGAAAATACCTCATCCACCAGCTTTATTTATGTTCTCTGAAGCTCCACAGCTAAGTTATATAAGGTTTCCTCGAGTTTTATAACTAGTATCTGTACTGGAAAATTTACTCGGTCGACTAGCTTGTTTCTGGGTTTGTTTCTGCCCAGATTGAGAAGCCAAGTATTCTCTACACTGCTTTTTCGTATGACCTTGCCTGCCACAATAATAACATTTGAATGTTCTGTTTTGCAGTGCATTTGGATCAATCTTGTTAAACTTTGGTCGGAACGACCCTACATTGGGTTGCCTTTCTTTCAAAGATTGAACCAACTTCTTTTTGCAATGAGGATAGTGCATCTGTGATATCCTTTAATACCTTATCAGTTTTATTTCCTTTTGTAGTATTGATGTCCTTTTCCATCGCCCTTACGTATCTTTCATTTTCTTGCATCTTTCTGTCAGCACTCTGAAAAGCCTGTAACTCAAGTGCATGGCGAACCGCATTGTTCAAATCTACTGGACGCGCTTGCTTTATCCTAAACCTCATGTCAGGATCTCGCAATGTATCTATAAACTGCTCCTTTGCCAGTATTTCTTTGAGATCTTCTGTTGCGGTCGGGTATGCCAAATTGGTCAACCTTCGAATGTCTTGTCCTAGCTCTGGTAAAGACTCTACTGCTTTCTGTTTTCTTTCACGAAGTTGAGCCCTATAAAGTTCAGTTTGGTTTGTAGGCGCAAACCGTTGCTGAAGTGCTTTACACAACACATCATCATATGATCATAGTTCCGTTGATCATTCGATGGCAAATTACCTAAAACACCCTGTGTATTTCCTCTTAGGGACACCGCTAAATACATGCCTTTTTCATTTAATGACCAACCATTTAACTCTGCACAAACCTCAAAGTGAGACCGAAAATCACTCCAAGAAGTAGTACCTTCATAAGTTTATGGTTTTACAAAATTTCGTTTTTGGCTGACAATTAGAGACCTACCAGCATTATTTGATTCAACACCAGACACGTCACTTGCAATCGCATTGTCACCGTTGTGTGCCACAGTTCTACTAATACGTCTGTCCTGTGTTATTCGACGTCTGTCAGGCTGGTGTGTCATACTATTATAATGTTCCCCTTGGCGTGCCATACCTCTCTGACCTGCCAAATGTCCAGCCAAATTTGAATGGTCTGCCAAACGACTAGCCCCCTCCCTTTGGATTGCCGTCTTATATTCATACAGTCCGGTCATCACAATTTGGCGAGGCGTATGGTCTGCCAAATGTCTATGACTTGTATGACGTTGAACTAAAGGTGTTGAGTGCCTGTCCCTTGTCAATTCAAATTCTATTCTATTTATTTCCTCTTCGAGAAATTATATTTCATTTGCAATCAAATCATTCGCGCAAGACCCCATGTCAAACAATATACCCGTGGCATGCAATAAAGTCATATGAAGAATGTCAAACAATAAAATTGGTCAGCAAAAAACAAAACAAAGAAGCGCACACCGCTGCCACCAAATAATGTAATGTGTAATTGAGTTCTTTTTCGCTAACCTTGTTCAAAAATGATAAATGGCAAACAATTTTTCTCAATCACTAATTAGATTTATATCATTCATTAAATATCCCTTCTTTGGGTCGAAAAGAATCAAGTACAACTAGCTAACTACAGCGAAGGTAAACCTACACTTCTTATAAAAAAGATCTATACACAAGTACCAAGGACAGGTCGGGTCTATTCGGGCCACTAACCCTGGTACCTGTGATCTTCCTGACAAATAGTCAGACCTTTGGCTTATGCCTCGCCAAACTATATCATACAATTGAACAGCTTCGGCTCTATTCGGGCCACTGATCAATTGTACGAGTACAGAAGTTTAAACTAGAAATAAATATTACCTAACTCTTTATCCGCTGTAACAGGAACCAGAATGTCTCTCAGCGTCTCTTACTTTTATAATAGTGAGACAGTCTATTAGAAAGGGGTGTCAGGTTATTCCATTATGTTTATTATTATGGTCACTAAAACGTTTGAAGTAATAGATCAAAAATATCAAAGTTATTACCGAATAAAGTTCTTTTTTCTTTGATACTTCGATCAAAAGAAAAAAAATATTACATTCATTTCTTAAATCAAAAGATTTTTTTTCCAATTAGAATCAAGTATTGTATAGAAATTAAATGATTAGTCTTTCTAGTCAACGACTAGCTAATCTATAAAACCATAATGCTACAGTTCTACAGCTAGGTATACTGGTATATATGAGGATAATCATGCACCTGCTAGTTTTGGGGTATTTACATATTAAGAAATAACAAAAAGTTGTCTGCATCGTTTTCCAGGTTTTGGTATATGACTATAGTTGCCTGCTACAGAAATACGACCAATAAAAACTGTTCCTGGGTCAGTTCTGATGATGACATCACAATAGATTATGACATCTGGTTGGTTAACGGTGATGCCATTTACAAGAAATGGAACCCAGTGGAACGTCAGTTTTCGTATGAGGAACATGGTATTTTTGAAAGTATCGGCGGTCAACGCTCATTAACGCTTAATTGGTCTACAATGAAAAAAAGACCCCCCAAAAGACGGCCAACCTATAATCAACCTCCACGGAAGTTCAATGTTCTTTAATTTTTTCACATCACACGAGAACCAGTTGCTATATATGCATTTTACGTTTTATATGCCTGCACTTAGCATGTTTTTTTTTTGCATTTCACGTATAAACAAATATTCTTATTTGTAATTTTCAACCACTTTCACTCTCATTTAATGAATAAAATATGAGAAATTATCCGTGTAAGGCTTATTGTCATATGTTTGTATATCAAAACAGCATTGTTGTATATTGTATTATAACTTTGAATTATTATGTAATGTTATATTCAAAATTACATGTATTATATATAATTGTTTACTAGAAATGAGTGGAACTTTGGGACTGAAGAACACTTGACCTGCCCCCCCCCCCCCCATTTTAGACTCATTGAGAGTCATTGTTTTATATGTTTTATGTACTATTTGTAATTTTGTAAACTGATGAGCTGTATTGCCCAAAGTTATATTCTGAATAAACTATATTGTTATAATTACACTTTTTGGATTAAGCCTTGTACATTTCAAATGTGCTTATTTCAAAAAATTGTATGCTTAATCAAATTGAAGATGAAGAACATTTCCTTATTCGCTGTAGCAAATTTAAAAAGGAAAGGGAAGACCTATTCCTATTTAAGTTATTTAACCTGATCTCATCTTAAGTAAAACATTTTACAATATTGTCTGATAAACAAAAAATATTCTAGATTTCAATTGTGAAGAATTACCTAGTAAATATATTTGATTCTCTTGGAATATTTTTTTTTTTACAAAAATTGAGCATTACCGTAAGTTTTAGAAATGTGACATTTTTGATGAACTATGTAAAAGTATAGTACTTTCAAGTAAATATGATTTAGTAATGTAACAAGCAAATTCAAACAAATGTGGTCCCCAGCTTTCGGTGTCTTTGTGGGTGAGATATATGATATATTGTGTCAAAATAAACGTCCTATCATATGTCATTTAGAAATTATCATTGAAGTTGATTTTTTTTTAAATAAGGTCAATCGTGAAGGTCAAAGTCAAGGGGTCAGAAATCATAGCATGCTCGGAAATATCTTGTCACAGGTAATGCACATGTCAACTATTCTTAAATGCAAATTAAGTAGGTCAAGGTCAAGGTCATTCATGGTATCCAATGAAAGTTCCTGTCACAAGGATTAAATATGTGAAATATGAAAGCCTTAACCCTAACACTTCAAAAGTTATGGTCAATGTTTGTTTTTTCTTAAAGTAGGTTAAACGTCAAGGTCAAAGGGTCAAAGTTCTTGGTATCCAATGAAAGGCCTTCTTACACGGATTACATATTTGAAGTATGAAAGCCCTAACATGAGTTATGCGAGCGGATCTAACATCTAATTTTAATCAGATTTCACTACCTGAGGATGCTTTCATATAAATATCATCAATCCTGGCTTTGATGTTCTTGAGAAGACTATTTTTCTACGTATTCCTATGTAAAAATTGATCATTCCTTAAAATTGTGGTCCCACCATACCCCCGGGGGTCATGATTTGCACAAATTTGAATTTACACTATATCTGAGGATGCTTACATATAAATATTACCAATCTTGGCTTTCCTACTTTTGTGTAGAAGAATTTAAAATGATCTCCCCTTGAATGAGGGCTTGGCCCTAAATTCATTTGAACAAAATCCCCTTCACCCAAGAACACTCTGTGACAAGTTTACTTGGCCAATTTCAGCCAATTTGCTGAAATTGGCCCAGTTGTTCTTGAGAAGAAGATGAAAATATGAAAAGTTTACGACGACAACAACGACAGAAAACAGAAAAAATTTTGATCAGAAAAGCTCACTTCCAAGAACCTTCGGCTCAGGTGATCTAAAACTGCGGCGACATTTTTTGAACCTTAATGTATTGAGAATGAGTGAAAATACTTGTTTTTATTTTTTTTTTTTTTTAAAAAGGTAAATCTAAGATTTAATTCTTATTTTCAACAAGCAAATTCAAACAACTGTGGTCCCCCGCTTTCGGTGTCTTTGTGCAATGTCATTTTTTTATGACATATTGTGTCAAATATAACGCCTTTCTAAATGGCGTTATTACGCCTCTCCGTTCTAAAAGGCGTTATTACGCCTTTTTAAAAGGCGTTATAACGCCTTTCCAAAAGGCATTATTACGCCTTTCTAAAAGGCGTTATTACGCCTTTCTTAAAAACGTTATTACGCCTTTCAAAAAGGCGTTATAACGCCTTTCCAAAAGGCGTTATTACGCCTTTATAAAAGGTGTTATTACGCCTTTTCAAAAAGCGTTATTACGCCTTTATAAAAGACGTTTTTACGCCTTTCCAAAAGGCGTTAATACGTCTTTATTTTGAATACATGACTGAACATATTTAGCCCAACTAAGGGGCGGAGTGTTGTGGGGGGGGGGGGGGGGGGGGGTCAGAAATCTTACCTTTGGGAAATGAATTTCACAATTTGATATATATGATGGCATATTTCTTCCCCCTACATGCAAGGTAAATTATGTTAACATGCAAGAAAATTATGTCAACATGCAAGAAAATTATGTTGACATGCAAGATAATTATGTTGACATGCAAGTTCCACATTTTTTAGGGGAATTTGATTTAAGTATGGGTAAAATCCTGTGCTGACGCCCTGACATCGAAGATGCAAGACGCAGCATAATTATGAGAAGATGCGATTTACTTAATATGTTAACATGCGATATAATTATCTTGACATGCAAGATATTTATGTCAACATGCGAGTAAATTATATAGACATGCAACTTATTTATGTCAACATGCAACATACTTGTGTTAACACGTGAGATACTTATGTTAACATGCGACTTATTTATGTTAACATGCAGAATATTTATGTTCACATGCAACTTATCTATGTCAACATGCAAGATAATAACTTGCATACAACTTACATATCTACGGAAACGTATAACCGCCTCGTGTTGTTGTTTTAGAACGCGATATCATGATATAAAAATGTTGCCAAATACAATTACTTAAAGGTTTGTCGATATAATTATGACAACAATCTCTGATGAATGCTACTTTTCTACTATGTTTTAGACGACTTATGAGCTTTGATGTATCCAAGTTAAATTCCTAAATGTCGCACATAAAATAATGTGTAAATATTATGTCGCTAAAACTAGATATCGCAGACATTAGTGCAATATAACTTAAATGAAGACTTTGCTTAGACGACTTGATTTAATCAAAGAGAAAAATTCAAAAAAATTCAAACGACTTATAACATCAGATTTATTGCCTGACGTCACGGCGTCAGGCTGTATAAGGATTGATAATTGCTTGATCCGAAACTAATAGATCATACCCTGAGAGCTAGATTTTGTGCAAGCTAATTTACATTGGAAATCTTTTACCTGCATTTTAAAAGAAACATTTTTCAGGGAAACAATGATTTTACTGATGCAAAATAATGCAGTATTTTCTTTGTTTACTCTGTTTGCATGAAACAGATTATTCCATGTGATTTACCATTTCAAAGTGTCCGTGTATCTTTTTTTCTCCATTTCTATACTACTGGATCAGTCCATTTATATTCTACAAAAGGGGTGAATCGCTCTTTTCGCGCCAAATGTCACGAGTAAGCGATCTTCGCGCCTTTTCTTGGATTGTTCTATTGTATGAATGGGGGTGCTAACTTCCATGGAATTAAATAAAGTTTGTTATTGTAACCTCCATCTTCTTATGATTCAGAAATTCTCTCTACAAATTTTATCTTATTCCTTAAAACAAAAGATGAATCATATGTATCAGAAAATGGACATGCAAAACAAATGATTTCTCCAATTTGTTTCCCCTCTGTTGGTTTATTCCAAATTTTAATGGACTAGTCCAATCACCACAAACGATCGACGCAGTTCAACCAGATTCCAGACGATTTGGCGAAAGAAATTACCTGTGCGAAATCTTGGATTTCTTTTCCACAAAGGCCTTAATGTTGGTTTTACCTATTTCGCTCAAAAAATTATAGTACCCACCTTTCAGAAAAAAAGATCAATGAACACAAACTACTACTTCATTGGAAAAAATACTTTCCTACATTAACATATGTATTTAACATGTAGTTATATCCATTCTCTAAAATGTTCACAATGAATGATTTGACAACAGATTTCAGAATAGATGTAGGTTTAAATTTAGATCCAGGGGTAGATCAATCTACTTGCACGGAAAAGTCAATCGCATCATCTCGGATCTTTTCGTCAGAGGTCAAAAAACAAACTCGAATATATCGACATCATCGGATGTTAAAAATTTCTACATTTCCTGTTCATAGTAAAAACGGAGTTAGAAGTCCCTTCTATAGTATATTTTAGATAATATCATTACATTGAATAAAGTTAACTCCATATTCCACAGATAATAGGTCTATATACATCATCCATGCTTTCATTTCAAAGTTTGTGAAAAGGGGGGGGGGGGGGTCATGGCGTATAAATTAACAATACATTTTTGGTCTTCTTCCCTCGATAAGGCCCGAGGAGTTGCGATTGGCAGAAAACCCACATACATTAACCATTCTGTTAACAACTCTTCAGAATGCAGCAAAGGCATCGTTCTTCTACAAAAAAAGACATATTTCAAACACAAAAAAGTATTGCTCAAAAGGTTTATCACTTCTCTTACAGATATTGATTGATTAAGTCAGGCAAGCTTTTTGAAAAGCTGTTACTTGTACAAGATACAAGATTTTATCAGTCCAATTTGGGCTCTTGGAGGAGCAAAAAGAAAAAATTACAAACAAAAGAAGGAGGAGGATCAAACTGATAGAACAAATATGATCTTACATATAATGAGAGCAGTTGATAAAAATGTACTAGTATATAAGAGATATACTGAATAAACATACATGAGTTGTATATATGTTACAATAACATTATAAAGTGATTTCAAGTGAAAAAAGTACATATTTGCATATCAAAATATCCTCAATTAAGGTAAATTATCAAGGAATCTAGCAATAGATATTAGGATGTCAGGGTCTTAATTAGTCATGAGCCAATAAAAATGATTATCATAATATAGAAACTGAAAATTTTAACATTTAATTTTACAAATATTTAAAAGTTCAAGTCTTTTTACATTAAGATGAGGACATACAAGGAGAAAATGATTTTCATCCTGAATATAACGTATTGCATTGAATTGATGCCTGATTTAAATAAAATAATTTAAATAGTTATAGGATATCTTGCAGGCTCTTCCCTAAAAATTAAATCTTATGAATGTTGCTTCAAAGGACAGTCACTATATTTGGTAATACTTATCCACTATTCAATGCAAACTATGATAACGATATCTTTAATCATGTTCTTAGCTTGGAGAACATATGCAAACATACAAGCATTTAATATTTTCGTCTGATGTAATGTCATCATTAAATATGCCTTCACATCTGCACTTACTCTATATATGTATTTTAAAATTATGTGTAGATTGATAAAATGAATGAAATAATTTGCATTTTGTCCTCTTTCTTTTTAAAATAACACACAAGCTCATTAGTTAGTGCTGTCACAGACACAATTTTCCCCCCAATCATGTTATGAATCATTTAGTAAATTCAGATTTATGTTATAATTTAAAAAAATCATATAATTTTATGAAGTTGATCTTTGAGAACATTTAAAAAAGCATATACATAAAGAATTATAACACTGTAAAAACTGCAAATGTCTTTTTGTTTATTCTGAGAAAAAAACATTGCAATTACTGACAGCATGAAATTTTAGATTTTTATTTTTAAAAATCATATATTTTTTAAATAATCAATTTCGGGGAATAAAAATCAGGCATGTAGCTACGGTTTTCAAAGAGTGTCCCGAGTCCTAAGAAAAGCACACATTTAGAAAAAGAGGAAAGTATTGTCTAGACATGTACTACGGGCCTGCAATTACTTTAGTGCTATAACAATTTAATTTGAATTATATTATTTTAATCAGAATCAATTCAATGCAATACGTCATATCAATAAATCTGATGCTACAAGTCGTTCGCATTTTGCTGAATTTCCTCTTTGATTAAATCTAGACGTCTTCGCGAAGTCGTCATATTTGTAACATTGCACTAATATCTGCGATATTTTAATTTTAGCGGCTTGATTTTTACACATCATTTTAGTGCGACCTTTAGAAACTCAACTTGGATACATCAAAGTGTATAAGTCGTCTAAAACATATCAGAATAGTATTCTTCGTCAGAGATTGTTGTCATAATTATATCGACAAACCTTGAAGTAATTGTATTTGACAACATTTTTATATCATAATATCGCGTTCTAAAACAACAACACGAGGCGGTTATACGTTTCCGTACATATCTTGTATGTTAACATTATTATCTTGCATGTTGACATAAATAAGTTGCATGTTAACATAATTATCTTGCATATTAACATAAATAAGTCGCATGTTGACATGATAATCTTGCATGTTGACATAAATAAGTCGCATGTTGACATAATTATCTTGCATATTGACATAAATAAGTCGCATGTTAACATAATTATCTTGCATGTTAACATAAATAAGTTGCATGTCTACATAATTATGTTGCATATTGCATCTAGAATGTCAGATACAGGCATAAATTTACCCATATTTAAATTATATTTTCTTATAAGATTTGTAACTTGCATGGCAACATAACTAGCATGTTGACATAAATATGTTTCATGTCTAAATAATTATGTTGCATGTTAACATAATTTATCTTGCATGTAGGGGGCAGAAATATGCCACCATAGATATAGGACTAATTTCTAAAACAATAATTTAAACAAATAACATTTAAGATTTCTAGGAAAAAAAGATTTTTAAATGCACATATATTTTCAATAACTAGAACCAACTATATAAGTCCTTCTTAAATACCAGACACACCTCTACCAAGGATCATCAACAAGATCAGTGAACAATTAAAGAACATTTCTAAATCAAATTCTGGGAAATTAACTTTTTATAGTAATATAATTGATTTAAATGAATATAAATTACAAACATATCTAGAATTACCATTGAAGAAATCTGAAAGGACAATCCTAACAAAACGAAGAATTAGTGCTCATACCCTACATATTGGAATGGGGAATAAAATAAGGCCACCTATTCCTAAAAAAACGTGTATGTCATTTTTGTAAATTTTTTATTGAAAATGAAAACCATTTTGTACTTTATTGTCCTAGTTATATCAATGTAGATTACAATATTACGATATATTCAATGCACAATGTTACATGAAGGAAAACCCTATTATTGACATTATCAATCCTACAAGTATTAGAACTGCTATGAGAGTTTGTAACTTTTTGAAAAAGTGCTTTGATATTAGGAAAGAAAACCTTCAACAAACCTGATATGCTTTCTTTGATATTTTATTTCATGTACATGTATGTTAATTGTTGTATTCATGACTATATGCCAATGTATGATGGTGTTGTCAATAAATGAATTGAAAATTGATTTCAATTGCTCATTATGATTATACCTATGCAAATAGTTTGCCTGCTTTTTTCCAAGAAGAGAGAAAAATTCTTCAAATGAAATGAATTTTAATACATAGCAAGCAAAGCTCCAAGATACATCTGCCTATATCGTATCTTCACAAGTAGAATAATCTCTTAATACGATTTTTTAAACAGTTTTCAGTGAGATTGCAATTTTAGAGAATTGCATAAATAAAGATGGTGTGAATGAACTCTTTCATATCTTTTTTAACATAAAATAACGCCTTTCCATTTTCCTTTTGATAGAAAAATAACTTGCACACAAGGGGCAGAAATATGCCACCATAGCTAAGGAAAACGATAGACAAAATAAGCACAGCCAAGACACACAAAATTACGAATAAAATTGTCTTTATAATGTTTATCTGAACAATTGCATCTTTTGATAAATATCTCAAAATTTACATGACTGAATCATTCATAATTTTGACATACACGATAGAAAATTTAATATTTATAAAATAACGGGGGTTTTCATTTACAGGCCTGTTAAATGCAAAATGATGGACTTTAAAAAGCGTTATATTTTTCCTTTTGGAAAGGCGTAATAACGCATTTTTTCTTTTCGTAATAACGCCTTTTTTATAGGCATAAAACGCCTTTTAGGAAATAATTGAAATTCCTTTACTGGAAAGGCGTAATAACAACCTTGTATAAAGGTGTAATAAAGCCTTTTGATTTTTTTTCTCTAGAAAGTTAATTTTATAGGCTTTATACTTCTGTCAAAAGTTAGAAGGAAAAAAATTTAAATTTAAAATATTTGACTGTCAAGGTCTTTTTCACAAGATAAAAAAGCATAGTGTATTTCCAAATTTCTTGTCACAACAATGCATTATTTTTAATATGAAAGCCCTGTGTCTTCTCATTCAAAAGTCATGACAAAGGTAATAGTTTTTGAAAAGTGGGCCAATCATTCAAGAGACAGAAAGTATCAAAAGAAAAAAAAAACGATACTTATGTGTTTAGCAAAAAAATTATACTTTAAGTAGATTCATAAAGGTAACTTTGAGAAATGCACATTTAAAACATCATTTAAAGTTTAATTTTCTCAGAACTTTAGAATTATTGAATATTTAAACATTTTTATAACCCTCTACTTCTTTTCAAAATAGATTTATGCACATGTCAAATATCATTATGTTTGCAAAAAAAACAAGTTTGACAAGACTAAAACAGCGATATTAATTACATGTAGAGCAAGCGAAGGAATTTGTAAAGAATTGCAACTTACAGGTGATATGGCGTCGTTCGATCAGATAAAAACGACTTGCTCATTGTGTTATAAATTATACATTATGCTGATCATAATGATAACAGTCCGATCAACAAATATTTTATGTTACACGTTATAAACATAGTATGAACGGATATCAATTTGAAAGGTAAGGTGTATTCAGCAGTTAGAAATTAACACATTTCAACTAAAGGCTTCCAAATTAAATGAATAAAGTAATATAATTTTATTAATACAAGAATTTTTACCTGTGTACCCGCCAAAAAATTCTCTTTAATATCTTTTATATGAAATAAGATTTTTAATAAATTTTTGTGTGAAATGAACATAAACCATATATAAGCACTTAAAAATGCAAAAATAACTTCAATGATCTGTGCAAAAGTTGACTGTCGTTTGGCATTCTTTCAATGTCATATTTTTTTACTTCGAACATACAGAAAAGAAAAATTGAATAAAATAAAATAAAACTTGCATATTATTTTGATTGATTAGACATTTCTCTGACCAAAAAGTAGCCATGACACATTTTTGGACAAAATTAATTAATTTTGCAACCTGTTAGTGATGATTTTGTTTCAACATTTGAGACGGTAAGAAAGAACAGTATACAAGAGATATCGAAACCGCAGCAAACATAATCTGACAAATATGAAAATTTCATAATATTTGGATTGATCAGTTGTGTTTATTTGCTCCTTTGTTTTCTTGTTGTACACTCAGAAAGACATAAAGGGACGTGGTATCATATATTTTCTAAAGTTTGTGTCAAAATTCGGTGTACAAGAAATTTTACCGACTTGAAAAATGAAGACTTTTCACAAGGATTCTTTTACGGAAATATAACAACGAATAGCAATTCATCAAACTCGTTAACACTAGTTGTTGTTGACAGTGAATACTTCTCTCATATTTTTGGAAATGTTATTTTAAAATTAAACAAACAACATAAAACCAACATTTGTAAATCTATGTTTAAAAAAATTGATGAAGTGGCATTTGATAAAGACTGCAAACCAAAAGGGACAGCAAATTACAAATTAAAGAGTTCCATGTCCTTTTAAAAATAAACTTTGTAAATTATGAAGACACTCCATCAATATGTATTTCCAAACTATCAATTTACATATAAAATAATGGATAAACAAATACCAAGGTATGTCATTTTTATACTTCTTTTGATTTTTTCTCTCTTGCAAAGAAAATTAGTAATATGTTTACAGTGTGACTGTTGGGGCAAAACTGTTGTAATAAAAACACTTAAAAATATAATAGCAACTAAAACATCAAAAAAACGATTTACATAGAAATTTACTCGCATATGATGTCACACGACATCACGTAGCTCGATATGAACTTTTTTTTTAAAAGACAGCCTAAAATCTGTTTGAAACTAGATAACTTTTATAGACCTAGTGCAAATTTGTCGATTTTTTTTTTTTGTTTCTTTTAAAGATTTCTACAAACTGAAAGCCTTGAATGCTTTACGTTATTATTTATTGATGCAAAGGACATATCGGTAGTAAAGGAATTATGGGAATGTTTCACACAAATATTTGCCTGACGTATGTACAGAAAATTCTGAATTAAAAGATCCTTCATTCTTACATGTTTGTCTACATTGAGCTTGCTGCGCTCGCTATAAGTATTTAATATTATTTCTTTCACATGTGAGTACATAAAATTTAAAAAATATATTGTTTTCATTGTTTTGCTTCTTTTGCACTTTCTATGGTTCTTAATCACCTCTGCTTTGTGCTAGTTGACTTCGTAACACATAAGTATGATTCCTTCATTTCTTTCATTTATATGAAGAAAGAAATTTTTAACCTGGAAAAGAATATTTTTGAATGCATTTTGTTAAAAGTATGTTACCTAAGATGGATTATGAATAATAAAAATTGACCATTGGAATTGGTAGCATTTTTGTCAACAATTCATGTTCTCAGATGAACGATACAACACTAGGTATTTCGATACAATATTTTTACAAATATCCCAGAAAAATTACATAATTGATGAAAAAGTGTGATTGAATAGCAAAATGAGGCTATTTTGAATAACTATTAATAAAATTTAAATCAAGCTATTTAGTTAATCAAGAGATTGTGCTGGTGACCTAGAGAAAGTAACAGCAACCATGATAAATCTGGTTCTACATGAAGTTTGTTGAGAAAATTGATTAAGACATACCGGTACACAATTATAAGTACTTTATGGTGAAATCTTTTAAAGAAAACATGAACTTCAAAGCATTTTCAATAAATGTGTATTTGCACTGCATCATGCACAATTTATCATACATGATGTAACAGAGTCCAAATATTGTTTATTAGTGAGGTCAAGTAGGAAGAAACCTCACGTTTATTAGGATCTTGATATTGTAACATTAAGCTAATAATGTTATATCATATTATATTATTGTCAGGCATGCATATGCTGAGGCATATACCTTCACCATGGACTATGTTCCTGCCTCTCTGACACAAACTGAAAAAAAATCTCCTAGAAGTGTAACTTCATCCAGTTATTTGTATTAGCAACAATGTATACCATTAAAACTAGTTGACAGTGTCACTTAGTAAGTTTTACAACTGTTGGTATTAAAGAAAGAAAAATGAAGGGCGTTCAGTCTTTGGTCAGATTTCCGTTTTACTCTATCAGACAATCTCCCATTTGAACCTTTCTACAAAAACCATTTATAATAGGCATTGGAATAACACCTATAAACACCCAATAAAACTCCTTCAAACAGATTTGAATGCTTTGGCAGAGATGTGCAGAATTTCCTCTTGTGGAATCAGGGTGTCATTTTTTTTTAGGTATTGTAATAGATGTTATATTATATTCATGAGACCATGGTCCTGATGATTTTAAGAAAATTGCCAGGGAAGTTTAGCCATATTCTGGCAAAGTGTGCCACATACAATCTAAAATGTTTTCATCTCAACAGGAAATGTTCACTGACCCACATGGCACAAACTCCTATTCTTTAAATTTACACCCACTTGAAATTTAAACTTTTGCAACCTTTCTTTCTTTTAAATTGTTGTCAAGATGGATGGTGATAAAGTACTAATTGATATAAACAGCAGTATTTCTTTTCCACCTGTTGGTTTCTGCAGTCGGGCATAAAAATCCTTACCTGGAGTTGTTGTCTTCTGGTTTTGACTATGTTAGTGAAAATCTTAATGACATAGGAAAGGTCGAGTTACATTTTTGATTTTTATGAACCCATATTCAAACATTTTGGGACATGTATATAGATATTTGTCAATTTATCCATCTGTCTGTCTGTTTAAAGTTTTTTTGCAAAAACTTTAACCTTGCCCATAATGTTTGAATGTTTGAAACAATGGCTTTCATATTTCACATATGTTCTCCTTAAAACAAGATTTTTCTGTGATAAAAACACATTTGACCTCTTTAACATTGATCTTTGAGTTGCACCTACTTTCCAAATTTTAACTTTGGCAACATCTTTTCAATGCTTTGACTAGGGCTTCTGTGTTTATCATGACATATACATGTATTTTTTTTTTGCGCTAAAAAGGGCTTCTCCATTAATCATGTTAATACAGACTTCTTGACTGAAAAAAAATTTTGAATATCTCTATTTTTTGTGACCTTTGTCAGAATGACTTACTCTGGAAAATGACACATCATCTAGCCATTACCTGCCTATTGTCATTACCGTAAATGATTCTTGTGCATATTAATGAAAATCATGGGCCCAACAATTAAATAGCATTTCTAATTCCCATGACCTTGATCTTATCCAAATAAACTTGGTTAGATTCTTGACAAACCCCATGACCTTGATCTTATCCTGATTCTTAAGCTAGGAACTTGTGTGAAGTATGAATTATAATTAAAAATTTGCTTAATAAATTCAGAAATTGAAAAATTAAAAATATCTTTGTAGGTTTTCAACAAAATGACAGACATATAAAAACAAGATGTTATTGTTAGCTACAGTACTTCCTTCTTTATACTTGTTGAGTGTTAACTACATGTATCAAGTCAATAATAAACCGAATAACTGAAGAGGACCACAGATGTGTACCCCTCGTGATCCACAGTGATTCAACTGTTACGTGCAAACATGTTTCCAACCCTATTATTATTCTCCTGAGCACCATTTTATCATATTTTTAGGGAAAGTGATATTGAACAAAATGAACTTTAAGCTTCTGAGCAGAGTCACAGATGTGCAAATCTACAATGAATGAAAGTAAAATGTTGGATTTCCTATCAATAAGTTTCCATTTGTACAAATCATCAATCAAAAATTAGTGACAAAATTATTCAATTAATGGAAACAAGCCATAAAAAGATGATAGTCATTGGTGACTCAGATATCTTGATTTCTGAAGTGATCGATACTTAATATAAAAAGTTTGTGGAAGTTAAAGAAAAACTTAAATACTTGAAATGATTTTTGAATTATTTGAAAGAACTAATTATTTGAACTACCAGTACTTTAAAGTAGTTTTTTCAAAGATTTTTTTTTTTAAAGAGACAGAAAAAAATAATAGAAACAGACATTAATAATTTAAAAATCATTTCAAGTATTTTAGTTTTTCTTCCAAGTCCACAAACATACATGGCTTTAATGAACAAAGGTCGGCACCCTAAAAACAATGTATTTTTCACCACAAAGAATGACCAATAATTTCATTGGGCACCTTATAACTGACCTGGTTTAAGATCAAATTACCAGGTACACGACTTTCTGGGGTCTATTTTTTGTATCAGTGAAAAATCAGAAAATTCAAATAAAAGTATTTCAATGAGAGATTGCAGTTTCCTGTGATCAAACTTATTTCCAGAGGCAAAGCCAATAAGTGCATGCTAATTTAATGTTTTATTTGTAAGCATACTAGTGGTTGTTTGTATTAGTATGACATGAAATATGTCCAAAATTTACAATTCAATACTTAATTGTCACTGTAACTTTTGAAATTTTATGTCCTATTTACATGATGATGTAAGTTGTATGAGTATAATTAACTGCTAGTTTTTAGGTGTTTACAGAGAATATATGAAATAACAAAAAGTTGCTTGCATTGTATTTACAGATTTTGGTATATGAGTATAGTTGCCTGCTACAGAAATACGACCAATAAAAACTGTTCCTGGGTCAGTTCTGATGATGACATCACAATAGATTATGACATCTGGTTGGTTAACGGTGACCCAATTTACAAGAAATGGAACCCAGTGGAACATCAGTTTTCGTTTGAGGAACATGATATTTTTGAAACCTTTTTGGGTTTCCTCGGTGTGTACGTCATCATAGTACCCTTCTGGTTTTATGTTTATTCCAAACAGAGGCATTCTCTCACAAAGTTTTTGCTGCTCATCACATGCACAGAAGCATTTGGAATATTTTGTAACTTTATTCATGTAGCCGTATTTGCCTCCAATGGAGTAGGGGTGTATTGGATTGCCGTTTTAGGTAATGCTATAGACACGGTGGCTCAGTGTTTGTTTATGCTGAGTCTGTTACTTCTTGCCAAGGGTTGGATGATCACCCAGCCCACCATTCGGGGGAAGAAGACCGTCTTCTCTCTGTGGGGGATCTACACGCTGCTCAACTGTGTCCTGTTCCTGTGGAACCTGGTAAGTCACAAAAATACAGTCCAACCTCCTTAACTGGAACTTGATGGGACTAAAAAAATTTTGTTTTGAGAAATCTGAGGCCTTGAAATATTGAGGGTAAAATATATCCAGGAAAAGTGGTAGGGACTTCCATATAACATTAACATATCTGTGGTATTCAAAATAGGATTGTGATAATGAAGTTCAGCTGTATTTCAAACACCTTTGAACATGTTGAAAATGTATCCTTTTTTTGTTGATGGTTAATTGATTATGTTGAAGTGAGTTGGAAGTCTTCCAGTTACTTTTCCATAAGAATGTTTATCTCAATTAATATTTTAAATTCTCAGATACAAGTTTTTCCCGTGGTCCAATTGACCATGATTGAGTTTGAGTTTATTGTATATAGCACATTTACATTTCTTATCATGAATCACTTTAAATACGTGTACCACTTTTGAAGGAGTTGTGGAATCTTATCAAGGTAGTAGGTACTTGACAGGTAGAATTGCAAACCTATAAATATGGGAAGAGGAGAGTAGTATGACTGAACAAATACACAGAGATACTGGAGTTATCTGTACTAGGGATGTCACAGTGTTGTCCTGTTATCTCTTGTAGCGTTCTGTTACTCGAAAATATGATAAAGGTTACTCTCTGTCCCACTATCTGTATACTAGTACCCCTCTCACTGGTTGTTTAATGAAGGTAAACATCTTTTTTAAACTGCAGACCAATGCCAATTTTTTTTATTAGCTTTGGGGTACCCATCTCTTATCTGCTACTCCTCTTATACCACTGAATGAAATTTGATGAGACTTTCAGAGAATCTTTATTACATAATGCCATTATGCATCTCCTATTTTACTTTTTGATCCAACACATATTTTGGGTTTCCCATAGCAAAACATGGACACTGTCATTATATTCATATGGGAGGTGGGGGCATCATTTAGTGAGCTCATTGCTCTCTAGTTTCTAACAAGGTACATGTACCTGAATGAATTCATTGACATTTACATGTAAGTATCTATTTATAGTTTGAGGTGGATGTCATTTCTAACAAGGATGAGTGGCAGACCTGGCCGGGGTACCTGATCTGTGGATTCCGGATTGTTATTATGATCTGGTTTATCGTAGAACTAAGACACACCTTCCTGTCCAGCCGGTGTCCGGAGACTAGACTACAGTTCCTCCAGCAGTTTGGAGCCTACTTCTTAGTCTGGTTTATCTATCTTCCAGTTTTAGTTATCCTCAATACACAGTTCTCCGCTCTGTGGAAGAAAAAAATAATGCTTTGTAAGTGTACCATGGGTAAAAACTCTTCATCACGTTCATATGCCATAAATATGTTTTATTGAATAATTTTGATAATTGATATGAGAGGAGACTATATATTGTTATTTTTTATGTATTGTTAGCTCACCTGAGCCGAAGGCTCAAGTGAGCTTTTCTGATCACATTTTGTCGTCGTCCGTCCGTCTAGCTGTCCGTCTGTCTGTCCGTCTGTAAACTTTTCACATTTTCGACTTCTTCTCAAGAACCACTGGGCCAATTTTGACCAAACTTGGTACAAATTATCCATGAATGAAGCGGAATTTAAATTGTTAAAATAAAGGGCCAAGTCCCCTCACAAGGGGAGATAATCAAGAAAAGACAAAAATAGGGTGGGGTCATTAAAAAATCTTCTTCTCAAGAACCACTGGGCTAGAAAAGCTGAAACTTATGTGGAAGCATCCTGGGGTAGTGTAGATTCTAAATTGTTCAAATCGTGACCCCCGGGGGAAGGGCGGGGCCACAATGGGAAATCAAAGTTTTACATAGAAATATATAGGAAAAATCTTTGAAAATCTTCTTCTCAAGAACCACTGGGCCAGAAAAGCTGAAACTTATATGGAAGCATCCTGGGGAAGTGTAGATTCTAAATTGTTCAAATCATGAGCCCCGGGGGAAGGGCAGGGCCACAATGGGGAATCAAAGTTTTACATAGAAATATATAGGAAAAATCTTTGAAAATCTTCTTCTCAAGAACCACTGGGCCAGAAAAGCTGAAACTTATGTGGAAGCATCCTGGGGTAGTGTAGATTCTAAATTGTTCAAATCATGAGCCCCGGGGGAAGGGCGGGGCCACAATGGGGAATCAAAGTTTTACATAGAAATATATAGGAAAAATCTTTGAAAATCTTCTTCTCAAGAACCACTGGGCCAGAAAAGCTGAAACTTATGTGGAAGCATCCTGGGGTAGTGTAGATTCTAAATTGTTCAAATCATGAGCCCCGGGGGAAGGGCGGGGCCACAATGGGGAATCAAAGTTTTACATAGAAATATATAGGAAAAATCTTTGAAAATCTTCTTCTCAAGAACCACTGGGCCAGAAAAGCTGAAACTTATGTGCACTTGGAAGGATCCTGGAGTAGTGTTGATTTTTAATGTCTTAATTATGATCAGTGGGGTAGGGTGGGGATGCATTATGTATTACAAGGAGGAAATCTGGTAAAGAACAGAATGGTCAAAGCTTCTCAGGTGAGCGATGTGGCCCATGGGTCTCTTGTTTTATTTGTATTATTTTATTGTTAGAACTACTGATCTGCTAGCTTAAAATATTGAAGTTGGAATTCAAATGTATAGTTGAAAGGCTAAATGATACTAGTTCATGTAGTTTGCTGGTTATGTATTTTAGGCAAAACAAATGCAGCAGATCTTCCCTCCTTCCTGATTCTGTTTTACTTGTGTATTTTACTTATTAGGTATAAAAATTCAGTTCACTTCTACTCCTAGCTAATTCTACATATGTATTTTAGGTATAACAAATGGAGCAGACCTCCTGTCTTACTTAATTCTTCTTCACTTATTGTGGCCATCACGGTCCATTCTATACCTCCTCAAAGGAGAGGATCCGATACCATACGACCTTCTAATCACAGGTAAGCAGCGTTAGAGCCGATACCATACGACCTTCTAATCACAGGTAAGCAGCGTTAGAGCCGATACCATACGACCTTCTAATCACAGGTAAGCAGTGTTAGATCCGATACCATACGACCTTCTAATCACAGGTAAGCAGCGTTAGATTCGATACCGTACGACCTTCTAATCACAGGTAAGCAGCGTTAGATTCGATACCGTACGACCTTCTAATCACAGGTAAGCAGCGTTAGATCCGATACCGTACGACCTTCTAATCACAGGTAAGCAGCGTTAGATCCGATACCGTACAACCTTCTAATCACAGGTAAGCAGCGTTAGATCCGATACCGTACGACCTTCTAATCACAGGTAAGCAGTGTTTGATCCGATACCGTACGACCTTCTAATCACAGGTAAGCAGTGTTAGATCCGATACCGTATGACCTTCTAATCATAGGTAAGTTAGATCCGATACCGTATGACCTTCTAATCATAGGTAAGCAGTGTTGTAAATCACGTCATGTATGCAGAGCAGATCCATTTGACATAATAGTCATATAGTGACTGTATAAATTTAGCGATTAACATAATTTTCCTTTATTTTTCAACCAAAGTAGCATAGATACATAAATCTAACAACTGATACGTGGCCTGTGACTAAATTCTGGCCTTACACATGCATCAATATTTAATTAGAATTAGCTTCAGATAGTGTTCACACGGAGCTACATGTATTATGAAATAATTTAATGCCCAATGAAAATCATTTGCCCAAGTGTCAATCTATTTTTATTAAACCGTACACATTAGTAAATTGAAAGGAATACAATGTATTTTCAAAAATAGATTATGAAAATATAACAAATATTGCTTCTGATTAATCTCCAATTCTGTTTTAAGAAATGTTAATGCACTTGTCCATAAAATTATTGCAAAGCTCTAGTACATGATTCTTTAGTTTTAATGACTAAAACCACTATTTATGTCTGGAAAACGTGAAATTTATGGAAATGTTGTTTCTAATTCTGCAAGTCTTGCCTTAGCATGTTGACATGAGATAAGCAAAGTCAGGTAGAACTCGACTGATCATTCTTAACTGGCTGTACAACACAAAAATAATTGTTATTGAGGGCTCTGCATCTTCAATGCTGTTCTTTATGAGAATTTTTTTAAATTCTAGTACAAATATAATATTACTTGTCTTACCTGGAGTTCTGTTTGACAGGTGTTTTAGATGAGGATCAAGATGATAAAACTATATTTAAAAGAAAAAAGAAAACTAAATTAAATGGTCAACTGAGAAGAGAGCCCAACCACAACACAATAAAGAATGGCTTCCATAAATCACCCAATTACACGGACGAGAAGCGGCTGGCCTTACTGCCTGAGGAAGAGGAAGAGGAGGAGTTATAACAACTGCAAATCATGCTGGGTAAAAGAGGTTATAATAATCTCTGAGGAAGAAGTTAAAACTGCAGCAAAGGATGCTGGGTAAAAGAGGCTGTGCGAGCAAGGCAGTTATAACTGGAGCAGGAGACACTTGGAATACATCGAATAACTAAACATTAAACAGTGGGTGATTCAGAGAGGAAAAGTCTTTCATTTTGATTCATTAACTTATTTTAAGTCTGTCTCTACCATAACAGGCCATCTAGATTGTGGACTTGAGGTTAGGTGGGTTTTATTTACTTGTAGAGTATAATCAGCAAAGCTGACATTAGACCCGTGTCGGATGAAGTGTTTATAACAATTTACATGAAATATTTCCTTCTCTTGCTGTCCCTGAGTGTTTTTGTCATAAAGAAATTACTTTTTATTTTCATGTCAAAACTGCTCATATTTATAGATCTCACATTCCACTGTGAATCATAGTTGACTTTTGTCTTGTCTATTTTTTAGGAGGACATTATTTCACATATCAGATTTAAATTGAAAATTTTCCATTATTGCATAATTGAAGAAAATCTCAGATTTTCATATATTTGTCTTGTTTTAATTCTGAGAAGTATGTACATCTGTATAACTTTTAGATGGTTTAATATGCATTTGATCTATGAACTGAATTTATTTAAGCTGCTTAAACCAAATTAAAAGGATCTAGAAAGGATACTGGTTTCAGTTACACTGTCAAATAAATATACATGTACATGTATATATATATATATATCTACTCTTTAGAATGAAGCCATCATACCTCTTCAAATTTTACACATGCAGGAAATTAGAATTTACAAAGAGCAATAAGCTTATTGTCAGTTATGAAAGCATTCCATTAACTTGTGTTAAGACTAGATCCTTAAAAAAATGCAATATGATTGCGAAGTTTTGCACATCAATTTCGACGCCTTTTTGAATTTCTCAGCAAGTATACATTATATATTTTACATGCATTGTATTCTTCGTTGTCCATGCAGTGACATATATATTATAGCAATGGATTAAAGTTTGATTGAAACAAGGTCCTTAAATCAGAGAAAAGGGTCTGTAATTTGAAATTTATTTCTCAGTTGATCATGTGGTTAGTCTTGTTCATTAACTTCTTGTTTTACAAGAGTTGCCTAACATTACTACCTGCAGTTTGTATGTTAGAGGTGTTTATGTTTATTAGCTTGCATTGTGATTTTAATTTTGTGCCAAAAGTCAAATTTAGAGATACAATTACAGATGCATTATATAAGTAGTGGTATTACGTTGATACAGATAGATCCTAGTATTAACTTGTATTTATACAAAGAACAGTTGTTATGTTACCTGACAGCACCTGTCATTTAGGGAGTAGACTATACTGACATTGAATCTGATATGAATGTGTCTCAAATTCATCAAGAACAAACAAGTTAGTCATCTTAGTATATAATAACAGAGTAAGTTTAATCTTTTTTTTGTAAATATATGATTTTTTATGATTTTAACATTATTTACATAGGGAAAGTTGTAAACCTGATAAACAGCATGGCCATACAGACCTATATAAGTTGAGCAATGTAGGCCATGGGCCTTTGTTTAGCTTTAACATAAATTGAAATTTACAATTATATCTGTGAACAAAATAAATGTGAACAACTTATTTAGTGTATGCGTAATGCATATAGCATTGTGATATATTGTACATATTAATGTGCAATTTTTTGGTGATCATATTATAAAAATATTAACACATCTCTTTGCTTTATAATTTTGCCAAAGACATAAAACAAATTGAATCAGTGATCAAGTGAACCCAGTTTTTGTGTAGCTTACTTTTATTTTCATTAAAGGCTTTGAAGGCCTTGGTAGACAATTTTGAGAGCTGTTATAATATACTTTGTAATTGAGAGAGTAGAAATTTACCAGAAATGTCATAGAGCTAATTATAACCAGCATGAACAATAATTACAAATACTGCCACTTCATTTCTATTTTCTTCATAATGGGTGAAGTACTGGTTTATGGTCAGTAATGAACAAAATTCCATCTGATTTTTTCATTTTTAGCTCTACTGGTCAGAGACCAGAAGAGCTTATGCGATAGTAATGTGTCCGTCGTCCGTCTGTCTGTCTGTCTGTCCGTCTGTAAACTCAAAACGCTACTCCTCCTACAGTTTTTGTCTGATTTCAATATAACTTGGCACACAAGCAGACTACACTAAGATACATAATTCTTTTTATCGGTTTTTGATTTCGACGACAGGTGTTGCCATGGTTACTAAAAATAGAAATTTTTGTGAAAATCATTTAAAATGCTACTTCTACAGTTTAAAGTCTGATTTCAATATAACTTGGCACAGAAGTAGACTTAACTAAGATACATAATTCTGTATATCGGTTTTTGATTTCGATGAACGGTGTTGCCGTGGTTACTAAAAATAGAAATTTTTGGGAAAATCATTCAAAATGCTACTCCTCCTACAGTTTTGGTCTGATTTCAATATAACTTGGTACACAAATAGACTATACTGAGATACATAATTCTGTGTATCGGTTTTCAATTTCGATGAATGGTGTTGCCTTGTTACTAAAAATTTGTGAAAATCATTCAAAATGCTACTCCTCCTACAGTTTTAATCTGATTTCAGTATAACTTGGCACACAAGTAGACTACACTAAGATACATAATTCTATTTATCAGTTTTTTATTTCAATGAACGGTGTTGTCATGGTTACTAAAAATAGAATTTTTTTGAAATCCATTCAAAATGCTACTCCTACTACAGTGTTGGTCTGATTTTAATATAACTTGACACACAAGCAAACTACACTGAGATACATAATTATCAGTTTTGTGTTTTGGATTTTCATGATTTATGTTGCCATAGTAATTTAAATTGAAAAATCTGTAAAATTTTATGAAAAGCTTCTCCTACAGTTGTAGTCTTATTGCAGTCTTGCCTCAAAAAGAGACTTAATCTATTTATTGCTGTAGCCTGTAAAGTTTTAAGTCCCACCTGCTACTTTTATATTTTTCTTTTTTATAAGTACAAACCAGTAGAGCTACAGTCTCGACAGAGACTTCTGGTTATATTCAAGCCTCAGTTACAAATATCCAGTTTGGTTGCAAAGAACATACTTTCTATATGTAGGAAAATTTTGATAAGGCCATCTTTGAAATGTTTGCTTGCCCTCTCCCGACTTAGGGTAAAATTATTGAGTCAGTAGGTAGGGGAGATCTTTTTCCACAAAATTTCAACATATTTGATTATGGGATGAAAGGAATAAAATGAAAAAAATATTGTAACCTGGAATGTAAAGTTTTGAGTCGCACCATTATTGGCCAGTTGGTTGGGAGAGGTCTTCCAAACTATTTTTCAAAAGGCCTAATTTGTGATATTTTTTCTTTCTGTACTTGTCATTAGTTGCATTCTCTGTTGATATGAATTGTCTTAATGGTTGAATAAATGAATGATGCCTAAATGTTGATTACACTTTTTTCAGAATGTAATGACACTCGAGAATTGAACATGATTTACAATGTTATTCTAGATTTTTTTGGATTTGCTTCATTGGTATGGTCATCATATGATATGAATGTGTCTAAGTATGGCAGCATCATTATATATATCTGTGTATTTGACTAAATGACCACCGTATTGTTAGCCACAGTCTTCTGTTTCACTTGAAGCTTACTTTGTGTATAAGTTACAGTGTATATTCAGTTTTTGAGGAACTATAAAGGCAAGCATAAGCTAACTGATCGATTTCTAAACAATTGCAAAATACTGTTTTATTTTATAATTTTAAAAAGACCTTGCACATTTTTAGGAATATGCTAATTTGGGGATTTACCTTTAGTTAATAAGGAGGTTTAGCAAACCAGTATTTATATGTATGTTAACTTACGAATGTATCAGGCAATTCCCCCCAAAATCTGTGGATTATGTCATTACATTTGTTGCCAATTTGTAATCACTTGGAAGTTAGATGACTACAGCAAAACTTGTTTAGTACGAACACGGATATTGCGAATTCACAGATATAGCGAAGTTGTCTTTGATCCCCAGCTATAGAAATTTAAGGAATTCCTTATTCGGATATAACAAATTATGGATATAGCCAAGTAATTTCACAGGCCCAAGTGACTTCGTTATAGCTGAGATTTACTGTACTCATTGAGTTTGAATATAAAAGATTGGGGGGGGGGGGAACAATTTAAGGAAACATAAATTAATTCTGTGTGTTAAAATGTTGAAAAGAAGTGAATAAACTTATAAATAATCTGTCCTCCACTGGACATTCAATATTTGTTCAATTTAATATTTACACTACCCCCTTCCACATAAGTTTCAGCCCCCCCCCCTGTGGTTCTTGAAAAAATTTTTAAGGATTTGATATATTTCTATGTAAATTTTTGTGGCAGGTTTCTGTCATTTTTATTTACACTCCCCCCCATTTTTTTTGGCCCAGTGGTTCTTGAAAGAAGATTTTTAAAGATTTTTTCTATATATTTCTAGAAAAAGGTTGCATTGATTTGTGATGTTGGAACAGAATATTTACTGTCCTGGAAGGTCATGAAAATATATATTTCTATGTAAAACTGCTCTTACTCCCCCGGGGGTCAATACAATAGTCTCTCTTTCCTCTTTTCAGAATCTATATATTTCTAGATGCACATGCATATAAAGCATTAAGAAGTACATGTTATAATTGCTAAACAATTAAAGTTATGTGAAGTATCAGTATATTAATGTGTATTTTTAATGAACTAAAGACACATTATACATGTATACATACATATATAAATACTTTGGTTTACTAAACCTCTCTATTACTTAGAAAAAAAAAAACAATGAAATTTTAGGATGTGTCTTCATGGGCAGTTTGCTATTTTTCTGAATGTTTTGCACTTAACTAGACGTATATGTGACTGCTCTTTACCTATGGCATCAGTGATGTCAAAATGGAATACATCCCTGCATGTTTATGAATAGAGGAAAAGTTGTATTTTTGATGTTGAAGATATGTACATGATTGTTGATGAGCATTTTAAAGTGTTTTTCTAAAGAGTTACAATGTAACTGTTTTACTCCAGATTAAATCATTCCAGCCATTTTGTATGTTTTTGTTGTATCTGCTCAGGTCTTCATTGGACTTTGATGATTCTCTTACCCCCACCTACCCCAATTTGCATAGACCTAATTGTTATATCTGTATAGGTCAGCTGATGCTCTGTAAAGCCTCTCCTACAAGAGAGAAAATGCATTGTGCCAGACAAGGATCCAAACTTGAGCCCCCTGGGGCCCAGACAGATGCTCCACTGGATGAGCTGCCTGGACTCTGGTAACCAAACCTGTCAGGAATGTGACTCATATTTGATGTGCACCTTTTTAAAAACAAGAGGCCCATGGGCCACATCGCTCACCTGAGCACCTTTGGTCGGCCATTGTGGCCCCGCCCTACCCCCAGGGTCATGATTTGAACAAGCTTGAATCTACACTACCTGAGAATGCTTCCATATAAATATGATCAATTATGGCTTGGCTGTTCTTGAGAAAAAGATTTTTAAAGAATTTCCATATAAATTTCTATGTAAAACTTTGGTCGGCCATTGTGGCCCCGCCCTACCCCTGGGGGTCATGATTTGAACAAACTTAAATCTACACTACCTGAGGATGCTTCTATATAAATATGATCATTTATGGCTTGGCTGTTCTTGAGAAGAAGATTTTTAAAGAATTTTCCTATACATTTCTATGTAAAACTTTGGTCGGCCATTGTGGCCCCGCCCTACCCCCGGGGGTCATGATTTGAACAAACTTGAATCTACACTATCTGAGGATGCTTCCATATGAATATGATCAATCATGTCTTGGCTATTCTTGAGAAGAAGATTTTTAAAGAATTTTCCTAGACATTTCTATGTAAAACTTTGGTCAGCCATTGTGGCCCCGCCCTACCCCCGGGGGTCATGATTTGAACAAATTTGAATCTACACTACCTGAGCATGCTTCCATATAAATATGATCAATCATGGCTTGGCTATTCTTGAGAAGAAGATTTTTAAAGAATTTTCCTAGACATTTCTATGTAAAACTTTGGTCAGCCATTGTGGCCCCGCCCTACCCCGGGGGTCATGATTTGAACAAACTTGAATCTACACTACTTGATCATGCTTCCATGTAAATATGATCAATGTTGGCTAGGCTATTCTTGAGAAGAAGATTTTTAAAGAATTTTCCTATACATTTCTATGTAAAACTTTGGTCGGCCATTGTGGCCCCGCCCTACCCCGGGAGTCATGATTTGAACAAAATTGAATCTACACTGCCTGAGGATGTTTCCCCATAAGTTTCATCTTTCCTGGCACAGTGGTTCTTGAGAAGAAGATTTTTAAAACATACCACCAAATTTTCATTAATTCCCAATTATCTCCCCTTGAATGAGGACGTAGCCCTTCATTTGAACAAACTTGAATCCCCTTTACCCAAGGATGCTTTGTGGCAAGTTTGGTTGAAATTGGCCCAGGGGTTCTTGAGAAGAAGTCGAAAATGTGAAAAGTTTACAGACAGACAGACGGACAGACAGACAGATGGACGCCGGACAAAATGTGATCAGAAAAGCTCACTTGAGCCTTCGGCTCAGGTGAACTAAAAAAAGAACATACATTTTGCTATGAAAGTTCTAAGTGAAAAACAGTAGAAACAATAGAAACATTTTTTTGATTTTCATGTTTTACCCAACCTTCGATGCTATATGGCTGAAAATCTTGATACAGAAAAGATGACAGTCATGTGATGGTGAGTCACCATCCTTACAAGTGGTCTAAGGGCCTTGAATCACTCTTCTGATAAATTGTACAATCAATCACTTCTGTTTGAAGCCTCTTAGTATCCTATATAAAGCCTTGAAAATCGAAAAGAAAGGTCATCATGACCTATATTTTGACACACTTTGACAAGTCTGCTTATTCTAAGCCACACAGTACTGTATCTGAAATGTTAAATCATAGCCATGGCGTTCTAAATGTAGGTTATGGTGACCTGCAGTTTGGTTGAAAAACTCCAAGGACCAAAATAACATTAACAAAGTTTGTTGATTCTAAGCCAGGTAATATCCAAAATATTTCAATATGGCCATAAAATTCCAAAAGTAGGTCACTGTGGCTTACTTTTCAGGTGACACATTCTGAGGAACCACTAATTAGCATTTGAAATATTTAAAAATAACCAAAAATTTCCCAATTTCGTTTAATTTTTCATGCATTCAACATGGACAATGTTTTTTTTCATAACATTTATTCAACAATTATAACAGTACTTATTCTAATCACTAGACAATACAATTTTGTCCTGCAAAAATTATCAGAGAACACATTGAATCTGGAGAGTCGGTCTCGTTAATTTTCCAGAACATTAGAGTCATGCTGTTTTGTCCATACAGAGAGCGAGTTATTGAAAACAAAATATACATGTGTGTATATGCCGAATTTTTCATATGTACATTTTGAGGCCCGTTAACAAATTTTACATATAGAATAGTATGAGGCATATATCTTTCTTAAAACATTGCCATTTAAATGTCCAAAAGTACCTGGAGGAGTGCGATAATAACACAATGGGAGTTTAGGTATCAATTTTTTTTTTTACCCGTCTAATAAGTAGACAAAAGAAATGAGACAGTAAAAACAGAGAGTGAACACTTGTTTCATTTCATTCATTCAATGACAGTCGATTAGCTAAGCAGGACAGGGGTCCGGTGGTGAATGATTGCCTTTTTAATTTGGAACATTTTAATCTATTTTGTGCTTAAATTGAAATCGATACAGATTTCATTTTTAGTGATATTATTACCATCACCATGGAAAGTAAAAACGGGGATTTTCATTCTGGAGTTTAGGTTTATATAATGGAAATTCTCGGGTTTTAAAAGTGCAGCCTCTTGGAAACAATCCTTATAAAATGAATAGATTTGCCGATTCTTTCTCAGAAATGGATTAAATTCGCTTATTCAAAGTGCTGTATCAAAAACACTTTTAAAAGGTGGGAAGTATTAATTTTGAGGAAGGTTTAAACTCGATTTATTCGTGGATTTGCTATTTTGTATAGCAACTTGATTTCTTGGCGATTGCTTTCCCTGCATTTTTTTCCTAACATTTTTTTTTTTAGGGGACGGGGGGGGGGGGGGGGGGGGGGGGGGGGGTTATATTTAACCTTTCTCTCTTCTTTTTTGTTTTTTAAATACCGTCCGATTTTGTTATCATTGCCGTCCGATAATATATTATCAGACTGGTAATTATTATTATCGGACGGCTACAGGTAAATTTTTAGACTGCAAGAACAAAGGCATGACGTCGCAGCAATGTTTTAATATATGATAACAAATACATGTCAATAGAATATAATTGAGCTATTAAATTAAAAATTATACTAGATAGTGCATTCCCTTTAACAAAGTTAATGCCCCAATTTTTATCCTCATCAATCTAGCTGCAGAACTATAGCTCTCAAAAAACATATATAGACAGACTGGAGAGCTACAGTGCCACCCTCTAAAAAAATTGTATATTTATTGCACACAAAAAAGTGCACTGTTTCTCGATTTATTTCTCCATGTATTTAAATCTGTCATCTCAAAATATTACTAACCGTGTGTTCCTAACATATTCTTTCACTGTTTCCACAACAAAACATGCCTTATAATTGTTTTTAATAGCCCTTCTGGCCCTGAAATTGAGATCATTGAAAATTTCGCCTATGTATACTGCCATTTTGGTTTGTAAGATATTTGGTCAAATGCACTTCGTGCAGATGTAAACTTAGAGAGTATGTGATAGAAGAGTAAGGAATTTTTTGAAATCTAGCTTTTTTTGTAGGTAAGAATTTGGAAGAATTAATCTAGAACAGTGCACACTTTTTTGTGCGCAATAAATATACAGTTTTTTCAATGAGTGGCACTGTAGCTCTCCGGTCTGTAAATATATATTTTTTCGGAGAGCTACAGTTCTGAAGCTATAATCAACCATGATGTACATACCAGGTACGTAACTCACAAATCCACTCACAATGACATTTAGAACTATGAACAGGATTTTTAATTTGGGGATCCAGAGGATAAAAGATGAATACACAATCACCTTAAAATAATACAAATCCCTATCCCTGACAGAAACAGTTCGGGAAAGAAAAAAATATCATTACAATATAAATTCTGTAAACAGTGAAAGAAGGTGATACATGAATGATCTGTGATTTCCATACAAACTACAGGTAATTATACTCTCAATAATATAACTTAAATTTACAGGGGTGAAATAAACAATTCTTTTCTCAAAACAACATGATAAAATATTTTGAGTATACTCTTAGAGATAAAATGCCTCCAGATGATTATGTGCAATTCAAATAAATATTTAAAATAATTAAAACCCATGAAATAGGTGATTTCACAGTACATGTACATGATTTTTGACCAAACTTGAGGTGCTGTGCAAAGAGAATGAGCATTTTCCATTGAGATAAATTTGAGTGAAGTTCTCAGTTTAAACTCATCAATACATCTCACTCTCTGATGAGAAAGACTGAGTTCTTCCACATGGTCTATGAACTCTGAGCTCACTCATCAATACATCTCGCTCTCTGATGAGAAAGACTGAGTTCTTCCACATGGTCTATGAACTCTGAGCTCACTCAGGTTGTCACAACTTCCTTGAGTTTCACGGCTCATGTTGACCTGTGTGTCTTTGTTATTACAGACCACGTCACGACGACACTTCAAACAAATATACGTCCGCCGCGATTTCTTGATTGGCTCTGGGTGGCTCAGGGCCTTAGTTATAACATCCATTGGGACTCCATCACTTGCCCCATTCCTCGTGTTAGCGGTCTCAGACTTGTTCATTGGTTTGTTAACAGAGTAAACCATGGCTGTAGGGGGGAAGGTGGCCATAGGGACGTGGATAAGTTTAGGAGTCTCGTTAGAATTAGGAGCGTCCTCACAGTTAATGATTTCTTCTCTTGTCATGTGCTTCTTTACCCTCTCTTGTAATTCAATTGGCAGCTACACAAACAGAATACTTACATGTAATACTTATGAAATCTGACAGGAAGCAAAGAAATGATATTTTCTGTTTTGAAATTGCAGACACTTCTTTGTATAGTTTTACAAATACTTACAAATACTTACTGAATTAAGCTTGTGAGACACAAATTCTGAAGGCCTGCACTGTAACAGCTGAACTGCTATGTTACAGTCATTTCTGTATCGTTCCTAGAAAGGCAAGATAGGAAGGTCAATTATTTATAAACAATTCTAAATGAATAAACAAATGAATAAACAATTGACTTACATGGAGGCACATTGCTAGTGACTCCTGGTTTTATCCATACAGAAATGCAGCATATCTTGTCCTTCAGCTGTACAATGTATTCATTAGGAGGTCAAGCTGTACTTACTACTAGCACTTGTTACTAGTATACAGGATACCATTTATAGAATATCAAATACTTACATTTTCCTCTTCCAGCTCACACACAGTTGCCTTGGCATCTACCAGTCTTGATGTGGTAGTGGCTAGTTCTCGTTGTAGATTTGTTTTCTCCTCTTCAAACCCACTAACCTAAAGTTAAGGTTCAAAGGTCAATATTAAAAGGTTGAAATCATCTGTCAGATGGATACCTTTCTGTTTAAACAAGAGGCCCAGGGGCCACAGCGCTCACCTGAGCACATCGGGCTTGAATTTATCCCCCCCTCCAGGCATTCATCATTTGAATCTACACTACCTGAGGATGATTCCATATAAATATCACTAATCATAGCTTTGAAGTACTTGAAAAGAAGATTTTAAAAGGTTTCCCTATATATCCCTATGTAAAACTTGGGTCGGCCATTTTGGCCCCACCCTAGCCCCGGGGGTCATGATTTGAACAAACTTGAATCTACACTACCTGAGGATGATTCCACATGAGTTTCATCTTTCCTGGCCCAGTGGTTCTGTTTTTAAAGATTTTTCTTATATATTCCTATGTAAAACTTGGGTCGGCCATTTTGGCCCCACCCTTGCCCCGGGGGTCATGATTTGAACAAACTTGAATCTACACTACCTGAGGATGCTTCCACATGAGTTTCATCTTTCCTGGCCCAGCGGTTCTGGAGAAGAAGATTTTTTAACCAGAAGTCTCTGTCGAGACTGTAGCTCTACTGGTTTATACTTAAAACAAAGGAAGAGAAAAGTAGCAGTTGGGACTTGAGACTTTAAATCAGCAATAAATAGAAAAATGATCCTTGCCACTCATCAAAATAAAAACCAATGCACAGAATTATGTATCTTAGTATAGTCTACTTGTGTGCCAAGTTATACTGAAATCAGACCAAAACTGCAGGAGGAGTAGCATTTTGAAAGAATTTCACAGAAATTTCTATTTTTAGTAACCATGGCAACATTGTTCATTGAAATCAAAAACCGATGCACAGAATTATTTATCTTAGTGTAGTCTACTTGTATGCCAAGTTATATCAAAATCAGACCAAAACTGTACGAGGAGTAGCATTTTGAAAGAATTTCACAGAAATTTCTATTTTTAGTAACCACGGCAACACCGTTTATCGAAATCAAAAACCGATGCACAGAATTATGTATCTTAGTGTAGTCTACTTGTGTGCCAAGTTATACTGAAATGGGACCAAAACTGTAGGAGGAGTAGCATTTTGAAAGAATTTCAAAGAAATTTCTATTTTTAGTAACCAAGGCAACACCATTCATCGAAATCAAAAACCGATGCACAGAATTATGTATCTTAGTGTAGTCTACTTGTGTGCCAAGTTATAATGAAATTGGACCAAAACTGTAGGAGGAGTAGCATTTTGAAAGAATTTCACAGAAATTTCTATTTTTAGTAACCACGGCAACACCGTTTATCCAAATCAAAAACCGATGCATAGAATTATGTATCTTAGTGTAGTCTACTTGTGTGCCAAGTTATACTGAAATTGGACCAAATCTGTAGGAGGAGTAGCATTTTGAAAGAATTTCAAAGAAATTTCTATTTTTAGTAACCACGGCAACACCGTTTATCGAAATCAAAAACCGATGCACAGAATTATGTATCTTAGTGTAGTCTACTTTTGTGCCAAGTTATATTGAAATCAGACCAAAACTGTAGGAGGAGTAGCATTTTGAAAGAATTTCACAGAAATTTCTATTTTTAGTAACCATGGCAACACCGTTCATCGAAATCAAAAACCGATGCACAAAATTATGTATCTTATTGTAGTCTACTTGTGTGCCAAGTTATATTGAAATCGGACCAAAACTGTAGGAGGAGTAGCATTTTGAAAAATTCTTTACAGACAGACAGACGGACGGACGACGGACGCATTACTATCGCATAAGCTCTTCTGGTCTCTGACCAGTAGAGCTAAAAATGCCATTAATTTTTAACAAATTCATGATTATCTCCCCTTGGAAAAGGGCGTGGCCCTTCATTTGAACAAACTTGAATCCCCTTCACCCAAGGATACTCTGTGCCAAGTTTTGTTGAAATTGGCCCAGTGGTTCTTGAGAAGAAGATGAAAATGTGAAAAGTTAACGACAACAACGACAACGACGACGACAGACAACGGACAAATTTTGATCAGAAAAGCTCACTTGAGCCTTCGGCTCAGGTGAGCTAAAAAGAGTAGAAGAAAAGGAGGAATCACGAAAATAACAATAAATGTTTGTAAAACACTTATGCCCCTCCCCCACATAAGTGGAATGTTTGCAAGTCCAAGGGGCATAACTCTGTCAAAAGAGGACAAAACTCTGTCCAAAATGGCCCATTGTACCCAAAACAGAATTTGACTTAGATATTCTTATGATAAATCTGCATACAAAATTTCATTTTAATATGTGCAACCTCTGGGAAAAAATGAAGGGAAACTGCAAATTATTGGAATTTTTCTAAGCCCAAGGGGCATAACTCTGTCCAAAATGACACAATTTTTGAAGGAGGGGGGCATAAAGTTATAAATCTGGACCATGTATCTAGCCCAATACCTCTCTGTCACTGTCAGGTGCTCTAGCCACTGAACTACTTTGGCCAATATCCACAGTTCATATAGCTCTAACTAAAATCTTTCCTTACACAGTGTTTGAACTCAAAGACACACAATAACACAGTTGACTATGTCAGGAAAAACTATATATACCTAAATAAGCCCCCCCCCCTGGAAACTGGCCACCAAATAAAATGCAGCAGAAAAGAAGGAATGAATACAGATGATATATGGCTGGATCCCTGTGTCAGATGCTACATACGAGGGTTGATCCAAAAGTAATGTCACAACTTCGATAAAATTGCTTCTAGTAGATGTAAATCAACGAAATTTTACATGATTAAAGCTATTTTTAGTAAAAATCAGTCCTGAAAACTTCAAATCTAAATGATTCATACTTTTCAAAATATTGAATTATATACAAAGTGCAATTAAGGTAGTCGCCGCATCTAACGTCATAATGTCATATGACGGATACACGCCGTCATACATCTGAGCGCTTCCCCTTCGTTTCATTAAAAGTATTTGAGATTCACGAACACATTCACATATATTTCTCTTTTCATAAGAATTGTTTGCATCCATTGTACACTCACTCTATACATAAATTAGTCCTCTGTCAAAATTCTTAGAATAGTACCATATGACAAACTTTCTATCGCTGTAACTGTATCTAACCGTCTCTCTTTTTGGACAACGTTAGGCACCATTGAACGTTTCCGCCCGACCTCCCTTTTTCAGTCTTTTTATCCTCTTCTAAATATTAAGTGATCCATGACCCGCTAAAAATCGCTGAAACCATCTATGAACAAGTGCCTTATTTACATTCTCTCCTCTGTGTGTCTGATTAATCATCGTTACTGTTTCTACAGGCGATTTCCTCATTTTGTAGCAAAAACGCATCACAGCTCGTTTCAGCAGTTTTTCTCCATTTTGACATTTCCTTTGTTCAATACAGCAGATAAAAACAACAATGTTTATGATCAAAAAGCAATGGCGTCATTTTATTTTCAACTTGAGACTAGAAAATGTCGAAAAAAAATTGTCTTTTAAAATATTGGACGATTAGACACTTTTTAGATGCTTTTTAATGTCTTTGTCTTTTTTCATTCTAACAATTTACACTTTAAAATGTGACGTTTAGTTGTGACGCAGCGACGCCCCTTATGTTTGATATTTTAAACGTCCACAAAATTAATTTAATTTAACATTATTCAATGAAACTTTTAACTTTGATTTGATTTATTTTTATGCATCTTTTGGTATATAATATTTGATAATATGACGCCAAATATTAAAGATATTGATACAGTGACATTACTTTTGGATCAACCCTCGTAGAAACTGTCCATGTCACCTAAACTGATGTTTATGTGTTGTCCGCTGACAATGTGGGATCATAAAAGAAGTATGAGTGAACGATGTTATCACGAATGAAAGCCATCAGTGAATAGGTTCGTGTAACTTACTATCTTTAAAATCTTATCCTCAAGTCCATGGTTAACTTTCTGAATTCTTTTGTGGCTTTCAAAAAGTCTGAAAATAAAAAAAAAAATCTAAATCTAAAATTCCAAATAAAGGCTCATGATACCAGAATTATCAATTCATTGATAACTTTGAATTTAAAAATATTTCCTCTTAACAAAACTATGTTTGTTTGAGTTAAAAAATGGGTTTAATTATCATTTGAAAGTGGGATAGGGTGAAAACAACATAGTCTAGAGCAAAAAGAAAAAAATAATTACAGTAATATTTTGTTCTAACAGTGTTTAAAGATAAAGCATTGCCATTAATATTAAAAAAGTTCCACATATCATGTTCATCAAAGAATTTTATTTACAAGACTAGGTGTCCATTTTGATGTTTTTCAGAGTCAGAACTGACCTGTCATATCTGTCCCGTAATTTATTCAGTTCCTCTCGCAGTTTGTGCACCTCATAGTCAGCAAGATGCTTGTTGTCCACTAACTCTCGACCAATTTTTGAAACATGCTCATTACTTTTACGCAGCTCACTTTCAAGTTCCACAATTTTCTGATGTAAATCCAAACTAACAAATACATGCATAGTACTTTATTACTATATTACTAATAATTTCACAATTTTTTTGTATGGGGGGATAATTAATAATATATGACAAACATCAAATTTCATTGTAAAACTATTCAGGACAAATATATTAGGCAAGATATGCACATTACCTGACTAGCAGTGTTCAATTACTGTAGCAAAAACAAATGTAGTATTATTTGACCATGTTTATATTTAGATGTAGGATTACCTTGACTTGTCCATGCATCCTGTACAAGGACATCCACACTCCTACAGGAAAAAAAAATATAATTCGATAAACAGGCATTGTACCAAGGTAAGAGGTGTCTATCTTCACAGTGTTACTATTTATTACAAGTTCTGTGCTTCTTTACAACAATCAATTATGCAAATTACCAGTAGAGTTTTCAGTAATATATAAAATATAACAGCCTACTAGCCAGCAGTTACATTGACTAATCTCCTATTATATGTTTCAATTGCACAATCAGGTCCTCTTATTCTATGGCAGTACGTAAATACAAGATATTCAAAATAAATTGATATCATCCGTGACAATTATCAATATAATATCATTAGCACTATATTTTCATGTTGGATTGATAAAATTAAACATTCATATTTTGTGTACATCTTGAATATTTAATCAAAGTTCTTGTTCATTGTACAATCCAATACAAACCGAGTATACTTCAATTTGCAAAACATTTGAACTTGTATAATGAACATATTTACTTTTGTCAGTGTTATTTTTGTACTTTATATTCAGTGCAGTAGACTTAATATTACTACATTATAATACTCTGACATTGTTTGAAAATTAAAAACTTAAAAGTCAGTACAGTAATTAATCTTTTGATGAGGATAATTAAGAAATTCATTGATCTGAAATCATGGAATTAAAAATCACGATGCAGCGGTAAATTTTCATATCCCTAATTTTACGTTATTTCATAGAGTTCTTTTAAATAAAACATTTAGCACGGAAAAGTTCAATATGAAAAAAGAAAGATTAAAAATTTATTTCTGTGTACCTGACAAACTTTTGCACCCTGTTGAAACATTCCCGGAGGTTGCCGTTTGGACATAGTAGGTAGTATCAGCAGTTATTTTTCTACGTGTACATCTAGAATAAATTAAGCAGATTATTAAACGTACAACAGTAACCACATAGCAGGATTTACTTCAAGAAAAGAGGAAATTCGAGATAGCAGAAGCAGCCTTACGAAGAACTGTTGAACTTCAAAGCGTTTAAAGATTTTCAACATACCACTATAGAATGATGTTGTTTTATTCATAATTACACTGAAACGGCTAACACGTGTGACAATCTTTTCTTTTACGGCTTACAGGCAATATTTAAATTAATGTCAAAACATGAACAGCTGCCACAACACAACATCCGGTTTGGAACTCTCTAGACAATGGAGGGAAAATTTAGAAGTTATAAAACTTTTTTGAGGAACCAGCCTGGAATGTCAAAAAAGGCCGATTGTTCTATATAATCAAATGCAGACTGTCAACAGTTACGAAGCAGTTGTAATTATACACATCTATTCTTATGATAGATCAGCGGTGATTAATCCCAAGATAGCTTTACTAAAAAATTCAAACATCAGCAAGACTTCTGTTGCCAGTGAAGTGTTGGTGAGCAGGTTTCTTCATACCATTGAAGTATTTCGAAAATTTTAAATAAAAATACTTCTTTTGAAAATTAATTGGGTCACCACAGGTCTTTTAAAAATGAAAATGCTTGTTAATATGATGTTCCGGCTCATTGTCTCAAGCCAATTGATTCAGAGTCCACATTTCGCTCTCTCCTACCAGAGACCAGCTGCTTATATAATCAGATAAACTGCCAAAAGTGTTTATGCATAAAATTATCACACAAGCCAATCGATTGATCATCGTCATGAAATAAAAAAAACCTGACAGTTATTCCTTATATTTACCAGGTCCAGTCCAAAGACTATTTCTATATACGTAGCTATTAATAGCTACCTAGGTATTTAAAGCTACCCAAAGTAGCTATTTTTACCTACTTTTTATATTTTCTGCATTTTGCGACCAAAAGACCAAACGGCGCAACATGGTGAATACCATATTTTTTTATACGGTCACACTAATGATGAATACGACAATATTTTGGCCAAAAAATGATTACTTCCTGAATCGGCAATTTTGCCTTAGTCTCTATGCAAAATTGATAATATAAGAAGTAAATCATTTTTTGGCCAAATTTTTGTCATATCCATCATCAGTGTGATTGTATTTATTAAATTGTTGTGCTCACCATGTTGCGCCGTCCGCATTTGGCCACAAAATGCAAGTTTAGTAGAAAGTAGGTAAAAATAGCTACTTTGGGTAGCTTTAAATACCTAGGTAGCTATTAATAGCTACGTAGGTAGAAATAGTCTTTGGACTGGACCTGTTTACATGATCTTGATTCCGTCAATCCACGTGCTACAAAGCCCGCTTCTTGTCTCTATTTGTCCCGCCCCGCACATGATTTTTTCTTAACCGTGCCTATCGATGAACCAGTACATTGATGGAGAAATAAATTACATTAACTATTTGCAATTTTATCTCAGACAAAGACATTGGAAATGTAAATATTTGTATTTAATTGTAACACATGTTGGTTTTATTATTATATTAAATGCTTATTTTTTTATCATACAGGCTATGCCAGCAGCACCATGTCTATCAAGGCAGACAGAGATGATGTCAAGAACAGCTTGTCCTCACTTCCTCCAGAACTGGTGGAAAAAATCTTTCTGTACCTGGATGTGGTGGACCTAGCAAGACTCTCCTGTGTTTGTGTGGCTTGGAGGGAAATAGCCAATGTTGACCACATATGGTAGGTACATGGAGGAAATAGCCAATGTTGCCCATATATGGTAGGTACATGGAGGAAATAGCCAATGATGACAATGTATGGTAGGTACATGGAAGAAATAGCCAATGTTGACCATATAAGGGGTGTTAAGAATGTTCGTTCCGGGATGAAATATTTTCAAAAATTTCGAAGTGGTGCTTAACTAAAGACATGAAATTTCAAGTCTGACAAAATCACAAGTGTGCTTAAGATTTATAGCAAATAATTTCTAGTGGGAAATTATAGGATTTTTCTTCCATATGAAAAAAATATATAACATCTTTAAAGCACCCGAATGATGGAAATGCTGGTCATTTTGAGTGAAAATAAAGGATGTTTACTTTTGTATCTTCATAGCTTATCTTGCACCAGACAAGCTGATGAGCGTAGGTATAAGAACGATATATCACTTTTCAAAAGAATAGGTTTTTCATTTTGAATATATATTTCACAGGTTTGATAATTTTCGCATAATATTTGAAAGGATGTTTTGACCTGCGTGCTTAATATATGTCACAAATATGTATCATCCGTAATTTTTCTGAACAGACATCATCTGTTTTAATACAGGTCCTACCCATATTGATTCAACAAAAGACATTAAAAACCTTATCAGTAGCAAGAATGGAGTCTGTAAACATGAAATATCACAAAATATCTTCTCATCGTATTTCTTTTTGAAAATAAAAGAAAAATGTGGAACGAACTTTCTTAACACCCTTTAGATCTACGGTAGGTACACAGAGGAAAATAGCCCATATTGACCATATACAGTTGAATTCGGTATCTCGAACCTTGATATCTCGAATACCATGGATACGTCGAAGTGATCTGGAAGTCCCAACCACATATTCTTTCAGTATCTCCAATCCTCAGATATCTTTTCTCAGCCCCATCAGGTTCGAGATAACAAAGTTCAACTGTATGGTTATGTATACAGAGTGAAATAGCCAATGTTGATCATAAATAGGGAGATGGTAAAATTGCCAATAATATGTTATGTTCATAGAGGACAATCTGTTCTTATAGGCAGTATGTTCTTATATTCTGTAATGTGTTTGAATTTATCTCTTAAATTAATTTTTGTGAAGAATTTGATCATCACTATTGGCAGTTGATTAATTTAAAGCTTTTAATCTTGTTTAGGCTTCACCACTGTATGAAGAGGAAGTGGATGAAATTTGGTCTCCATGACAACATCCTCCATGAATCTCCAATGCGTAAACCCCAGTCTAATATATCTGGAACCTCTCCTTACTTCCAGCTATTTGGTATTAGATTAGATAGTTAACTTCTACTCACTAAAATCTGTAATAATTTTCTGTATTCTAAATACTAATTTACGTGTCAAGTTTCATACTAAAATATTGGTTTGAGCTTTACATTATAAAAAATAATTTGAATGTAATTTGTCTATGAAGTTCACTTAAGAAGAATGTGACAAGCAATACACTGGCCAATTAATCTGTCACAACTCAAAGGAATACAGTCAGACAATATAGCAATCTCAAAGCATCCGTCTGCTGCACAGTGAGACCACATACATATTTTTTCAGTTCCTAAAGAAACTAGACTCTCTCCAATATGTCGCTGGAAGAATGTGTTTATACGAGTACTACACTTGTTCAAAAACTGGGAGAAAGGTCGATATACAATGCCAGTGACTCTAAGAGGACATCGAGACCAGGTCAAGGCCATTGACTGCAATAGTAAGTATGTCAAGGACAGATAGGGAAGTTTTATATAGATTTTTTTTTTTAAAAATGGGAGTAATTACTTACTTGTGATACAGTGTGCGAAACTAACTTCAAAGTCCTATAGACTTTCGGTCCATAGACATTTCATTTTCTATAGACCGCAGCAACTTCCTATGGACCGAAATTTAGAATACTACATTCAATGCTAAAATATTGAAATTAAAATAAATAATACATAATTTCTTCGTATTCTAACCAGGGCCGGCCATTTTTCCAATGCTCTTGAAAGCTTCTACTACGCTTTACTTTGTCATACTCAGCATCTTTTTCTGTCTTGCTAACTCGCTGTCTTCGCTACCTTCCGCTTAATAATAATTCCCGGGCGTGCACCCTCAACATACTTTAAACGGTCGAAGAAGGACATGTTTCTTCTGCACTGTTATGGTGTCCGCGGCCATTAAGTAATCACAACTTAACCTCCCCTCATGTTAAAAATAAAATATTCCGATTCGAATTATTTCTGCATACATCGTGGAACAAACTATTATAACTAAGGGGTGAACGGAATACATCAGTGTAGTACAGACGTTTTATTTAAACTGGTCCTCCTTTTTGTGGTTTGTTTATTGGGTGCAAAACACAGTTTTATGTATGACGTTATTAGGACGTTACTTGGTGAGGGACAAGCAAAACTGACCCCTATAAAAAAATAAAATGGAGGCTTGTTACATAGACTTCTGCATATCAATGGAAAGATAAAATTGTGAATTTTGTAAATATCCACCTATAATACATTCATCAATTACTACTAGGGGGTATTTGACACCTGAAATATGGGGGATATTGGGTTGTTTATGCATCCATTTTCAGTGCACCTATGCATTTTTAACCCCCCTGCTCAACAAAAACAGAAAAACTCAGACAAAATAAGTTGTATGCATTTCACAGAACAAGTCCTAAGGTTTTCTTTTAGTGTGCTTTCAGGGTACATTTTCCACCTCATGAAAGAGCTACATTACCTGCTAATTGACTCATGCAATTCTGCACATGTGAAAACCAGATGTTTTGGGAGTTATCTCCCCTTATTAAAAAGTCTCATAATTTTTTTTTCTAAAAATGAATGCACATTTTTTTCTTTAAATATTAAGATAAGATTCTACTTTATGTGAATAAAATCAAAAATGATTCAGTTTTCATCTAGACTCCTATAAATAGCGGGAAAATCCCTACCCAGCATGCTTCTCTCTGGGAAAAACCCCCTGGATTTTATACGAAACTGTGTTTAGCTACCATTAGAGACAAGCAGGGAACCAGTTTCTTACTCAGAATTCCTATAGACAAGTCGGTCTGTTAATATTTCGATCGGTATAGACCGACTAGATTTTCTATAGACATTGTCTACCGGTCCACCGTTAATTTCGCACACTGGTGATATCTACTTGACAGGGACTGTATTGTTTGTGATATCTACTTTACAGGGACTGTATTGTTTGTGATATCTACTTTACAGGGACTGTATTGTTTATGATATCTACTTTACAGAGACATGTAATGTTTGTGATATCTACTATACAGGGACTGTATTGTTTGTGATATCTACTTTACAGGGACTTGTATTGTTTGAGATATCTACTTTACAGGGACTGTATTGCTTGTGATATCTTATTTACATGGACTGTATTGTTTGTGATATCTACTTTACAGCAACTTGTATTTACAGGGACTGTATTGCTTGTTATATCTACTTTACAGGGACTGTATTGTTTGATATATCTACAGGGACTGTATTGTTTGATATATCTATTTTACAGGGACTGTATTGTTTGTGATATCTACTTTACAGGGACTGTATTGTTTGTGATATCTACTTTACAGGGACTGTATTGTTTGTGATATCTACTATACAGGGACTGTATTGTTTGTGATATCTACTTTACAGGGACTGTATTGTTTGTGATATCTACTTTACAGGTATTTTTATTGTTTGTGATATCTACTTTACAGGGACTGTGTTGTATATGATATTTGTTTTACGGGTCCTGTATTGTTTGTGATATCTACTTTACAGGGACCTGTATTGTTTGTGATGTCTACCTTACAGGGATTGTTTTTAGCTCACCTCAACGAAGTTGGGGGAGCTTATGTAATACCCTTGGCGTCAGCGTCGGTGTCGGCATCCCAGGTTAAGGTTAAGTTTTTTGGAGCAGTTTTCTTTTAAGTATTTCTATGTCCTATATTGATTAGACATGCATGGAAGATGCATCTAATGTGTTTCATTGTACAAGTCAAAGATTCAGAAGCTGCAATTTCAGCAAAGGAATGACCAGGTTAATGTTTTTGGAGCAGGTTAACATTTTTGGTGCAGTTTTTGGTGTAGGTCTCATTTCCAAGGAAATATAAGCCCTATGTTGACCAAACTTGCATGGATGGTACATCTAAGGATGTACACTACCAGACTTGCTTCAGATGCTGAATCTGACCTACATTTTCCGGTTGATTGAACAGGTTAATGTTTTTGGTGCAGGTCTCATTTCCGAGAACCTAGAAGTCCTATGTTGACCAAACTTGTGTTGATGATACATCTAAGGATGTACACTACCAGACTTGCTTCGGGTGCTGAATCTGACCTACATTTTCTGGTTGAGTGAACAGGTTAATGTTTCTGGTGCAGGTCTCATTTCCAAGGAACTATAAGTCCTATGTTGACCAAACTTGCATGGATGGTACATCTAAGGATGTACACTACCAGAATTGCTTCGGGTGCTGAATCTGACCTACATTTTCTGGTTGAGTGAACAGGTTAATGTTTCTGGTGCAGGTCTCATTTCCAAGGAACTATAAGTCCTATGTTGACCAAACTTGCATGGATGGTACATCTAAGGATGTACACTACCAGACTTGCTTCGGATGCAGAATCTGACCTACATTTTCCGGTTGAGTGAACAGGTTAATGTTTCTGGTGCAGGTCTCATTTCTGAGTAACTAGAAGTCCTATGTTGACCAAACTTGTGTTGATGATACATCTAAGGATGTACACTACCAGACTTGCTTTGGATGCTGAATCTGACCTACATTTTCCGGTTGAGTGAACAGGTTAATATTTCTGGTGCAGGTCTCATTTCCAAGGAACTATAAGTCCTATGTTGACCAAACTTGCATGGATGATACATCTTAGGATGCATACTTCCAGACTTGCTTCAGATGCTGAATCGGACCTACATTTTCTGGATGAGTGAACAGGTTAAAGTTTTTGTGGCATATCTATTTCCAGGGACAATGTATAATGACTAAACTTGCATGGATATACATTTTAGGATGATACTTCCAGTATTGTTTGGATGCTATCTGACCTACATTTTCAGGATGAGTGAACAGGTTAAAGTTTTTGATATCTATTTCCAAGTTACAATGTATTGACTTTGCATGGATATCATCTTTATGCAGGGACTGTATTGTTTGTGCATATCTACCTACATTTTCTGGATGGGACTAGTATTTTTGATGCATTCATTTCCAAGTAACTGTGAGCTCTTTAATGACCAAACTTGCATGGATGATACATCTATAAAGGTTGCATTCTACCAGGCTGGCTTCAGATGCTGAATCTGACCTACATTTTTTTCTGGATGAGTGAAGAGGTGAAATTTTTATGCAGCTAGGTTTCTTTCTAAGTAACTATTAGCTCTATGTTGTGCAAACTCGCATGGATGATACATCTTAGGATGCATACTAATGTACTTGCTAGGGATGCTTTTTCAAGATAATGGACTAGGTAAAGGTTATGGGTGCAGGTCTATCACCAAGAAACTATAAGGCTTAAATAAACCAAACTTGCCCAAATGATGCATTGTTTGTGAAATCTTAAACTTGCTTCAGATGCTGGATTTTGATCACATTTTCATGATGAAGAACTGTTTGAAGTTTTTATATAGGTCTATTCCAAAGTATCAGATCAAAATTGCATAAATTTTGCATTTTTGGATGTACACTTTTTGTTGGGTAATTGTGTGACTTTGCCTTACTTAAAGACAACATTCGTTGAGGTGAGCTCTGTATTCTCTGATTACCTATGTTTAGCTTATGCTATACCCTCGGCGTTAGCGTTGGCGTCCCAGGTTAAAGTTTTATGAGCAAGTCCATTCCCAAGTAACTATGAGCCCTACCTTGACCAAACTTGCATGGATGATGCATCTAGGGATGTACACTACAGACTGTATTCAGTGCTTCTGACCTATTTTCTAGATGAGTGACAAGGTTAAAGTTTTTGATATCTATTCCCAAGTAACTATAAGCCCTATCCGGACCAAACTTGCATGGATGATGCATCTAGGGATGGACAATACCAGACTTGCTTCAGATGCTGGATCTGACCTACATTGTCGTTCCCAAGTAACTATAAGACCTACCTGAACCATACTTGCATGGATGATGCATCGAGGGATGGACACTATATTACCAGACTTGCTTCGGATGCTGAATCTGACTATATTTTCAATACAAGAGACCAGATAAAGTTTTGGGAACAGATTAATCCCAATGAACTTGAAGTCCTTGATATCTGCAGTATTAACAAATTAATTTATGAATATTTGTTTACACTATACATGTTTTTTCACGCTACATGCATAGAAATGTGTATATGCCTGTAAGGGGTTAAACAAAACTTACAAGAATATTGTTGTTGGGATAAACTAGATATTAAGAAAATATGATGCGAGATTTGCATTACTTACACAGATAACATTCGTCGAGGTGAGCTTCGTAATCTTTGATTTAATACCTATGTTTTTTTTGTAATATCAACTCTACAGGAACTGAAGTGTTTCTGCATATGTACTTTTAAATTGCAGGTTTCTGCATTATTTCTTCATATATTCAGCTTTTGTTAATATCTACTTTACAGGAACCTGTATTGTCAGTGGATCAGAAGATCACAGTGTCATGGTCTGGAGCCTAGAGAACTGCACTAAATTACTTGAAATCAAAGTCCATTTGGATGCAGTTACAGCTGTAATATTAAAGGTAAGGTTTCTTTCTTTTTGTTAAGGATTTCTATAATGAATCATTTCAAATATTCTTCAACCTAGAGTGCCAGAAGGGATTATTGATGAAAATTCAGTTCTTGAAAGATAATTGGGTATAGTAGGTTGTACAGGTTGTACAAACAGTATAGGTCTCTGTTAACTGATGATTACAGCTGGATTCTTTCTATTTCAGGGCAATATGCTGGTGACAGGTTGTGCAGACAGTTCTGTTCGGGTGCTAGACTCCACAAATGGTGAGGTGGCCTTTACTTTACAAGGACATCAGGGAACTGTGGATCATCTAGCTATCATAGAGGACTTCATTGTTAGTGCAGGCACAGACAGGTACGGCTAACAGGACAGATGGTAACTGGAATTATCCTTTGTTTTTTGTTAACTGGAGTTATCCTTTGTTTGTTTTGTGTTAACTGGAGTTATCCTTCATTTGTTTTGTGTTAACAGGGATTTATCAAGGCTGTTTTTACTACAGGTAAACGGTACCTTTCCCCTCTTGAAAAAGGTGCAAAAATTCCCTTTTTTCAGTTAGAAAATTCTCCAATTAAATGGAGAATATTTAAAACATCGTTCTGAATTTTTCTGTTTTTGTCTGATTGAAATTTAACAGCATATCCTTATTTACCATCCTAGTCATTCAAACCCTTTTAGAATAAAGAATAGATTATATTCAAGCTTCTGTTTGATATTGATCGGTAAACATGTGCCTTGTCCATGGATGTCGTAAGATACGTATGCGATTGTTAAAAGAGTTAATAAGAAAAGTGGAGATTAGTAAGATGGAGCGTGTATCACTATGAATCGGAGTAACAACAAAAACAATGTTAGTAATGAAACATGAAAAACAGGAGAATTGATTTGTGATGAGATATTCAGAGAAAAAATTAAATAAAGTGTACTGACCTGGTTTATTTATTTATTTTTTTTTGTTATTTCATATTTTGTCTAAAAAGTGAAGTTTTTGTGGCCTTTGTAAAGGTCTAGAAATGACCCTCAGAAGCTCTAAGAATGCAGGATTTTGCTCCATTTATTTAAAAATTTTCCAGGGGGGCATGCCGGACCCCCCTAAAATACTCACGGCTCCGGTGCTCAGATTGAGCCTGCAGCTCTCATTTTTCCCCTTCATATATAAAACGGTAGTAAAACAAAATAGCTAGATGAATCCCTGGTTAACTGGAGCTATCCTTCATTAGGGCCCCGCAAGGATTTGCGGGTGCCCTATAGTAATCACTCTGTCCGTCCGTCTGTCTGTCTGTCCGTCTGTCACTCTTCCGTCCACAAATTTTATGTTTTTTTCTAATAACTTTTTTTAAGATTGCCCAATCAGGTTCAAATTTGGTATGGTAGTTCATAGGCAGAAATACATATTTTGATGCTAAGTTTGGTTCATATGTCTTCAGGTTTGGTGCTGGGGTGGTGGGGTAGATTCCTTAACTATGCATAAGAATGAATGGGCAAAGAGGGATAACTGCTGAGAATGTTACCATTGTAAACTGGGAAGGCTGTGCAATTTGTCCTTTGGGATTAATTAACCTTCCACATGAAGAAAATCCTAAGCATTATCTTTATCTGTCACACTGAGATTTATTACTGTACCGCCTCTGTCTGCAATGAACTTTGTTTTGAAATTAAGGTCAATTTTGAATGATGTGTACATTCTTTGAAATATGGATTTAAAATAATGTTCATACTTTATTTTGGTTAAAATACTGTACACAACGATTTATGATAATTTTATTGAATTCTAAAATCAAGATATATATATTAATATATCCTTTTTTATTATTACTATTTTATTTTTTTTTTTTTTTATTATTTAATTTAATTTTTTGCCTTAATGCTGTTAATTTTAACAGGTAATCAGATAATAACCCCATTCTGTCAAAAAAAAGTTCTTATTGTAAATTTATATAGAAGAAAAGGATGGGATTAATTATCTTGCTTGCTGCAGAAAATTTAGAGGCTTATCTTTATCTGTCACATGAAGATTAATGAACATGTTTGTCTGCAACTGATGTTTGTTTTGAAGTTGAGGTCAGCCCTGGGTGATATTTGCATTCAATGAAGGCATTTTATAAAACACCTGCTTAAATCTTTTTTAAATACACATTAAATTTAATTTCTTTTTAATAAGACATGAGGTTTTCCCTGTTTTATGTAAATACAAGGTAACTATTTACAGGTTTTTGGATATTTTTGGAATTATCTTGAAATTTTAAAAATACAGTTGTTACTTATAATCTTCATATATTAAAAAAAATGTAATCAAGTAAAACCCTCATTCAATGAGTTACCATCCTTCATTTGTTTTGTGTTAACTGGAGTTATCCTTTGTTTTGTGTTAACTGGAGTTATCCTTTATTTTGTGTTAACTGGAGTTATCCTTTGTTTGTTTTAGGAAAGTGATGGTGTGGTCTATTACTGAGAGGAAACTTGTACACATTTTACGTGGACATGTGGATGAAATTGAGGTAAAATTTTTTCTCTAAAGAAACTTGTAAACTACTGATCATGTGTTTGATTTAGAAAGAATATGGGAAGATACTATGGCATTCATTTTCAGAATAATACAATAAAAACACTTTTTTCGTGTTCAGAAAAAAACCAAAAAAAATCTAGTAATAGATTAATCTAAATTCAAATTCTTTTATAATCATAAGTCATACATTTATAAATGTAGGATAAAAAAATGTATGAAATGACACATGTTGGTGATTCAGTTGAGAGTATGGGGGTTTGAATTGACTTCATCTGTGTCTTTTTAGTGCATGGCTCACTGTGGACACACAGTAGTAACAGGGTCTTGGGATAAAGCTGTGTTGGTGTGGGATGTAAGGAAACAAGATGCAGTACAGATGTTACATGGACACAGAGAAGGTAAAAATGTACAGATGTTATACCAGAGATGTTTCCTCCTTGTTTTAGTTGTGACTCGTTACTGTAACGGAGACACTGTAGTCAGTGATTAGTTAGATAGTCCTCTGACTGGATTTTACCTTCTTGTTTTAGTTGTGACCTGTTGTTACTGTAACGGAGACACTGTAGTCAGTGGTAGTTAGATAGTCCTCTGACTGGATGTTACCTTCTTGTTTTAGTTGTGACCTGTTGTTACTGTAACGGAGACACTGTAGTCAGTGATTAGTTAGATAGTCCTCTGACTGGATGTTACCTTCTTGTTTTAGTTGTGACCTGTTGTTACTGTAACGGAGACACTGTAGTCAGTGATTAGTTAGATAGTCCTCTGACTGGATGTTACCTTCTTGTTTTAGTTGTGACCTGTTGTTACTGTAACGGAGACACTGTAGTCAGTGGTAGTTAGATAGTCCTCTGACTGGATGTTACCTTCTTGTTTTAGTTGTGACCTGTTGTTACTGTAACGGAGACACTGTAGTCAGTGGTAGTTAGATAGTCCTCTGACTGGATGTTACCTTCTTGTTTTAGTTGTGACCTGTTGTTACTGTAACGGAGACACTGTAGTCAGTGGTAGTTAGATAGTCCTCTGACTGGATGTTACCTTCTTGTTTTAGTTGTGACCTGTTGTTACTGTAACGGAGACACTGTAGTCAGTGGTAGTTAGATAGTCCTCTGACTTGATGTTACCCTCTTGTTTTAGTTGTGACCTGTTCTTACTGTAATGGAGACACTGTAGTCAGTGGTAGTTAGATAGTCCTCTGACTGGATGTTTCCTTCTTGTTTTAGTTGTGACTTGTTGTTACTGTAACGGAGACACTGTAGTCAGTGGTTAGTTAAATAGACCTCTGACTGGATGTTACCTTCTTGTTTTAGTTGTGACTTGTTATTACTGTAACGGAGACACTGTAGTCAGTGATTAGTTAGATAGTCCTCTGACTGGATGTTACCTTCTTGTTTTAGTTGTGACCTGTTCTTACTGTAACGGAGACACTGTAGTCAGTGGTAGTTAGATAGTCCTCTGACTGGATGTTACCTTCTTGTTTTAGTTGTGACTTGTTGTTACTTTGTAGTCAGTGGTAGTTAGATAGTGCTCTGACTGGATGTTACCTTCTTGTTTTAGTTGTGACTTGTTGTTACTGTAACGGAGACACTGTAGTCAGTGATTAGTTAAATAGTCCTCTGACTGGATGTTACCTTCTTGTTTTAGTTGTGACCTGTTGTTACTGTAATGGAGACACTGTAGTCAGTGGTAGTTAGATAGTCCTCTGACTGGATGTTACCCTCTTGTTTTAGTTGTGACTTGTTGTTACTGTAACGGAGACACTGTAGTCAGTGGTAGTTAGATAGTCCTCTGACTGGATGTTACCTTCTTGTTTTAGTTGTGACTCGTTACTGTAACGGAGACACTGTAGTCAGTGGTTAGTTAAATAGACCTCTGACTGGATGTTACCTTCTTGTTTTAGTTGTGACCTGTTGTTACTGTAACGGAGACACTGTAGTCAGTGATTAGTTAAATAGTCCTCTGACTGGATGTTACCTTCTTGTTTTAGTTGTGACCTGTTGTTATGCAAACACTGTAGCAGTGGTAGTTAGATAGTCCTCTGACTGGATGTTTACCTTCTTGTTTTAGTTGTGACCTGTTCTTACTGATAAACAAGGAGACACTGTAGTGAATGGTAGTTAGATAGTCCTCTGACTTGATGTTACCCTCTTGTTTTAGTTGTGACCTTTTTGTATAAATGGAGACACTGTAGTCAGTGGTAGTTAGACCCCTTCCTCTATGGATGTTAGTTGAATTTTAGTTGTGACCTGTTGTTACTGTAACGAGACACTGTAAAGTTAGATAGTCCTCTGACTGGATGTTATTCTTGTTTTAGATGTGACTTGTTGTTACTATATAACAAACTGTGCATGATTATTTTTGTTTTGCACTGGATGTTACCTTCTTTTTTAGTTGTGACTTGTTGTTACTGTATAGACACTAAATCACCATGGCAGTGATCAGACTCAGTCATGTGACATCACAAAAATGCTTTAAACAGTGCCTTCATGAAACTTTTATCCGCCCAATGGCAAGGTTAAACAAAAGCATTTACAATTAAAATCTAGCTCAAAATAAAATGTATATTTTTAAGGCATTTATAACGATCGCAAACTGATCATAATGCCTATTATGACGGTAACAACAGATGTTTGTGACCGTTAAATAGCATTAATGTTTCATACCAAAATATACTGCATTTAACTCTCAATTCATGTCTACATTTTGCAACCATTTAATTCAATATAAATGGCAATTTGGCCATAAATTCTTTGTTTAATACAAAAAAAGTTCAATGGAAATTGATGAATTGTCTTAATACCAGCGCTAAATAGTAAATTATGCGTAACTCCAGTTCTTGAAAAAAGGGGGGTAGACAATATTTTCCATTGAAATTGGACTGAAAAATAGTCTTTGATATGATTAAATGTTCCTGATATCTTGTCTTATGTTTTAGGCAAATAAATTAAACATAAATATATTAATAAAAAATAATGTTTCAGTTGTAAATGGCTTTGAAATTGGTAGAAAATAAGCATTTTTGTCATTTTTTGTCTATAAACATATGTTCCCCCCGTGACACACAAAAAGATTTGGCTATAAATTTGTGTGAAATAACAGTCCATATTACCTGTAAAAAGGAATTTTTGTGTCAAGGGGGGAAAGATGTTTTAAAAATATTTTCCGTTTTCCTTTGATTTCTACAGTTAAAAACACAAGTTTCACCAAAATTTTAGAGTTATCTCTCTTTGTTTTCCCAAATAAGTAATGTTGTATGAAAAGTCATAATTATCTATAAAAAATATTAAAAATTCATCGAATAAGTTAACTTTTGAAAATTGACTCAGAGGTCGGTGGGAGAACAATACTATCGTTCTCAGTTCTTTAAAGATAGTTATTCCCTTCTAATGCAATCAATGCATTTTGTTTGTTGTTTAAGTCTTATTTTGTTGAGTTTTCTTATATGAAATAAGTCACGAAGCATTGTGTTTTTGCGTCGCTCTATTATGAAATCACAATTAAAAGCTTTCACTCTCGTTAATGCTCGTTTTACTGCTTCAAACAAAGCTCATTAGCCAATCAAAACATTTTACAAAACAATTGCATTAGAATGTGAACTAAAAAGATTCTACTAAAGTTAATGCAAAGATCAAAGAGAAACGGCAGTCATTTTCTCCAATTAATCCCAAACTTCATGAACAAATTTAGCATTTTAATAATTAAATGTAGTGTTGAAGGGACCAGATTTGGAGTGAATTTTTTTCACAAAGTAATATGACTAAATATGTGTAAGAAAAAATCTTAATAAAAATCTTCTTTTCAAGAATGACAAAGGTATACTTGATGCTCTGTTGATATGGTGGAATTCTCAAGTAGTATAAAGTTCAAGTCCCTTCCCCCTCCACTATCCTGTTCGTACTAAATGAGTTTTACTGTATATAATAATATTACTATGTAGTTTTGTTTCCATAGAATATGCTATAAATGAATTTATGCATGAATTTTTGTTAACACATTAACCTCCTTTTCAGTACTGTCTGGCCTGTACCACAGATACTATAGCTTCAGGGTCATCAGACAGCAACATCATTGTGTGGAATTACGATGGTAAGATGTCATTATATTAACAACCTATAATATGATGACCCTAACAACTATCATATAGAACAGCCTCATAGAACAGCCACTGCTCAAGAAATCTGTAGGGGTGATATACTTAGCAGTGGTTAGTGATCTGTGGCACATCAAACTATCTCACGTCATGACTTCGATACCTCTGTGGGTTATGTTTTACTTAGCAGAGGTTGGATATATTGAAATGAAATTTGGTATACAGATTTATCATAAGAATATCTAGGCCAAGTTCTCTTTTGGGAACAATTGAGACATTTCATATAGAGTTATGCTCGTTGGACTTACACAAATTTCAATTATTTGGGGGAGGGGGCATAAGTGTTTAACAAACATTTCTTGTTTTACATAATGATGCTAGGTTGTAATTATTTTACACAATGATTGAAGGATTTCATTATTTTACAAAAATTTGACTTCTCTACCCATGAGCCAAGAACTCTGTAGTAAGAACTGCATTCAATCAAACAGGAAGATTCTTCTTTTTATCTTTGTCAGTATGAACCCACCATCACTTTAGTTGAATATTTTGGTCACAAAATAGATCAAAACAAAATTGTACATTATTGTTCTTTTAAACTTGCAGCTTTTAAAGTTCCACTGTCTTATTGAACTGAATTTTACAGCACTGCTTTTTTAATGAAAACATGAAAGTGATGAATTGCTTTCATCTGCCACAAATTAACTTGACAGAAACTCAACATTTTTCTAAATTTAAAGGAAGGAAAAACTACCAATGATGACAGGCAGTGATAAATGATAGGGAGGCAGCATTTTCTGTGGGTTATGTAATATCTTAGGCTGGCCTGATAAATAATAGAGAGGCTGCGGTTTCTGTGGGTTATGTAAAAACTTATGCTTGCCTCTTTACACAGTGAGTTCTGGAATGAGTTGCACCACATTACATCATTGGTAGTACATGTATTGTCAAATAGGTAGTGATTAAGATATTTAAAAGAAAATATATCCAGATATATAATGGATTGGTTATTAATGTACTTGTTAAACTAACATAAATTTGAGCTGAAAATAACTATATATACAGTAAGGTTACTGTGGACCACTTACTTTGGACCACTAACATACACTTACTGAACATGTTGGGATAGTTCTGTCTCTTTACATCAATGTCTAATGGATTATGTTTGTCTTCCTTAAGGTAACCACTTACATACACTAACTGGACATCTTGGGATAGTTCGGTGTCTATATATCAACGAGTTTCGATTGGTCAGTGGAGGGGACCAGAAAAAAATCAATGTCTGGGATTACAGGGTAAGTCTATACTACAAAGTAAGAGTGGAATCTAGACACAGGGTAAGTCCATACTACAAAGTAACAATGGAATCTAGATACAGGGTAAGTCTATACTACAAAGTAACAGTGGAATCTAGATACAGGGTAAGGTCATACTACAAAGTAACAGTGAAATCTAGAAACGGGTAAGTCAATACTACGAAGTTACAGTGGAATCTAGACACATGAGGTAAGTCCATTCTACAAAATTACAGTGGAATCTAGATACAGGGTAAGTCCATACTACAAAGTAACAGTGGAATCTAGATACAGGGTAAGTCCATACTATAAAGTAACAGTGGGATCTAGACACAGGGTAAGGTCATACTAGAAAGTAACAGTGGAATCTACATATAGGGTAAGTCCATACTACAATGTAACAGTGAAATCTAGAAACGGGTAAGTCCATACTACAAAGTAACAGTAGAATCTAGACACATGAGGTAAGTCCATACTACAAAATTACAGTGGAATCTAGAAGCAGGGTAAGTCCATACTACAAAGTAACTGTGGAATCTAGACACAGGGTAAGTTCATAGGGATGTGCAATTTTATTGGTATACCGGTATATCGCGATTTTTTGTTGCGTGATACGTATCGTGATACAGACACCTAAATACCGGTATTTAAGTACATATCATAAAGTCCAGAAATTATTCAGTTATTTGTTTAATCTTTTTAAATTACAATTACAGAAAGTATAAAAATGTTGTAAAACGTGAAAAGAATGGCATCTTATCGTCCAAACATAGTTGATTTTATATACATAAATATTTCAAGAAAATAAAATTTTGTTTTTCAAGCAATTTTTTTTAGAAAAATAATAACTTTTCATATAAAATCATTGTAAAAACTGCTTTTAAAAATATCATGATTTTATCGTGATATTGTGGGAAAAAATCGTGATATATCGCGATACGAAATTTTTGGCGATACCCATCCCTATAAGTTCATACTACAAAGTAACAGTGGAATCTAGACAAGGGGTAAGTCCATACTACAAAGTAACAGTGGAATCTAGACACAGGGTAAGGTCATACTTCAAAGTAACAGTGGAATCTAGACACAGGGTAAGTCCATACAACAAAGTAACTTGTAGGGTAAGTCCATACTACCAAGTAACAGTGGAATCTAGATACAGGGTAAGTCCATACTACAAAGTAACAGTGGAATCTAGATACAGGGTAAGTCCATACTACAAAGTAACAGTGGAATCTAGACACAGGGTAAGGTCATACTACAAAGTAACAGTGGAAACTAGACACAGGGTCAGTCTATACTACATGTACACAGTAACAGTGGAATGTAGATACAGGGTTAGTCCATACTACACAGTAACAGTGGAATCAATCTAGACATGGGGTAATGTCATACTACAAAGTAACAGTGGAATCTAGTCACTAAGTATGTCCATACTACAAAGTAACAGTGAAATCTAGACACAGAGCAACTTCATACTACAACGTAAAGTGGAATCTAGACACAGGCTAAGGTCATACTACAAAGTAACAGTGGAATCTAGACACAGGGTAAGTCCATACTACAAACAGAGGAATCTAGACACATGGGGTAAGTCCATACTATAAAGTAACAGTGGAATCTAGAAAAGGGGTAAGTCCATACTACAAAGTAACAGTGGAATCTAGACACAGTGTAAGGTCATACTTCAAAGTAACAGTGGAATCTACACACAGGGTAAGTCCATACTAGAAAGTGACAGTGGAATCTAGACACAGGGTAAGGTCATATATAAAGTAACAGTGGAATCAAAACACAGGGTAAGGTCATGTTACAAAGTAACAGTCAAATCTAGACACAGGGTAAGGTAATATACAAAGTAACAGTGGAATCTAGACACGGGGTAAGTCCATACTACAAAGTAACAATGGAATCTAGACACAGGTTAAGGTCATACTACAAAGTAACAGTGGAATCTAGACAAAGGGGTAAGGTCGTACTACAAAGTAACAGTGGAATCTAGACATGGGGTAAGTCCATACTACAAAGTAACAGTGGAATCTAGACACAAGGTAAGTCCATACTACAAAGTAACAGAGGAATCTAGACACAGGTTAAGGTCATACTACAAAGTAACTGTGGAATCAAGACACATATTAAGTCCATACTACAAAGTAACAATGGAATCTAGATACAGGGTAAGTCTATACTACAAAGTAACAGTGGAATCTAGATACAGGGTAAGTCCATAGTACAAAGTAACAGTGAAATCTAGACAGGGGGTAAGTCCATACTTCAAAGTAATAGTGGAATCAAAACGCAGGGTAAGTCCATACTACAAAGTAAAGTGGAATCTAGACATGAGGTCATACTACAAAGTAACAGTGAAATCTAGACTAGTACAGCACAAGTGTATGTCTTAAGAGGCTATCAAGTTATCTGAAATAATCATTTAATCAGATGTTTTTAGTCACAGTTTTAGGATAAAATTTGGAATCAATCAATATACAAACAGGAATTTGTAATAGGATTCATACATAATGAATAAATGCATCAAACAGCAGGGGCTATAACCATCAAAGAACAGTCATTGAAGGAACTCAGATCATTAGCATACAAATTATTTAGGATGTTTTATATATTTAATCTATACTTCTTATTTTTCTTCAGAGTGGAAAATTATTGAATACAGTTCATCGCAATCCAACACGGCTACACAAGATGTTGGTCACTGACACCAAACTTATCACGGCCTCTCCGGAGACCCCAGGGACCCTAACGGTCATCAGTTACTGGTGATACTGTTGTTAGTACTGACTGGTGACTAGGATAAGTACTGTGATACTTACTGTGGGATGGATTAGGTTAAACAAGATGTGACCATCTGAGTCTGTCATATAATTTAAAATGTTGATGATCCATAATGCAGTGCATAGATTAGCTTTGATTTATGCATTGATGTTAGATTTCAGTATTCCGTCCACTTGAATGCCAAAATTTTATAAATAATTCAAAATATACCTTAGTTATGGTTGTATGCATTCAACTGTATGTTAAATGTTTTGGTTATTTAGCAAATCTTGTCTCATCTTGTTGTGCATTTCAAAAATGCCCACTTTGATGAAAACTTGTGTCTGCTCGGTAAATCAATGGCTTAAAATGTAGTCTAATCAGGAGCCAGTGATGTCCAGATAAGACTGGTGTAAACTGGACGGTGAAGAAATTATATGAAGGTAGTCCTAATAACAGATGCTCTTTTTGTATTTAGTGGAAGATTTTCTTACGTTAAGAGTTGGAAGTGATGTCATTTGTTTTGGGCATCTTTGTTACAGAATAGTCATTTTTAAACAAATTAATCCACAAGTGACTATTTTTTTTAAGGGATAGTCATTAAAAGCAAATCTATCCATTAATGACTGTCTTTGTTACATAAATTAATGATCATTTTAACCACTTTTCCTACAACTGACAATATTTATTATGGAATAGTCATTGTTAACTTATCTATCCATAAGTGACTTTGTTTGTTATGGAATAGTCATACTGTTAAATTATCTATCCATAAGTGACAGTATTTGTTATAGATTAGTCACTATAATAATAATCCATCTATTAGTGACTTTGTTATGGACAGTATATTGTATCTTTATTGTGACTGCCTATTAATTTATCTTTGTAGTGGTTGTCTTTCATTAATTCCCTGTTGGGAAGGTCCTGGGGTCGAACCTCGGCTGCATCTGTCCTAAGTTGTTAAAAAAAAAAATAGGAAGCAACTGTTCTCTCACCAAACGCTACACATTTCGAATGGTTCTGATTAACTTCACTCTAGTAAGACCAAGGGGTATTAATTATAAACAGTAGACACCATCTTACTGTAAACCAGTTATTATTCACGACATCTTTTATTTGCGATTCTTTGGTTTGGAATCCATCTGGGACTACTTATTATTGCGAAAGATGCGACATTTTACATAAATAATTAAATACATAGGTGAATATTAAATTGATCACAGTGAGAATCACATGAGTAAGAGAAGGTTGTGAAACTGACAAATATTCATACATGTGAATTAGAGTTGGTTTACAGTATTTGAAAATTTTGAATCTTCAGGAGAGTGTAATGTCTTATTTGTGCCAAAGGAAGAATCCTGAGCTGTACATTCAGCTCATTACTGGAGATAATAATTATTATTTTAAGTTTATCTTTCAGGTTTATTCACGTGTTTCAGTATGAGTATTTTTCAGACATGTGGTATTTATTGTATTTTTTTAATTTTTATACTCAACAGCTCAATAAAGGAAATTCTAAACAATGGAAGTTTTTTTTTTATTTTAAAGCCGCTTGGTCCGATTCTAATAGCTAAAAAATATATATCGTTTTTCTTCTTGAAAAATAATAGTCCATAAATTATTTCAACTTTTGTCAAATTATATCCCCAAAGTCTTTTTCTTTTTAAAGATATTAAAATTCAAAAGTTAAAAAAGTAATTTTTGTTAGGTCACACAATAAATAATCCTTTGTTGACATTTGTTGACATTGCGTGAAGTCACCTTCGAAAAATTAAATTTATCGCTTATGTGTATAACTCATGAAGAACAAACCCGAGCATTTTTTCCACAACAAAGTGTACACGGGCAATATTCTAGCCCTCATTACTAAACCCCCTGTATATATGCATATTAATATAAAAATTACTATGGATTATATTCAATTAATTCCTTAATTTTTAAAAGATATATCATGACTTAGGATTCTACTAATCGAAAAAAAATAATCGGGTTTGAATTCTCTTCATAATTAGATACCGGTATATCCGATAAAAGTATTTTTTTCAAAGGTGACTTCAAAACAGATCTTAAAATCCCGTCAGGAACTGCTGTTTGTCAACAACGTTTTTGGTCTATGTTTTCCATGTAAGGATTGTTGTAATAAACTATTAAATCAATCTTATAATTAATTGTTATATATTATCTATGTAATGACATACTTTTATTGTTTAAGATAATATGTGCCTGTTCCGGATGAAGCGGCTTTAAGCAATTATTGACAAGGTTTTTATACTATCTTCCTCAAACTGATTTCCCTTCGATCAAATCAAACACATTTACTATATGTAAGTGGTCTACAGCTGTAACAAACAGACTCGTAGTTTAACACCAGAAATTTGGTTAGCCCGGTATACTCCGACGAGCACTTCTCTACTCATCAGAGTTCACGGAGAAAGTCGAGTGTCTGATTGTTCAACTAACAACCAGACATTTGGTTAGCCCGGTATACTCCGACGAGCACTTCTCTACTCATCGGAGTTCACGGAGACAGTCGAGTGTCTGACTGTTAAACTAACAACCAGACATTTGGTTAGCCCCGTATACTCTGACGAGCACTTCTCTACTCATCAGAGTTCACGGAGACAGTCGAGTGTCTGACTGTTAAACTAACAACCAGACATATGGTTAGCCCCGTATACTCCAACGAGCACTTCTCTACTCCTCGGAGTTCACGGAGACAGTCGAGTGTTAGACTAACAACCAGACATTTGGTTAGCCTGGTATACTCCGACGAGCACTTCTCTACTCCTCGGAGTTCACGGAGACAGTCGAGTGTCTGATTGTTAGACTATCATGGTAAACGAAACATGTCATTTCTTGTGAAAAACTCTACTTTCCCATTGTCATTAATTGGTACTTAACCCTAAATCATCTAAGGTTAACCCTTCCCTGCATATTTCATTTTTCTTGCGAGGAAAGTTAAGGTACCTACCTGTAGTACGCACTTAAACGCAAAATTTCCCAGTAATAAATTTTCTAGTTTTTAGCTCACCTGAGCCGAAGGCTCAAGTGAGCTTTTCTGATCACATTTTGTCTGTCGTCCGTCCGTCTGCCTGTCCGTCCGTAAACTTTTCACATTTTCAACTTCTTCTCAAGAACCAACAGGCCAAATTTAACCAAACTTGGTACAAATTATCCTTAGGTGAAGGGGAGTTTAAATTGTTAAAATGAAGGGCCAAATCCCCTTACAAGGGGAGATAATGAAGAAGAGACAAAAATAGGGTGGGGTCATTAAAAAATCTTCTTCTCAAGAACCACTGGGCCAGGAAAGCTGAAACTTAGGTGGAAGCATCCTTGGGTAGTGTAGATATTAAATTGTAAAAATCATGACCCCCGGGGGTAGGGCGGGGCCACAATAGGGAATCCAAGTTTTACATAGAAATACATAGAACAAATCTTTAAAAATCTTCTTTTCAAGAACCACTGGGCCAGGAAAGCTGAAACTTATGTGGAAGCCTCCTTGGGTAGTGTAGATATTAAATTGTTAAAATCATGACCCCTGGGGGTAGGGCGGGGCCACAATAGGGAATATATGTTTTACATAGAAATATATAGAACAAATCTTTAAAAATCTTCTCAGGAAGCACTGGGCCAGGAAAGCTGAAACTTATGTGGAAGCATCCTTGGGGAGTGTAGATATTAAAATGTTAAAATCATGACCCCCGGGGGTAGGGCGGGGCCACAATAAGGAATCCAAGTTTTACAAAGAAATGTATAGAACAAATCTTTAAAAATCTTCTTCTAAAGAAGCAATGGGCCAGGAAAGCTGAAACTTATGTGGAAGCATCCTTGGGGAGTGTAGATATTAAATTGTTAAAATCATGACCCCCCGGGGTAGGGCGAGGCCACAATAGGGAATACAAGTTTTACATAGAAATATATAGGAACAAACTTTAAAAATCTTCTTCTCAAGAACAACCGGGCCAGAAAAGCTGAAACTTATGTGGAAGCATCCTTGGGTACTGTAGATATTAAATTGTTAAAATCATGACCCCCGGGGGTAGGGCGGGGCCACAATGGGGAATCCAAGTTTTACATAGATATATTTAGGAAAAATCTTTTAAGAATCTTCTTCTCAAAAACCACTGGGCCAGGAAAGCTGAAACTTATGTGAAAGCATCCTGGGGTAGTGTAAATTCTAAAGTATTAAAATCATGAATGGGAGGGTGTAGGGGGGGGGGGCATGATAGGTATAGCAAGAAGGGAAATCTGGTAAAGAACTTCATCACCCAAGTTACTCAGGTGAGCGATGTGGCCCATGGGCCTCTTGTTTTTTTTTAACTCTGTCTTTCCATCAACCCACCGGGAGCCCATCCGATACACACCCCAGGAATTAAAGAAAAGAAACAATTTCTATAACTGACACTACAACCTGTAACCCTTTGCTTTGCCCTTTGAGCCTTTTCCCCACTAGAACTATAAAGTATTTGTTGGATGATTAATATTAAATTGGTCCAGAAATTTGAAGTTTCAATAACTTCGAGATGAAATTAGATTTTTATTATATTTTCGTGTGAAATGCTATCGTAATATATAAGTCGTTATCTATGCACCTTTAAATGAAATTTTTAAATGCATAAAAGATTTAATTTGTTGGGATGGGGCTGTTAGTTTTGAAAATTAAAATATCTTTTTTTTCAGTTAATAAATATATATTTTTTAATTCTTTAAGAAAGATTCTCATGCGGACAATAACCTTATTGTTACTTCACCTGGGCACGAGAATGCGTGATATATTTAAAAGCGCGCTTTATTAACGTTGACAATTGCACAAACCTTCCTCTCATTAGTAGAGAAATATTTGAGCCTCGTCGGATAGAAATCGACCTTATGGCAAAATTTATCGAATTTGAGATTTTTGTGTTTTTTAATGGTCCATGTTAAACCATTACAGAAACTGAAAACGGAATCAAAATATCTTCATTTATAACAAAGTTATTACATTTTGAAATTGGTATGTTTGCAAAATTAACTCTGAACATATCGTGGTTTTTCACGATTCAATTGTGACGTCATGGTTTATTCTCCGTTGTTCGGCAAGGCACCTGTCAACGCGTAGCAATCCAAGCGGTCATCATGTCTAAGTTAAAAGAATTGCTTAGTAAATGACAAAAACAGATGATCATGATGTACAATCCCAAAAACTGTGTTAACTGTATTTTAAATCCTTTAAAAAACGAATACTCCCCCCCCCCATCCCCCGATCTTTAATTTCTACTTTTCTGTCTTTCGTACCGACAGCTTTGTCTCTATGAATAACTGAACTTCCAATAAACAAAATATAGATTTACACTATACTGCTTTTAAGTTTGATAAAGCCTGTATCCTCAAAGCATGCAAGTTAGTTAACACACTACGTAATCACCATGTAAAGGAAAAGGGAACCAATGTAGATCGAGTCAAAATTTACAGCGATTCGAATTCGATCTCAGAATACCAAGTTTCTTACAGCAAAATACATGAACCATGCAGCCAATAAATTCACAACTTAAATCATGCTACTGAAACGTGAAGCGGTCACCCATCCAAGGGTTAAACAGGCTCGCTGTTGCTTAACTTGCCTGAAATAGAGAGAGACTCTACCGCATCACTAGAAAAGGTAGCTCACTAGCTAGGCAGTATAAGTTCCCTGTACAGGCACGTAGCATCGTTTTTGAAAGGGGGGGCAACCTTTTACTTACCTAAAAAAAGTTGACCAAAAAAAAAGGGAAATTAACAATTGCCCAAACTCGAAAATCCTATTTCGGGGGGGGGAGGGGGGGGGTAGAAGCCAACTTTTTTCAAGGCCAACTTCCTTTCACTTCCATTTTTTCCTATATTGCCTTATTATATATGTACTTTGGTAAAAAGTGGGGGGCCAACCGACCTGCCCCCCCCCCCCCCCCCCCCCCCCGGTTGCTACGTGCCTGCTGTATACTAGTATACTGTCCGCTACACTACAATAATTACTCTAAAGTTAAATTTAAAAAGTCACATCCATCTGTCTATACATAGTGATTACGTGAAATCAAACATGGTGTGATACTAGCCCTGTGTCTAAAAGTAAGCTCATTTTATTAGGATTTTTCTCCCTAGAACCGTTTCTACTGCAGCCACATTCACCTTCAAATACCTAGTTCATAAATATACACCCTGTTTTCCTCCACAACATTCTCGCTTGGTTGTAATTGGACGGATAGCTCGACAAAAATTTAGCCACTGTGTCTTTGTATTATTACCCCCCCCCCCTCCTAGTAAAAACCCAATCGTCTTTTCATCAGATGTCTATTATCCATAATGTAGAAAAATAAATAAGTAAATATACATGTACAAATAATTGATTGATTGAATTTTGCTTAACGCCGAGTCGGCAAGATTTCAGCAATTATCGGCGGGAAATTTTTATCTGTTGCATGCAAAATACATGTAGTTGATAACCTTAATACAGGGAACTATTTAACGTTTCATCTGACGGACTATAATCTCAAAAATATGTAAAGCGTTAAAAAAGATTTCTCTCTGTGTTCATCAACAAAATATCTCATAAAGTACAAAATTTTACTTTAAAAATCAATTTGATGTGAATAATCTAAAATTCATTGTTAAATAAAATTATAATCATGCATCGTTCGTACATTTTTAATTAACTTCGAACGTGAGAGACCTCACCTAATTTAGAAGAATAAGTTTTATAGTTACATGTAGCGGAAAGTCACGGGAAACATAATTGTTTGCACATTGGTAAGATGAAATTCTCGACTCAATAAGTATGCATGCATTATTTTTGGAAGATGATTTTTCATTTTTTTTTTGTTCTTTATAGCCTATAGTTTATCATCATCGGATACCCAAGGATGATCTCATCTTTTCTCATCACCGGGCGATAGGTAAAGACGAGATCACTCGTGGATTTCCGACGATGATAGTTTATTTGTAACGCAACATTCTAATGCATTTTCAAAAAGAGATTTTTCATTAAGTTTACAAAATATTTTTATCAACAGTAAAAAAATGAATGGATATCAATATGAATTTCAGAAATGCGAAAATTATCATTTCTTTGTTACATGTAACTGGAGTAATAGAAATGCATTAAAGGAAAGTAGAAGAAAAACACAAGATATATTGAATTACGATTTAAAACCATGTGCCAGAACATTTTCTTTCTTTTACAATTCAATTAACTGTAAACGAACTAAATGTTAAAAAGAGAATTGATTACGTATAGACTGTATGGATTCTAAAATAAATTATATCCTATTTAGCCGGCGAGATAGCTTTTTATACATGACATGTATGCTGACTTAAGAAGCCCCCCCCCCCCCCAAAAAAAAAAAAATTTACTCTCCTTTAGAGAAAAATATGTATGAAGGCACGCAGCGTACGGATCGACAGAATTCTGTAATCCCGTTCCTAACCCAGTCCAACACAACACTTATAAAATTATAGACATTTCATAATTGTTTGTTTTATGATTTTGTAAATAAGAAAAATCAAATTTAAAAAATGAGATTCATAATTAAGTCATCTGTTGTGGGTATCCACCCTCTCTTTAAAAAATAGAGAATTGTAGAAGAATTTTATAATGTAGATCTCGAACGTATTGATGTTATAATTTGAAAGTCTTAGTACAAAACGAAACCATATTCCAGTTATTCACGAACAGGTGAAATCCTGCTCAAGATGATTTTTGCGGAAGAGTTTGGTATTGACGGGGTTCGAAATACTTAACATTATGCTGAATATTTAAGAACACCTTTCACAAAACGTTTGTTTTTGACACCCGACTTTAGAGTAATTTTTTTTTTTTTTGGTTTACAACTCTTTAACATATTAATGACATAGAAGGATATGTTTTACAAACCGGGCCCATCTTACATTTTCGCCAGCCAAGTTAAAATCATAGGTGATCCATCGTCGGTATTTTTATAAAATTGCAAAATAAGGAGTGAAATATTTAAGAAAATTAACTTAAAATCTGGTAATGGAAGAGAGACAAAAGTTAAGATAGAGAGAAAAAACATCTTTTTTTAAGGAAATGATTCCCCGTGTTGAGCCTCTTTTTGCGTCAAAGGGAAGCAACTTGCACAATTTATCGTATCCAGTCGCTTCGGACAATACGTGTTTCCGTTTGAGAATTACTGATATATGAAGAAATTGCCTTAAACAATACCAGTATTACTTGTTTTTTGATATCTCTTTATATTGAAGTTAGAAAAATGCGTTTTTTAAAAAAGTTGTTGAATCGTGGCCTTTGTCCATTTTGTACTGAATCGATATGCCTATATACCTGTTTGTTTTGTTTTGGTTGGTTGGTTAATTCCTCTGATAAATTTGAAAATACACATAATTTCATTCAAAGACATCAAACGTTAAAGTATATCTAATATAATATTGCGAATTTAATCGACAATGAATGAATACACGTGCACACGATGATAGTAAATGAAGTTCACACACTAGGCTATTACTGCATCAGTACATGTGCGATTTTCTGTGATAGATTACGTCTCCTCTGGCTAAAATTTATACTCTAAACTACAATAAAAATATATTCTGTACTTCCTCAGTAATGCATCATGCCATTTTTTCTTCGCTATATGTCTAACAACTTATTATTTATCTGGTGTTAGATTTGGCCTAACGTCTTCTGCTGTTTGAAAAAAAATGATAAGTGTAGATCGGACTCGGCATTCCTCTGGTTTGTGTTTACATTGATCCATGGTAACAATAAAAAATTAGGCTCTACGAAGGGGAATACATTCAAAATTTGTTTATTTAATTAGTACATGTTTAAAATGATCCGTTTTTTTTTTTAAGAAAAATTCTTTGAACTGCAGTTGACGATGTCTAAAACATTCCTTAAAGTGAAAACCATGTGTAGTAAAAATACCGGGAAATCTTTCTCAACTTTATTCGCTTTTTTTCTCATTATGACGTTGCATACGATAAGGTCGATTTCTATCCGACGAGGCTCATTTGTTACGTGTCAAAATAAATAATGGATTTTTTTTACCTTGTATTGGTTGTGACAACATTGGTTTTTTTAAAAATATTATTTTAACAAAATAAAAAAAAAATTAAAGACTAGATAGTCAAAAGTGATTTTTTCTAATTGCAAATTGATCAAAATTATATTTAAGGTAAAAAACATAAGGTATTCAGAGAAATTGTCATGATTTTTATACTTATTTGGTATTCTATATCTTCTATTTCCCTCAAGTATTATATAATACATAGTGTAAAAGGCTTTTGCTATCATTGCAAGACATCACAAATCACTTAATTTCATATCATGTCAATAAACAATGGTATGCTATCTAAGGCTAGATTCAAGAAATTATTACTTCTCTAAAACTGTATTTATTTGTTTTCCTTTTATGAGGTACAAATGTCAACTTTTTATAAGGCCTTTTCGAAGAACTCCATAAACCTTGAATCATATAAAGATGAATAAAATGAAAATTTTTCATTTTCAAGCCTCATATTGATGCTTTTAAATTAAATATTAATTTTTGGAGTTATCCTTCCTGGCTGAGGATCAGATATCCTTAAGAGCAGGCAACTTTTTAAAGTGTAATAAAAAGATTATCAAAAGTATGTAAATAGGGGGGAAATTATTTTATTCAAAAACAAAATCGCATTAATCTTTGAGTTAATACGAGTTGATTCAGTAAGTTTTAATGATAAGAATGACTTTGAAGCATTTATATTTTGGGTATCCTATTTTAATTTACCTTATATCTATCATTTTTATTTAATTGTGTTTTCTTTTATCATTCTATGGTTTCTATGCCTTTGATCCAGTGTGGTGATGCACTTCTCAATGTCAAACTTAATCACAAGTTGTTATATCCTTAATATATTTAATCAATGTTATCATTTTGTAATAATTGTTCATGCCCCCTGTGGGCCCTTGATTGGTGAATAAACATACGTCAATATTTTACTTTCAGTTCTAAAAGTGAAATATTTAAAAACATTATTCTTAAGATTATATCACAGAACTTCAGGTCGCTTTAATTCGACTTTCAAAAATTGAGGATTAAAATAAATGAATACAGGTATGGAACTCCCTACATAAAGCAACCTTTATGCTCGCCAATGAAAATCTAACTCATTTCATCTAAAATCATATCAATAATCTACATGTACATTATTTAATACCTATGTTTATTCCAACATTTCCTACACTACTCAAATGCTGAGGTCAATTCCAAATTTGTAACGTTAACTCTCTCTCTCTCTCTCTCTGAGACTATATTTCAACTTTAAGCACCAAATTACACGCCTTAATCATGTAGCTTATTAGTGTTATGCTCTGCCGTCAGTGACATCGCACAGGAGTAACAATCAATATATACACCGCGACTTACATTTCTGTACTCGCTGTCTGTCACTGGGGACAATTATTGTGTCTTAGTAGTGGATCTAATACCCTTCTTTTTCCTTTCTTTTTTCCATCCCCGACAGTGTTTTCTACACAACTCTGGCTGGAGAATTGCATAAATCTGAAGGACAGCTAGACTGCCTGTGCCCACTCTGAATTATTGGATGCAAGGTAATTTAATGCAGGGATAGATAAATGATTTTTGCAGGGTGGTGTAGGGTTTTCTTCGAAATACATGTAACTATCACAAGAATGATAGAACGTACGCTGAGGCCCCTATACCATGTTAAAAGTGCACAGAAAAATCTCCTTCCATACCTTAATACTGGTATAAATATTGACGATTTTCACTAATATGCATAATGATTGACCTTTAGAGTCTGGCCTATGTCTAAACTCTGGTTTGTTTTATTTCCTTTTACGAGAATGTGACCCGACTTGACCCTCGATAAGGGGGGCGAACTACAGCGAGAGAGAGGGGTGCATTGTACTAAAAGCTGTAAACGAAAATAAGCAGCAAAGCCTCCAGTTTCACGATTGAAACTAATCACTCTGGATTTCTTATTCTTTAAATTAAACAGAGACCTCACTTTAATTTATTTCCTAGATCCTGGTCTTAATCAGGCCTTCAGAACACTAGACGGCTTTGTGATCTTTCTCATTCGTCAGTAATACAACACAGCGCTTTTTTTCCTCGGAAAACGGTATGGATTATATTTGCATTTCTATGTTGAAGGAAATCATTAATATTGTGTAAGCTGAGACACGAGGTTGGAAGTTTTGCTGGCCTCCTTGTAGCAGGGGTCTGTTGGTAGAACAGAGGAATGCGGGCCGCTAGCTGACAGTGTCACCGATCGCAGGCAGATAAATTTATCAGTCTTACCGCCAGAAGTTAAGACACACGTGGGATTGCCAGCTTATTTGTAATCGTATAAGTAAGTAATTTTACTTTCTCAAGTTTGTGAATGTTGGTAAGTGACAGTATATATATTGCCAAATATTATTTGCGTTTTTAGAGGGTACAATATGTGGTTGTGGTTGGCCGATATACCGGTATACTACAAAAATTCTACCACGAATCGGTACAAAATCATATACATTGTATCTGTGTATCAGAGTCATAACATTTTAAAGATTTTTTTTGTCTTTTTTGAAGTGACTTGCTGAGCTTAATAAATGTTACATATAGTGATGTGTTGTGAATTAGATGAAATAATCTACACTGTACATGTATCCCTTCATATTGTAAAATTGTCTTAATATATGAAATGTGAAATATGATACGTATCGTGATGCAGTCTACGTGTATCCTGATACCCCGAGATATACTTCAGTCGTATCTTTACATCCCCTACTGATGATAAATTTAAAAGTAAGTATTGTCTTTTAAATTATTAATTATATTAAACAATAGTGAGATAAAAATATTTCAGATGTTTATAATTTGTCAGTATATATCAGAAGCTTAAGTTAGAATAAGGCCTCTCCGTCCAAACTCCACCCATCTTTTATCTTTTTAAATTAAATTTTCATAATATAAAAAAGAGCATAAATATGTGTTTAAATTTTTAAAGGGATATATTGGCAGTTTTTAGAATACAACAGCGAAGACAAATTTAGTGCCTATATCCTTTTAGTACATTTTGCCATAAGACACCTTGTATACTATTCCCATTATAGAAATAGAGAAGTCAGAGGAAGCCGTTCAGCTTGCTCAAGTTTCATTATTTTTAACCCTGGAATCAGATCCACCTCAAAATGTTGATAAAATGAAAGGTTTCATTTCATATCTGTAATTCTGCAACTGTCAGTGATTTTGTATTTGTATATAATCAACGATATTAAAATAAAAATTTTGTGTATTTTCTTGCAAATATTTTTTGTTCTTTTAACAAAGGCAAGGTTTCAAGGTTTACAAAAGTTTAAACTATATGTGTATAATGAACGAAACATTATTTTGGATAACTATGAATTTAGTTCTACTTAAACCATTTTCGTTTAAATTGCAATAAGGCGACAGTTCAGTTTGAAGAGAAAAATACTTGAATAGGACAGCTATTTTCCCAAGTCGCTCTAATTGGATTTTTCTCATTTTGTAAAAGGCAGTTGGAGTTGACGTGATGTTTTATACAAAGAATACATGATGGGAGAAGAATGGGGGTATTTTTTCGCTTGACATCTGTAATAGGAGTCGTGAAATCTCCTACAAAGGCGACAAAGCAGACGAGAGGACGCGCTTGGCGGGAAGTCTCCAGACAAAACATTCAGATATCGACTGACACGAGAGAGAGAGAGAGAGAGAGAAAGAGAGAGAGATCCTATTATTTTGATTTTTCACAGTTTTAACCTGTTTTTACACTGCTGGATCTTGTTAAAATGTCGAAGCAATGTGTTTTATTAGGTCTGATAAACTGAACAAGACGTTGATGCTAAAGATAAACTGACAAAGTCCGGTACACATGCAGTGTTTTTGAAAGATACTAGCAACAGCCTCAGGTGTTCTCCTACTAGTATCACTAAAGCACATAAATACACAATATCTCAGCATGCTTATAATCGTGTCAAGATGGCAATCAATAGTCTAGTCCACAAAACGTTAAAATATTCAACGATATTAAACCAAATGCATTAACTAATGCTATATCTTGATTAATTTGGGAGGTCTGGGGGTTAAATAACAATGTATTTCTTATTGGTGTATTTCGTTGGCATTACCGAATCGATTTGTTACACCGTACAGACGTAGGAATCAGGGAATACAGCAGAACAAACAGTCTGTCAGATGTCAGATTTTGTATATTTTTATTATCTTCAAACTATTTAAGATATTTATGTTTGAAACGGTTTAGTTAAAAACTACCACAGCCTAACCGGTGCGTGAATCCAGTGGCATGTGTTCGTGATATTTTATCTAGCCGACTTACCAGATCTCATGCTTCACTCTTGTTTTTCAGGTGCCAGGGTTTTTGTCTTGAACTATTCAATTCCCATTTCCAGACTGATGTATAATGTGCACTGAAAATTCAATGAAAAGTATATGGTCAAAGAAAATAACATAGAGAGTTAATAAATGTAATGGATTAGTGTACAAGATGCCTAAAAAGAAATCCAAAAGTTCCAGGAAGTCCTTCTCTAAGACTGTTTGGGGACTTTCCGGGCATGATCTTTTCCCGGGGTCTTAGTCTGAATGATGCTAAGAGTTTTTTGGCGGCGGATCTCGGTATGGAAGCTGTGCACCTTTTCTGTGATTGTTCTTCTGGGACTAAATGTGGCCCTCCATCGGCGGTTTGTGGGACTAGAAGCAGAGTCTTTGTGGAACATCAAAGACCCAAATGGTATGATATTAACTCCCTTCAGTCTCCATGGAACATTTGAAAACCGTCTGCGTAAGCTGATGGAGAAGTCTACAGGAAATGGACTAGATGTGATAAAAATTCAAAACGAGGCACCAATGTCCGTGACTTACTCGGAAAATCTTATCAAGTGCGAGGATTTTGTGGATATATTAAACAGGACCTACCTGGAATCGGGCTGGACCAAGGCTGTTTATAGGGGAAATTACAAAGGACTACCAGTGGCAATCAAAACAGTGGATGTCAAAGGTCAACATCTGAAGTCATGTGTGGCTAAAGGTCATCGTCATGGAGACTGTTACCATCGTGCAGCTCAGAAAATTGTCAAAGAGATTGTTGTTTTGCAAGCTATTGCTCATGAAAATGTTATTAAGGTATGGTGTGATATATCGCTCATTCATATAGTAATATGGTAGTAAAATTAAAAGGGAGTGAAAAATGGAAATATGAGAAAACATTCTTTTGATAGTTGTAAAACTATTTTCTGATAAAATTTTATTCAGGTACAAGGCTTAATATAAAGTTCACTTTGGTAAAACGATTTAATTTCTCTCAGGTTAACATAAGACCTATGTACATCATTTGTAGCAAACAAAAGGCATAGAATTTATGTAATTCGTCATATATGACCAAACTAAAGATTGTTCATATTTGACCAACATTGAATAAAACACTATTTTGAAAAAAGATACTGGTATTAAACATGACTCAGTAATTTTAAAAACCGAATCTAACGCTGGAGAATCTAGCACCCGGACATCTAGACAAACTTTTAATGTGTTGTCTATGTACTCAACACTTCACTTTTGTACAACAAAAACTGCGCACATGTTTGCGAACCTCTTCCAAACGTCACACACAATCAGACATGACTTCTGACGCTTGTCAAGGATAATCGGTCAAGTTTTTGGCAAATTCCTGACGAGCACCTGCCCGTATGTGTAAATCTGTGTAAAAAATTATCTATACCAATTAAAGTTGACGTTAATAAAATTCGTTGCATTTGTCTTACGACGTGGCAAGTCGAGGGTGTAGCATCAACATTAGCTTGTCTTTATCGTCTGTATATGAAAATACATGTACCATAACCAAGCAATAACCCTTCTTCTTTAAGTTTAAACTTTAATAATTCAATTGTTTTATCATTAGAACATTTGTCATGTTGAAACTAAACACATTACGTATGCACTTTATTTTTAGATGAAATAATAAACATGTATTATAGAGCTGTATTACTAAGACACATATAACATTAATTCTCTATAAAAGATAATATTTAATTAAGTTTTAAATCGCAAGCTAGGAAGTAAACTGACTACATTCAAAACAAGAAATTGCTTATGATACGTTTTCAATCTTTCCAAAAATAAATAAATAAAATAAATTAATTTAAAAAATTAAATAAAATGATTATATTATACGACTTACTAACAGATCAAGCTTTTTCTTTGTACCGATTAGTTAAATAAGTAGATTTTTTTAAATAGATATTTATATATGTTAGGATTCTGGTTACGAGGCATCTAACATTTAATAGGAGTTATTTTATATAACGATTAATAAACTTAAGGTGATTGGATTCTGAATTCCAGAAACCATTAAATTAAAAAGAAGTTGTTTGTTGTTGTTGTTAAGATCCTGTGTACACGGCACCATTAAATGGAGTAGGTCTATAGCTTGTGGATTTGATTTTAGGTGTTAGGATTCTGTGTGCCAGGCACCAATAGCAACATTCAAGGGGTCGCCATGGTAACAGAGTTAGGTGAAAGTGTGGACTTGATCAAAATCTTACAGATGTCGTGGGAGGACCGCTTCAAAGTAAGGCATCCCAATAAATAGATTTATAATCATTATTATTTGTAGATGAAATAAGGACATTGATACTATTGCTTCCAGGTAGGTAGATTAAAATAAGAAATTTAATTGTTTTTAAAACCCTCACTCTACACAGATAAATTAATTTATATTGTATGTATACTAGTGGACTTTTGCAAAGAGCGCTGACTTTCACAGTCGACAGCTTACCTTTACACTTGTCTGTTGAACAGAATACGGAAGCTCTTTTTGCAATAAAATTATTCATCCACATATAAATAAACGAAAATAACGGGCTGAAATGAATCATATAAATTGCCCATGAAAATACCTACAACTACCCTACCCTCAAATACCAGTGCCCCAAACATCCTACTTCTGACCACTAAAAGGGTTTCCTTGTCTATATAGTCAGTTCTGTACCTACACAGGTTTAAATGTCGAAGTAAACTGTCAACTGTAAAAGTCGGTGCTCTTCGCAAAAGTCCAGTAGAATATAAACAATATACATGTACAATGTGTATGTTTTTAATGGAGATGCTCTATAGTAACTATGAATATTGCAGAAAAATACACAATTTGCTTTATTTAAATTTGTTTACGTTATCTCTCAAGATCAAGGAATCGGGCTTTTATCAGGTTGAAACTTATCAATCTGCAAAACTGACAATTTAAATTCAGATGTGAGTGAAAATTCAATTTCTGAAATTTTGCTTGTATATTATTTTATGATTAGAGTACTTGGTAAACAATATTTCTGTTGTTTAAATTAAAAAAAAAGGTTATTTAAAAATTGATAAAATACCATATGCACTGAATCCTGACTTCTGCGGATGACATATTAAATAACATTGCTCTAAAGAAAATAGCAAATATTATTGAACCCCTCCCCTAAATCTTATTTAAAACATTTATGTATTTTATGTTCTTTTTTAATTTTTTAAGGTTTATTTTTTTCAATTTTTTTATTTTAATTTTTTAATAAAATTTAAAACTATTTGTTTACTCTAATTAAAACTATGTAGGGAGAGGGCTAAAATAGGCTTTGCCTACTGCCCAATCCCATTCACTTTTATCTGTGAATAAAATTTTATATGAATAAAAAAACCTAATAATTTTATGTGCTATTCAGTCAGTATAGACATTTATACTTCACAAATGTAGATTAGTATATCATCGTAATTGTATGTCCCGACCTGTAGGTACTGTCCGAATATTTGGGGAGAAAATAAGGAAAATATTGTTTTAGTTAATACCTCTCTGACAAAGGCAGGAAAAGGGAGATATATATATATCATCACAAAGGAACCGGCATGCTGAAATCTATTACATCTTGTGTAAATGTTATTGCAGCAGTTAATTATCAGAATGAACGAGGGCAGATGAATCCCCCACACAGCCTTCTTTCTTATCTTCGGAGTAAACTCAGCTCTAATTAAAATATATTAGGGAAACAGAAGAATTGTACCCAAAATCAAAGAATACTTATTATGATTTTGATACTTTGGGGATCTTGAAATCATAAGTGACAAAGAACTACGAACGTTAATTTTCGATTCCAGCCTACATTTTACACCTATCTAATTCAATATAACATGCACTCTTGCCATTAAAGCTTATTTAGATAGAAAGAATAGATCATTAGTAATTGATAAATTTATTATTTTAATTCATGTGTCAAAAAATTAATTGCTTCTTTTTACAACTCTTTTCATAAAGGGGGAAGATTTCTCCATTGAAATCAGACTTCAAAACATCAAACTTTCCGTATCTTAAGGTTATCCGATCCTCAGGTTCTGAAAATCAGGCATTGAGTAATTGAAAATGCTCACAAAGATGTCTCTAAATTCTCAAATTAAAATGTATTTACCCACGGTGTTTCTTTAAAATTCATCTTTAAATTTAATCATATTATGTAGGGAAAATTAAAAAAATAATTTTTCAGGAAATGCGATTTGAACTACCTACTGCATATTTTTTAATTGATAATTGATCAAGAAATACATTTTAAGAATAAAAATCATAGGTATCCAGGCTTTTAAAGAAAATTGCATGAATTTTACAATTATTTGGACTTTACTTTCTCCTACTTACTTCCATTGTTTCATAATGCATAGTGTATGAATTGTTTCCTTTCAAAGAAAACACTGTAAATCACTTCTAATTTCAAATCATGCATATAAACATTGGTAACTAAGGCTAAATTAATAGAAAATTGATTTTTTTAAATATGCAAGTTTTACTTCATTTTATGAGGTACAAATGTCAACTTTTTAAATAACGTTTGTTAAAACTTTAAAGAGCATTGAATCATACGTAGAGGCATAAAATGAAAATTGTTGCATGAAAAAATTTCAATTTCAAGCCTTATTTTGATACTTTTTGAATTAAATTATAAATTAAAGAGTTATCCTTCCTGGCTGAGGATCGTATATCCTTAAACATTGTAAAGTTCAATGTATAAGATTGATAAAATACATTTTAAAAATTCTATACCATGTGTGAAATCTTTAAAAATGCTCATATATTTTTTGTTGCTTATATACAAATATAAAATATTACCCAAATATGTAAACTTTTGAAAAATGGCTTGGAAGTAGGCATCGCAGAACAGTACTATCGTTCGCCGTTCTTTCGTGTGTGCAACTTACAGTAAACTTGGGAGAAAATAAGGGGATAGTAAAAACAAGTGATTTCTCTTCCTAACGACGTTCGATCCTTTTATTTAAAGTCTTAAACTTTTTTTGCCAAGTATATTTTTAGTTTCTACATACATAGCTTAATTAAAATTCAAATCAAAAAATGGGGGTCAATACGCTTCTTTTGGAGCTACAGTACATTAAATATGACCCTTTTGCACTGAAATTTGTGTCTTAATTAAAAATTATATTTTTGACGTTTTCCCTCCAATATTTTTATTCAACAAAAGCATAAAACAAAATGAACTCTAAGTTTGTTTTAAAAAAAGACACTTGAAAATTGTGACAAAGAAAACGTTTTAAATTGCTTGGCATAATCAATTATTTGACCTTTCTGCACTAATAAAAAGTGATTTTTCTGGCATTGAAAATTTAATAAGCAAGAAAACTATTTTAAAGTCTTAAACTTTTTCTGATTTTAAGCAAATATGCCAAATTTATCATAAATATTTAGAAAAGATCATCAAAAGCGGGAGTATGATATAAATTGGCTCAATTTTTTCCCGGATTTTCAGAATATATTTACTATATTTGTCACACTTTGTTGATAGAATTCATAAGAAATATTTTAATAGATATTTCAGAACCAGCATAACACATTTAACTGCAAAAACAGCTTTTTGTACAACCAGGAAGGAAAAATAGGAATCCAATATTAACAATACTGTTGTAGTTCAAAATGGAAAAACTGATCATTTTCGTCTAAAAAACCTTCCGCTACAAAATATAGTCCCTATCTTAATTCTACTTGAATGGAATTTAATCGCTGTTTTTTCATTGAATATAATTAAATTTGCACTGTAGAATTCAGATTTAATGTTAGAACATAAAAAAGATGCAAAATTTTATAAATAAAGGACCTGACTAAATTACGCTCAAAATCTCAGGATCGAACGTCCTTAAGCAATAAGGACGCACTCACAAAGAAAACACTTAACAAAAGTTCTAAATAAAGATAACCAAAAACAATTATAACAACTCCAAACTTTAATTGCTAGACAAATGACACTAGCGACAAAGGAAAAGTATATTTTTGGTATGTCACTCTTAAAGTGTGTGTACATGGCTTTGTTTACAGATTTCATTTGACGTTTCTTCCATCATTGAGTGGATGGCCTCCAGTTCATACGGCAGCCTCGCTATGAATGACTTCCGGCGGCAGCAGTTTGTTCTCGTGGATGGTTCCCTTAAGCTATCTGATGTTGATGACGTAGGATTTGGCGATCCCGGTTGTGTCAAGAATGAAGACTGTACAATTCACTTTTCTAGCTCCAACTTCACACAAAAGTTAGCGTGATTTTAATGTTAAAATAATGGGTACATCATGTCCGTATACATGTCTTTAATTTACAAAGCGTTTCCCCATTCTGTTTTTGCGCTATTTATGCATTCTTATGACAAAATTCTCACATTGATTCGGAATTAAATGATGGAATTGTAGAATTCCTTTAGTCTTTGGTCTTTGGCAATTTTGTAAAGCTTAAAGGGGTATATATATTTGGACTTCAAATGTCGGATTTTTTAATACAATATCCAGAAGTAAATTTTTCTTTTCATTAGAATTCCATGTAAAGAAGGCACGTGTTTAAATTACAATGAGAAGAAGAATCTTTACAATGGTGGTCGCCATTTTACAACGTTTTTATTGCCACACGGTGCTCCCGAGTCCCTGCGCCCTCTGGTGGACAAAGTCGTGGAGGGTTACAGCAATCTTACACTGAATTCTCACCAAATAGTTCAACTAATGAAAAAAATCAAAAGTCTTTACGTGTCTGGAAAATATTTAAAGAGACAGAAACAACAGTTTTCGAAAGGTACGTAAATAAAAGTTTTTATTTTATTAAAGAAAAAAATTTAAAAAACAAAAAGGGTACTCTCCTAAATAAAGTTTTGGAAATTTATATATCCACTAGTGGCTTCATTCTTGCGATAGCGTTTCAGACTGGTAAAGTATTCAAGCCTATTTATAAACTTTTATGAAAACTTTAAATATTTGGCGTTTCTGATTGATATATACATGTATGTATATTTTTCAAGTACTTCAACTTATTCCTCAAAATTCAAATTCAAGAAAAGTGTGGTGTTTAAAGTAACAATATACATTCAAAGAAAGTCAAATTAGAAATGGAGGAAATCAACAGTATTGTACGTTTGTGTTCAATGAAGTTGGTGTGTAGACAAATCAAACTCGCCCATAAGTGTTTTCAAGAAAGTTCAAATCAATAAAATTGAACTCATTTTTACCTTTGATGAATAAAAGATATACAGTGTAACCTGCCTAATTCGACATGCCCTGGCAGACGGAAAAGACAGTCTGCCGGATTTCAAAGTATAAATTAACATTAAAATTAGTAAAATAGGAAATAAATTTAACGTCGGAATTTACAGTGTGAGGGATTACACAGGTTTCGGATCAGACAGTTTTCACTGTATTCGGAATTTCACAAGTTTTCACCTTAGGAGAAAACAATTTTAAGGGAGAGGTCACAATGTAAAGCCAATCTTCATGAGAAATTTTAAGTAACTAATTTAGAAAGAGTCATGCTTTGAAAGGAAGAAAAAACGAACTAGTAGTATGAGTAGAGGCTTGCATATAGACCTAATCGAGCCTAAGATGTAAAGGTGTTTCCAAGAGCTTGATTCAGGGTCAATGTTATTTGATTTAGTAGTATAAAAAATTATTCTTGGCATATACATGTAATTCTCTTGACTGGAGTGAATTCAAACTTAGTATGTATAAGGAGGCATGTCATGACCCAGAATCGAGGTCATGTTCTAAGGGTATACTAGTAGTCACAGTTACCAGTGTGGACCTTGACTGTTGTATCAAACTCAAACAAGATGATGTTCTGGTTATTGTCAACATGTGCGTCATGATTGAGGCTCTCAACAGTTCTATATGTCAAATGTATTGAGAAACAGTCTAAAACACCCGCCCATTCTTGAAACGTCAGGGGGACTACATCTGTTCTATTTGTTGTGCATTCCTGATACACACAAGCTTTAAATGGCACCGTTATATATTGTTCCATCGATATTTTATTGCAGATTATCGGTTTTATCCTGGCAGTGATCTCCCTGGAAAGTTTGACTACAGATGTCGCCTCTCGCTGTCGGGGACAGGGTGCACACACTCAGCTTTTGATGTCCTAGAAGCGGCAGCACTCTGTGACGCGGACCCAGACTGTCGTGGATTCGTTGTATCCAAGCAAAGGACTTGGGCAGGTAACATAAACTGGCCGGAACAAGTCAATTTGAAGGGGAAAATATGAATTACATGTGTATAATAATTTCTGGCAAGCTGGTAAATAAATATATATGTATAGAGATGTACTTTTATTTACCAGTTAAGATGAGGAGTGCCTATAGCATAATTTTTCTTTGTGCAAGTTTTTGAAGCCATCCATACTCCAACCAACCCTAACTTGATTGAAGTAACTGCGATGGATTTAAGAGATTGTCCATTTTGATCTTTAATTAATTCAATTTTTTTTCTTTTGTACAGGTCGTATGTTGGTACATTTTAAGTATGGTTTTGATTATCCATCAAAGAACTCCAATACGTCACTATATGTAAGAATCACGTGACATTCATACTTGTGTTCCTGCATAGAAAATAGCTGGGTCACGTGATTGGATTGACTAGCTCATCTTTTACGAGGTATATGTGCGAAGAAATTCTTGAGCAAAATTCCCAACATCAGAAGTTTTGGAAATGAATTGTTAAAAGGGAATTCGAACTTAGACTGCGGAGATGCCTAGAAGACAGTTGATTTATTTTGCTCTCAAGAAATATTGTTCATCCAACGTTATCCCCGAAAGTGTTCGTGAAAATAATTCCTACGTCTTTGATTCGTTATCTTTGTTAAATTGATACGAAAAGGAAAATACACCATGTTCATGTTCGATGTGAATTATTTTAGCTTTAATTTGAACGTAGATAAGTTCTTAAAATTTGTTCGTTATCCAATGCACTGTTTTTACTTGGCTATCGTATACAACTTTTCTTTTATAGATGTAAATTATTTTCATTTTGCCCCCCCCCCCCCCTCTGAGGATTACAACGTGTTTTGTTTGTATTGTTGGAGGTTCCGTACAAGTGTTTCCGTGCAATAATCTTGATTTCAGAAGGTGCTCTATGTATACAGGGTAATATTGTTGAGAGATCTTAACAAGAGTTACACAAATCCTCAGCATTCCATGATACAATTCACATTTGTTGTTAATTTTGTTTAATTTTATTCAAGTTAAACTTTGTAATTCAAACAAAGCTTTGTTCCATAATGTTTCCATTTGTGTGGCATTTTGATATGAACTTGTGTGTTTAATATTTGGTTACATCTGATGCCTATACGAGCCATTGGTTTAACCATGGTTGATATTTATGTTCAGTAGTCTTCAGTAAAACTTTGTAACTGTTTTCTGTTTGTCGGCGTAATATTGCTTTGTTAAACGGTTGCTGGTATATGCTTATCAAATGAACATTATACCGCAATGTTGTTGTATATTAATAAAGACAATCCAATCTTTATTTTGTCTTAATATTTCAAAAACGTGTGTTATGGGTCAGAATTACCCTAAATGCCAGCAAAGATCAATAACACAATTTAAACTTAACAATAATTTATTTACAGTAATATATAATAAGTATATGAAACATAAAGTACAAACTTAGCAAGAATCTAAAAATACATACATCAGAGTGTCCGTTGCTGCACACAATGTCCCAGTGAAAATATATCCCAGTTATATCTCAATAGTGCTTATACGACCAAAGTCTTCACAATTATTGTATATCTACGCATTGAATTGACAGGGTATTTATACAGTATTATAAATCTAGAATATTCTAGAAAATGTTAAAACATGATATTACTGGAACAATCTGGACATACACAAAATTTAAGAATGTTCTAGATAAAATGACCAAACATGTTGACACTCTGGAATGTTCAAGAAACTTAATGTTACTAATTATATACATAGTAAAACAATACACATCTCACAACACCTCCCCCCTTAAAAAGTTTGAATGTCAATGAAAAACTTAAATTGTAAAAACATGTACATTAATACAAAATCTAGTATGTTTACGATACTCTTGACAAGGCGTCTGCAATAACATTGTCTTTGCCTTTGATATGCTTAATTGTTATGTTGTATTCTTGTAACAACAAACTCCATCTAGTCAGTCTTTGATTCTTGTTTGACAATTTATGCAAAAATGTCAGGGGGTTGTGATCAGTATACACAAGAATTGGATGCAAAGTAACATTCAAATAAACATCAAAATGCTGTAAAGCTAACAACAAAGCAAGGCATTCCTTTTCAATGGTGGAATACTTTTGTTGACATTTTGTAAGTTTCTTTGAAAAATAAGAAACAACTCTATCTACATTATCACTATGTTCTTGAAACAAAGCTGCCCCGATTCCAACATCACTAGCGTCAACAGTAAGCTTAAATTGCTTAGAAAAATCTGGAGTTAACAGAACTGGGTTGCTCATCAGGATAGATTTGATTTTATGAAAGGATTTTTCACAGTCCTTTGTCCATTCAAAGTTAACCCTCTTTTGTAAAAGATTTGTAAGTGGACTAACTGCTGAAGAAAAATTTGGACAAAATTTTCTGTAAAACCCAGCCATGCCCAAAAACCTCATTAATTCTTTCTTGTTTGTAGGAATCGGGAACTTTGCAATAGCTTCCACTTTAGCCATTATGGGTGTAACATAACCTTGACCTACTTTATGACCTAAATACTCTACATAAGCATGACAAAATTCGCTCTTCTTAAGATTCACAGTTAAGTTTGCTTTAGCTAAAATGTCAAATAAAGCACGCATGATTCGGAGATGTTCGTCCCATGTGTTGCTGTATATGACGACATCATCAATGTAGGCCTCGCATCCCTCAAGGTCTTGAAGAAGGGAGTGAATCATCCTTTGGAATGTTGCCGGTGCGTTTTTCATGCCAAAAGGCATTACTTTATACTGGTAAAGTCCATCTGGTGTAGCAAAAGCAGATATTTCTTTTGCTCTTTCTGTTAACGGCACTTGCCAGTAGCCTTTCAACAGGTCAAATTTACTGACAAATTTGGCTTTTCCAATGTTGTCAATACAGTCATCGATTCTAGGTATTGGGTATGAATCAGTTTTGGTAACAGAATTCACCTTTCTAAAGTCTGTACATAATCGGTACGAACCGTCTTGTTTTGGTACAAGAATACATGGTGAGCTCCAATCACTTTTACTAGGTTCAACAATGTCATTGTCCACCATGTACTGCACTTCCCTTCTTAGGTACTGCAATTTTATTGGATTCAGACGGTACGGATGTTGTTTGATAGGCAGAACGTCACTCACTATGACATCATGACAAGCTGCATTAGTTTTCTTTGGAACATCCGAAAAGATTTGATGATACTCATTCATCAAGTTTTTAACTTGTTCTTTTTGATGAATGTTCAAATGTCCAAGTTTGGCATCAAAATCAGCCAAAATTTCTGAGTTTTTCAAACGAACACTCTGATTACAATCTTTCTCATTCATTTCTACACTCGTATCACTTTCAATACAATTTTGAACAGTCTTAGCATTGGCTAAAGTGGAAACTGGTTTTACAGAATTTCGGTCACACCTTTCAAAATACTCTTTTAACATGTTAATGTGACAAACCCGTTTCTCTTTACGTCGACCTGGTGTCTTAACTACATAGTTTACATCACTAATCTTGCTTTCAATTTCATAAGGGCCATAAAATCTGGCCTGTAAAGGATGACCAGGAATAGGTAAAAATACAAGAACCTTATCACCTGGCTTAAACACCCTATTTCTAGCATCTTTGTCATACCACATTTTCATTTTCAACTGAGAACTCTTCAAATTTTCTTGTGCTAATTTACAAGCATTGTAAAGTTTTTCTTTGAAATCAGACACATAATCTAAAAGATTAAGATCACTAGTCTCAGTCAGCCACTTTTCCTTCAGCAATTTCAAAGGACCTCTAACTGTATGACCGAACACCAATTCAAAAGGACTGAACCCAAGAGACTCCTGGACTGCTTCTCGTGCAGCAAATAGCACAAGATGAACACCTTCGTCCCATTCTTTTTCATACTGGTAACAATAGGTCTTCAGCATTGTTTTTAGGGTTTGATGAAAACGTTCTAGCGCTCCCTGGGACTCAGGATGATAAGCAGTTGATCTATACTGCCTAATACCCAACTCATGCATGACTTGCTGGAACAACCCCGACATAAAATTTGAGCCTTGATCCGACTGAATTGCCTTGGGTGCTCCTACAAAACTGAAAAACTTGGTTAGGGCCTTAACTATGCTCTTTGCCTTTATATTCCTAAGAGGTATGGCTTCAGGAAACCGAGTGGATGTACACATAATGGTAAGTAAATACTGGTTTCCAGATCTAGTCCTAGGCAAAGGTCCTACACAATCCACCAACACTCGACTAAAGGGTTCTTCAAAAGCTGGAATGGGTTGGAGAGGAGCAGATGGTATCTTCTGATTTGGTTTACCTACCATCTGACAGACATGGCATGACTTGCAAAACTTCGAAACATCCTTTCTTAGCTTAGGCCAATAAAAATGACTCAAAATCCTATTATAAGTCTTATTGACACCTAAATGACCTGCCATAGGTGTATCATGAGCTAAACTCATGACATCTCGACGATAAGCAGCTGGGACCCACTATCTGGTGAACAACACGCCACACTTCATCTGGAGAAGCATCAGGTGGTCGCCGTTTTCGCATAAGGATGCCGTCTTTCATATAGAAGCATTCTCCAACTTTAATAGCCTCTTCTGATGGAAGTGCCCTCTTACTAAGTTGAATGATATCTGGGTCTTTATGTTGTTCAGAGAGTAAACGTTCTCGGCTGAGGATGTCCTTGCCTTGGCTGACTAGTGGATGCAACTCATCATCCTCACCACCAAATTTTGGTAAAAATTCTTTCTTCTTTTGCTTCTTGATATTGTGTGGTTCCATGCTGGTTTGAGTGCCATCAAGGTCAGATAAGAAAGTGTCATTCAAATCAATATCAACAGAGGAATTCGTCTCGTCAAAGGCTTGAGTATGGTCTGCCTCCATTTCTCGTCTTCTGGCCATCGCTCTAGTAACAGCACAGGCTGGATAAATGTCATCATCTTCATCATCGCACATGACATTGGAAGTGATTTTCTCACAAACTATAGGATCAGGTACAACCTTTCCACCAGCTAAATCGTTGCCTAGCAACAAAGAAATGCCTGGAACGGGAAGAATGGGTCGAACCCCTACGATAACAGGTACAGTAACTAAATCTGACTTCAAACTAATTCTATGCAGGGGAACATCAATGACGCCTAGCTCCACACCCTGTAATAAAACTGACCCACCAGTAGAAGTCTGCTCAGACAAAGGAAGCACGCCCTCTAACAATAACGTCTGTGCAGCACCAGTATCTCTCAAAATCTGGACAGGTTTTATTTCGCTAGAGTCACCGAGTGAAACAAATCCCTGAGACATAAAGGGCTTATAATCCTCCATAGAATCAATAGAACTGGACTGTGAACCCTGGACATCAGGAGTGTCAGAACAAATCGAAACTAAGGCTTCTCTATCACCTCTAACTGCCGCACAAGCGTGTGGTTGAGTTTTATCAAAATCATTTTTTCTCTTGAGTTTAAAGCATTCACTGATCAGATGACCCTTTTTCTTACAATAACTACAAGTAGGAAGCGACCCTATTCCAGACGATCCTTCAACACGTCCTGGACCGGACTTAAAACCACCTTGAGATGGAGACTGGAGACTTGTGGAAGACTGAGACCCTGAACCACTCTTTTTATATGTGTCTGAATTGGTAGAATTACAGCTAGTCTGAGATCTTGAAACAAAATTCTTTTTATGAGACAGAGCATAAGTATCAGATATGACTGCTGCCTCTTCAAGAGTTTTCACATTCTTATCTTCTAAATGTGTTTTCAAATCTTGAGGTACACATTCCTTAAACTCTTCTACCAGGATGACTTGGCGCAAATTAGCAAAGGTTTTATCAATTTTCTTAGATCTAAACCAGTGATCAAATAAATCTTCTTTCTCTCGTGAAAATTCAACAAATGTTTGATTATCAAACTTCCTATACTTTCTGAATTTTTGTCTATATGCTTCAGGTACTAATTCATATGCTTTTAATATTGATGCTTTGACCTTCTCATAGTCTGAACTCTCAGCTACCCCTAGTGCAGAGTATACCTCAGCTGCTTTGCCAACCAGTACACTTTGTAACATTGTTGACCAAACATTTCGTGGCCATTTAAGATTCTCTGCGACCTTTTCAAATTGGGGAAAATATTTGTCTACAGATTTTTCTTGAAATTTTGGAACTAATCTGATATTTTTTGCTGCGTCAAATTCAGTTTTGACAACTGACGGTTCTGGTTGGTTTTGTAATTTTAATTTCTCTAATTCAAGGTTCATTGCACGCTCTTCTCTTTCTGCTGCTAATTTGTCTAATTCAAATTTTCGTTCACGCTCTCGTTCTTCTCTTTCTAATTTTTCTCTTTCTAATCGCATTTTCTCTAATTCTACTTGAAACTGATATTCTGCCATTTTATAAGAGCCTAACTCTGATTTAACTGTATATTCGGGAAGATCGTATTTTTCAAAGACGTTTTCTTCTACTAGTTTGTTTGCAACCTTAATTCTAATGTCTTGCTTTCTCTGAGAGGATTTAACATATAACCCAAAATGCAAACCTAATGCGATCAAGTCATCCTTTTTTAACGTATCAAAAACCTGAACACTTGGTGAACTAAGAAAGTCTGTGACCGAAAACACCATGTTGATTTTTGCTGGCTTATAATTTAATTAAACGGTTCAATAAACAAAATTCTGACAATAAACTGCAAAAGTGCAAGAAATTCTTTATCCCGGACGAGCCCCAAATTCTGTTATGGGTCAGAATTACCCGAAATGCCAGCAAAGATCAATAACACAATTTAAACTTAACAATAATTTATTTACAGTAATATATAATAAGTATATGAAACATAAAGTACAAACTTAGCAAGAATCTAAAAATACATACATCAGAGTGTCCGTTGCTGCACACAATGTCCCAGTGAAAATATATACCAGTTGTATCTCAATGGTGCTCATACGACAAAAGTCTCCACAATTATTGTATATCTACGCATTGAATTGACAGGGTATTTATACAGTATTATAAATCTAGAATATTCTAGAAAATGTTAAAACATGATATTACTGGAACAATCTGGACATACACAAAATTTAAGAATGTTCTAGATAAAATGACCAAACATGTTGACACTCTGGAATGTTCAAGAAACTTAATGTTACTAATTATATACATAGTAAAACAATACACATCTCACAACACGTGACATACAGTTCTGAGGTGTCATATCTACGAAAGCCATGAAGGGACACACCAATTTCTCAAAAAAGTAAAAATTAATTTGAGATCTCGAATTACACAGTCCGTTCCCACAGATTACTAGTTAGAATAATCTAACTGTGTCTCGGTACAAGCCCTCACCACAGTTAGAATACGTCCCATATACTTGCAATGTAGCGAATCGGAGCGGATCCCCTCCGAAACGATTTTAAAGAATATAAAATGATTTGCACTGGATATAACTATCCAAATAATCAAAACAAACCTTTTTGAGATTGCTTATGCCTTTTATCCCAAAAAATAATCCATATAAATACGAAAATCCAATTAATTTTCTCAACGTTTTTCTCTCGATTCAAATTACCTCCATGTTTACATTCGGAACTCTCTAGATTGTTCCTAGTAAATGCACTATGCGAGTTATCGCCCGTGTTTCTTTCTGCTCCATTACGAATACACGGAACGAATTCTATCGTTAAACCGGGTCCGTAGGACAATATCATTTTAACGATAGAACATTCTATCTAACAGATTACCTATTCGTTCCCTCGATTTATAATTCGAGATCTCGAAATACACAATCCGTTCCCATGGATTATCAATTCGTTCTCACAGATTATCAATTCGTTAACTCAAATAACACAATCCGTTATCTTGGATTGTAATTCATTCTCTCAGTTTAAACAATTCGTTCCCTCGGAATGTAAACCCTTCACATGATTTCATTGATATCAGCTATCTGTACATATCGGATATGGCAATACGTGTTTAATGAATAGAATATTGTAGGTGTTTAGATTCTACCTTGTAATACATATTACGGTCCAAAATGAGAAAATAACATGAACCTGACTCAAATCTATATTCTAGTACTGATATTTATATAAAAAAAGTCCTGGGTTTTCTTTTACGTGTATATTAGAATAATTGAAAGTCCTATTTATTAAAAGTAAATATGGCTCCTGTGTAATTGTTTTTTATCATAAGACTGATGTTACAAATCCAGATCTCGAATTATTAATCCGTGGGATCGGATTGTGTAAATTGAGATCTCGAATTATAAATCGAGGCAATGAATTAGTAATCCGTGGGATCGGATATTGTGTAATTCGAGATCTCGAATTATAAACCGAGGGAACGAATTAATAATCCGTGGGATCGGATTGTGTAATTCGAGATCTCGAATTATAAACCGAGGGAACGAATTGATAATCCGTGGGAACGGATTGTGTAATTCGAGATCTCAAATTAATTTTTACTTTTTTGAAAAATCAACGTGTCCCTTCATGGCTTTCGTACATATCAGTATGCTGTTTTATTTATTGTGCACGAAGAAAAAGTGGCATCTGATGCAAGACTGTAGAAATATGCCAGTTTGGCCAAGAAAGGATTACAGTTACTGAAGAGGGACCTGCTTTAAAACCGCTTGTCTTAATCTTGTAAACCACAGACACGTGGCGTAAACAGAGAAAGCCGTAGACAAATCTGTCTGGAACCGAAACCTATCCACAACTCATCTAACAACAGATGGTATTTGCATAGTCAATGATAGCTTAAAAAAATAAAATTCTTAATACCTTAGTAGTATCAACCTACTTGTCAGTAGCCTATCGGCTTAGAAAATGATCACTGATTGTATCAAATCAGTTAAGGTGATAATGTTATATTGCTACATAAATAAGGAGAGTTGGTAGATATGTCTTAGTCATCTGATGTAAAGCTCTATCGCCATATAAACATAACAACAGGACTGTACTACGCTCACTATGTGGCAGTATTTGAAGCCATGACCACCCTCAGTTCAAACCAGAAGTCTCTGTCGAGACTGAAGCTCTACTGGTTTGTACTTATAGCAAAGGAAGAGAAAAGTACTTAAGCAGTTGGAAATTGAAACTTTTCAACAGCAATAAATAGAATAATGATCCTTGATTAAGTCTCTTTATGTTCTTAGTGCAGTCTACTTGCATGCCACATTTATATTGTAATCAGACTAAAATTGTATTTGGAGTAGCATTTTGAAAGAATTTCACAGAAATGTCTATTTTTAGTAACCACGGCTACACCGTTCATCGAAATCAAAAACCGATACACAGAATTATGTATCTTATTGTAGTCTACTTGTGTGCCAAGTTATATTGAAATCAGACTAAAACTGTAGAAGGAGTAGCATTTTGAAACAATTTCACAGAAATTTCTATTTTTAATAACCACGGCAACATCGTTCATCGAAATCAAAAACTGATATACAGAATTATGTATCTTATTGTAGTCTACTTGTGTGCCAAGTTATATTGAAATCAGAATAAAACTGTAGAAGGAGTAGCATTTTGAAAGAATTTCACAGAAATTTCTATTTTTAGTAACCACGGCAACATCGTTCAACGAAATCAAAAACCGATATACAGAATTGTGTATCTTAGTGTAGTCTACTTGTGTGCCAAGTTATATTGAAATCAGACTAAAACTGTAGGAGGAGTAGCATTTTGAAAGAATTTCACAGACATTTCTATTTTTAGTAACCACGGCAACACCGTTCATCGAAATCAAAAACCGATACACAGAATTATGTATCTTAGTGTAGCCTACTTGTGTGCCAAGTTATATTGAAATCAGACCCAAACTGTAGGAGGAGTAGCATTTTGAAAAATTGTTTACAGACAGACAGACGGACAGACAGACAGACGGACGGACGACGGACGCATTACTATCGCATAAGCTCTTCTGGTCTCTGACCAGTAGAGCTAAAAATTAGTAGGTAGTAAGTAGCCAAATTAGAATGTATTAACTGGCCTCACATGGACAACAACAAAGCGTGGTCAGACATTGACAGTGACTTCCATATTAAACTAATACACGTGTAAATGATGCGAGGAAGTATGGATGAGAAGCTGACGTGATATATGGAGATAACGAACTGTAATAAGAAGTAATAAGAAGTCCATGTATCCAGTACAAATACAAATGTTCAAAAACATCAGATGTGGTTTCAGGTCAAGAAAGCCTTAGGAATTTAAAATCCCCTGCCTACCGGTCACACTCGCCCTGGGCTCCTTGTCATGACTGTGCAAACGAAAAATCCGTAGACAATTCAGTGGGTAAATAATGACCTAATTATTATGATGTAAATCGTACGTCAGATTTCCATTTGATGATAGACTGTATTTGCCGACAAGGTCATAGTTTTGACCATAGAACTTGCAATTTTGTGACATTAAACAAGACTGTTGATTTCCTTGTTTAATTAATTTGTTTGTCAATAGCTTGTCTCGTTTTAGAAATTGTTCTCACATAGAGCATGTTCTTGCATATCAAATCAACTGAGAGACATAAAGCCCACAGACAGGTGATAAAGGTATGAGTACTGTATACAGGGTTATTTTCGCCCTTTCACATTTGGAAACAAGTTTACCCTGTTTCTAATTCGCCTAGAAAGATTTTTGTTAAAGATATAATACTATTTACTTTGAATTTGCCCCGTTAAATTTGCCCACTTCCGACGAGGGCGAAAGGGGCAAAAATAAACTGGGGGCATTCCCTGTATACAGTATATTGCTCATATATTTGTTCAAGCTCTTTCCATGCTTTCCAGTGTCTCATTTTCAAAGAAACAAAACTATGAAAATTACATTTAAATAACATTTTTACTGCAACAAGCATTCAAACATAAACAACTAAGTAACATGTCATCTTTTTGCATTCATTTAAGATTTACAAAAAGATAAAACCTTCTTTTGTTTTAATTATTGAGATTTTACTAATACCAGTAATTCATAGTCATAGCTGCCCTGGATGTCCTGTTCTGTTTCCTCGTTTAGACTGTACACACATGCAGCATCACATATATCTGACACTGTATCATTCTGAATTGTCTCCAGTCTTTATCACACCCACGTGTCCATTCAGGAGATACCTGGATGTACAATTCTGATCTTACAAGCTTTGATCGTCCTTTATAAAGCAAGGCGACTTCTACTTAAAATCACTGGGTTTGAGCTTGCTCTCTTTCACCCAAGCAGGTGTGGGGATCTGTTTGTCTGCTATAGCTTTCCTGTATCTCTGTTGAGCTTCCAGCCATCGTTTGTTTTTATCTACTTCCCCGACATCATCCAGAGATTTAGAACAGGCTGCTTCAGATCCTAGGCCGGCTTTCTGATTCATTCGAAAACTCACACAGACCTAAAAATCAAAGAAAAATAATCCTGATAAAAATGTTTATATGAGAGGTGATCAAAAAGTTTCTGAAGTAACTGAATTGTATCAAGAAAAGAAATAGAATTAAATTTCCATGCATATTATTTTCTGAAAAAAGTCCCCTCTGGTTTTAATGCACATCAGCCACTGTTATACCTATGCATGAAACGTGTGGTCTAGGTACGTGGTCATGTGACATGCTCTATACGGTTCTGTTCACAGAACACACGACTTTTTCAAGACTGATACATGTATTTCTTGCCATGCAAGTTATATTTAAAACAAAAATAATCCATTTGTCACAAATGGTCAAGTCTTGGCAATAGAATTGATGGATGACCATTACACCATAGCTTCTCTACACAGTGTATTATTATGTTATACTTACAGGATCCTGAATTCCAGTGTTGTCCTTTCCTAAACTCTCTCCTTCACTCCAACCCATCTTTTTAAGAAGTTTATGTCCAACATTGCCCTCTGTGATCGGTCTGTGTAATAAATAGGAGAAAAATAACACATCTGAAAACAACTATTGCCAGCAGTTGTTTTAGTGCAAGTTATACCACTGATGAAAAATTATATTACCAGGTCAAAACTAACAATACAAAACCTAATTTCAAATGAGAATCAAATCAACCAAGGATTAAGGGGGTTTTGGGGGGTAAAAAGGCTGGGGGAGTAAGATAAGACTGTCTCTGAAGATTTATTCTATAATTTTCTAATTTGAACAAATCTCTGACATCCAATCAAGGTTTACTTTTCAAATGGTTGGGTAAAGTGGGGTATTACAGTAATTGCTAGTTCTTATGGATGGAAAATACATGAAGTTAAGTGACAACTCCACAAAAAGAAAGTTTTTAAAAAGTCTCAAAAAATCTTATCTCAATGCATTCTAGTTGAAATTTCCTCTATTTTAACCCTAAATGAGTTGAGGACAACCTCACTACCCTGTGTTTGTTTTACCTGTGAACAAATGCTGGGGCCTCATCCACCTAGTAAGGGTTATCACTGCCCTTTTTTACCTGTGATTTACCTGTGAACAGATGCTGGGGCCTCATCCACCTAGTAAGGGTTATCACTGCCCTTGTTTTACCTGTGATGCTTCATCCTGTGGGTTATCACTACCCATTGTTTTACCTGTGACAGATGTGAACTGGGGCCTCATCCACCTAGTAAGGGTTATCACTGCCCATTGTTTTACCTGTGAACAAATGCTGGGGCCTCATCCACCTAGTAAGGGTTATCACTGCCCATTGTTTTACCTGTGAACAAATGCTGGGGCCTCATCCACCTAGTAAGGATTGTCACTACCTGTTGTTTTACCTGTGAACAAATGCTGGGGCCTCATCCACCTAGTAAGGGTTGTCACTACCTGTTGTTTTACCTGTGAACAGATGCTGGTGCCTCATCCACCTGGTAAGGATTGTCACTACCCTTTGTTTTACCTGTAAACAGATGCTGGTGTTTTATGCACCTGGTAAGGGTTATCCCTGCCCTTTGTTTTACCTGTAAACAGATGCTGGTAAGGGTTGTCACTACCTGTTTTATGCCACCTAAGTAAGGGTTATCACTGCCCTTTGTTTTACCTGTAAATAGATGCTGGTGTTTTATGCACCTCCCTGCCCTTTGTTTTACCTGTAAACAGATGCTGGTGTTTTGTCCACCTGGAAAGGATTGTCACTACCTGTTGTTTTACCTGTGAACAGATGCTGGTGCCTCATCCACTTGGTAAGGATTATCACTACCCTTTGTTTTTCTCCTTTCCTCAGCCCTGTCCTGATAGTTTGGATTCTTTATAACTTCACTGTTATCTGTGTATGCAGTATTCTAGAGACAGAAAGGAATATTTTTATCTAAAATCCCCATTTTATTGGCTATTAAAGGGTTTACACATGACTTGCAATTCAATTTCAAAGTAAAAGTGATATTTAAACTTGAAATTTTCACTAGATTTTTCCTATGAAGAATACCAATTGCAAGCAGACATTAAGACACAGTACATCTTAAACATTAGGCAAAAGTATTCATAGCGGCCCCGAGATATTTTAAGGACATAAGGAAGGTACATGTACATAAACTCTACAATGTACAATTCCCACCAATATACTGTAAACATATTACATTTGGCTGTGTATTCTTTTTAGCATTTTTGGCAGAAAGAAATATCCATTAATTCAAGTACAACGCTAAATGTTTTGCATGTATATCTATAAAGAACACCACAATGATATGTGCTAAATCAAATCCATGCTGACTTGTTCAAAATCCAATTTCCGCAAAGTATCGTACACACTAAATATAATACATTTACAGTATGCTTTCTATATGATGGAAAATAAAAACTCACTGAGTTTAGGGATCAGTTTACCTTTAGTCCGTATTTCTTCTTTATTTGATTGAGTTCCTGTCTTGCCTGCTTTTTCTTTTCCTCTTTGGACAAAATCTGAATATCTAAACACAACATAAAATGCCAATTTATTGAGATTCAGTGTTTATTTTCAGTAATATAAACTTTAACTTGCTGAATAAAAACTCATAGAAGAATTGCAATATTTTTAATTACAGACGGGTTGCAACATAAAACACGGATTAATGCTTTTAATAAACTCAAGTTTCATTTGTCATTTCATAAAACAATAATTTTCTTATTTGATATTCAGCATTTTCTTGGTAGACAAACAGATTTAATATTGCACATTTTACATGTCTTAGGACTCATAAAAATTGTCAAAAAATACATTATTTAAATTGATTAGTTATTCAGAGAAGAATTTGCATATAATAATCGATTTCAATAATTTTGTAAAATGCGGAAAAAAGGCTACCCTCTATTTTTTACATCAAGCAATATTAATCTGATATCTAAGTTTCGACATGTTGCTTAAATGTTTTTACCCTTTTAACCTTGACCCACATTTTTAAGTTTGACCACATTTGACCCAGTGTTTGAGACCATGCAAAGATGTTCTGTGTATTTAACTGACCTTTTGTTTGTGTGGCTTGATATGCTGCCTTGCCCTATGTTCTGTGTATTTCACTGACCTTTTGTTTGTGTGGCTTGATATGTGGCCTTGACCTATGTTCTGGATATTTAACTGACCTTTAGTTTGTGTGGCTTGATATGTGACCTTGACCCATGTTCTGTGTTTTTCACTGACCTTTAGTTTGCATGGCTTGATATGCGACCTTGACCCATGTTCTGTGTATTTAACTGACCTTTTGTTTACTTGGCTTGATATGCTACCTTGACCTATGTTCTGTGTATGTAACTGACTTTAGTTTGCATGGCTTGATATGTGGCCTTGACCTATGTTCTGTGTATTTCAATGACCTTTAGTTTGTGTGGCTTGATATGTGGCCTTGACCTATGTTCTGTGTACTTAACTGACCTATTGTTTGTGTGGCTTGATATGCTACCTTGACCTATGTTCTGTGTATGTAACTGACTTTAGTTTGCATGGCTTGATATGTGGCCTTGACCTATGTTCTATGTATTTCAATGACCTTTAGTTTGCGTGGCTTGATATGCTGCCTTGACCTATGTTCTGTGTATGAAACTCCTTTATCTCTAATTGATATGCTGCCTTGACCTATGTTCTGTGTATGTAACTTACCTTTAGTTTGCTTGGCTTGATATGTGGCCTTGACCTATGTTCTGTGTATTTAACTGACCTTTTGTTTGTGTGGCTTGATATGTGGCCTTGACCTATGTTCGTATAACTGACCTTTAGTTTGTGTGGCATTTATATGAACCTTGAAGAGAGTTCACACTCGTCACAGGTCTCAGTCCCAGGGTGGATGTGGAGGAGAAACCGCGTACAGCCAATCTGTAGACAATCCCCGTGATTGACAGGCAGGTAAGTACTGCTACATTTAGACTGAAAGTACACACAAAAATACAGATTATAAAACCAGAAGATTGTAAGAGATAGAAATACAAGAAATCTGTGATGAGACTATAAACCAGACAACAACATATGAATTACAAAGCAACCAGGGTCTCTGAAGAGATTGTATCTCTAATGGTCTATAATCTTTGGAGAAGCAATGCAACACTTAGTATCTTGATAACCTCAACCTTATCATACTTAACAGCTGCTTTCTTGCAGCAAAGTTGTACGAAGAGATGTTTGTAAAACACTTATGCCCCCCTTCCCCCAAATTGGAATTTTTCCAAGTCCAAGGGGCATAACTCTGACAAAAATGGTGCGATTGTACCCAAAACAGAACCTGACCACAATATTCAGCCGATAAATCAGTATAGCAAATTTCTTTTCAGTATGTGCAACCTCTGCAAAGAAAATGAATGGTAACTGCAAATAAGTGGAATTTATCTAAGTCCAAGGGGCATAATTCTTACAAAAATGGTGCGATCATACCCAAAACAGAACTTGACCTAGATATTCACCTGGTTAATCTGTATACCACATTTCATTTCAGTATGTGCAATGGTTGTGAAGAAAATGAACGGAAACTGAATGGACCGACAGACAGCAGCAAAGCAATATGCCCTCCCTTCTTCAAAGGGGGGCATAACAAGGAATTACAATTTAAACATTTTTTCACCGAAGAGGGGTCATAAGATAAATAAAACTAAAAGAAAATTTAAGTTCTATTCATAAAATGCACTGAACAAGTATATTTACATACTACATTGTATATAAGTAGAAATTTTAGCGAGACGCAAATTTAGCTATTTGTCCTTGAAAACTGCTATTTCATTTTTAGCAAGATGTAATTTTTGCGATTTTAAAATGCTCACCAAAGAAGCTATTAAAAATAAATGCAATTAATTTTTAGCGATATTTAGTTTTAGCAATCTCAGCACCCTGGTTAATAATGCCAAAATTAAATCCTTGCTAAAAATTCTGCTTATACGGTATCAGTCAATTTCACATCTTAGCCTGTTTAACAAACTTAATCACCGACAAACTTATCAGGGGAAATAAATCTTACTAATAGAACGTCCAGATTTACAACTATTCACAGAAGTGAATAAGACGGGGCAGCAGGTTTAGCCTATTTTATTCTCCTCTCTGAATCCTCCAGAACTATAAAGTCAGCCTTACCTCTGATATCCTCTCTTCATTTAGAAATGTCCCGTTCTGACTTCCATAGTCCATTACATAATACCGTCCTGTATCAGGCATGTACTTTAACTGAGCATGTATCTGTAAATAAATGTTGAAGCAATCTCTTGAATGTAGCCCTCACATTAAACAGATATCAGGGAACTATATGAAGCTATAAAATCTGTTTGAGAAATTACATTTTTAAATTACTTGTGAATATAGATATGCATCGATGTCTATGACCAAGAATAAGACTGATACCTTGCTGATGTTGATATCAGGTATGATGATGACATTTCCTAAGTACTTCTCTCTCCCTATGGTACCTCCATCACAGGTGATGATAAACAGAGATCCATAATCCAGATAATCCGAATCCGTCACAATGAGCCGAACACACGGAGGGAAGGAATACGGATCTGAGGTAAAGTCAAATTTAAACTATTAAGAAATTTGATACAATTTCATTTTGTATAATTACACATTCACATGAACCTGAGTCACAATAGCAAGTATGTGTCAAAATACATAAATCTGAGGATGAATTTAAAAAAAAATTCCAGTAAGCATATTTTCACAAGCTCAAATAAAATACCTTTGGTACAATTTTTTAGTACAACTTTTTAAGATTCATTCATTATCTTTGTTGATGGATTTAGCCATCAATGCATTGCTCTTAGTCTCTAATATAGGTGATGAAGATTTTTAATAGGTCAGCTAGGCCAAAACAATGTTGTGCAATATGACAGTTCAACTGTCTGAAACATCTCATGACAGCTGAACAACGACAGTTCAAAAGTTAATGCTTCAATATTCTCATCAAGCAGCAAAACCACATTGATAAAATGAGGTACATTTCTGTTTTTGACAAATAACCAAGATGAATAAGTCCTTATTTTGATACTAATATAAGCATACTTATTTATGTTTTTTACAGTTTTTAATCTACATAAAAATCATACAGTAAAACTCGTTTAGTACGAACACAGATATAGCGAATTCACTGATATAACGAAGTTTTTCTGGGTCCCCGGCAAAATTCTTATAAAATCTTTGTAAAATTTAACGGTTACAACGAACTCTGATATAACGAATTTACGGATATAGCGAACTGATTTTGAGTCCCGTAGAGGTTAAATATAATGAAATTTACATCTTTTATAATGAACTTTCAAAGATTATAAAAAAAATTGATAAAATGGGTTTATTTCCTGTTTTTATATAAAATCCAAATAATAAAACCATAGTTATCGAAGATATTTTTGTAATATAGCTTTCCCTAATATATTTTGTAGTAATACTTAAGGAAAACATCCATATTCATTCGTTAATTTATATTTTTTAATCTATAAAAAAAAAAATCATTATAATTTTGCACTGATGCCTCATAAAAACGGTAAACACCTTGATCCTCCCCTGACTCCTGGATCATCTCTGTGTCCTCCTCCGAGCTGGACTCACTCTCCTCTGAGCTCTCTGTCAGTTCCCCAGACTCGAGCTCAGACTCGTTTGTACAGACTGACCAGCTATCCTCTCCATCAGACCTATTATCACAGGCCTCTTTGTGATTCAATGTTTGATTCTTATCACACATCACTTCAGGCTGAGAACTGCCTGCAGTTTCCAGAGTGGAGCATTGTTTATCTACAGAAGTGGGACATTTGAGGGTTGAATCATCTTCCATTGATTGTGAGTTTTCTTTTACACATTCTTCCATGTTGGCTCCTGTCCCTATATCAGTGGTATTAGTTTTCTTACAATCATCTTCCATGCTGGTTGCAGTACCTAAATCAGTGGTATTAGATTGCTTACAATCCTCACAGTTTTCATGCTTAACTTTAATCACAAAATCAAAATCTACAGCGTTTTGTGTATCATCACTAAGGTTTCCTGGGTACAGCGTCTCCTCCTGTAGGCTGTGTATCTTACAGTTTGATTTTCCACAGTCCTTACAAGCAGGTGAAATGTCTGAGGATTCTTTATGTTTTACTTTTGTGACATCTGTTTTGCCAAGTTCACTGCTGGTGGTGGCACAGCTGCTGATCGAGCCCTGATAGGAGTTCACCTGGGAACTACAGGAGCAGGTTTTTGTCACGAGACTCTCGTCTGAGATCAGGAGGAATGAGTTAGTACTTGTTTCCTCCATTTCAATGGAAGATTTAGACAATGAGCACAGCTCATCACAACTATAAACACTGTACCCTGTCTCTATCACCTCTTGTTCCTGCACACTAATCACATTAGAACATTCTTTGTCTACTTGCTTTACTATGTCCGAGGATTTCACCACTCTCTCTATTTTCTGACAAGGTTCCCCACAACTCCGTTTGCTTTCATCCTCAAAAGTCCTCCTCATCTGTCTTATCTTTTCTCTCCTCTGTTTTCTATTCAGTCCCTGAAGTTCAGTGTGATTGATCTGTAATTTATTACTCTCTGATTTGGAATCCTCTGCGACCTCCATGTTAGAATCACCAGCACCTGTCTCCCTCCCCGTGGGGTACCCCACTGAGTCCTCCGCCTCTGGTAAAATCTCCCCCTCCTCTTCCTCCATACCTGCCTCTCCTTTTTGTACCTCACTTTCCTGGGCTTTTACTGATTCACCACTGACTCTAACAACTAACTCGGACTTCTCATTATTGTCCACTTTTTGAGCTTTGGTATTCTTTTCCTACAATAAAAAGTAAATACAACAAAAATGTATTATATATTTACCTTTCACTTGAATATTCTGCAAGGCATTCGTAACACTGTCTATCGTACTGTCTGCATGAAATTCAGCCAAAGTTTGGGCCTAATCAAAATAAAGGGACTTTAATTTTATTTTCAAAAAATTAGAAGGAAAGGTAATAATTTTATTTGAATTATTAAATTAAAATTTTTAGGCAATTATAATTAAGTGGGATATATTGAAATATTTACTGTTTAAATTTTACATTACATTCATAATTGTTAATTAAATGTCAATAAGCATATCAGAAATCAAGTATGTTCCCCTTGAATTGGGAAAAAATTATAGTTAAGTAATACATATCTAAGAGAACTGTGAATTTGAAAATATCAAACATGAAAGATTTAAGTTTTAAAGACCTACATAGTATTGTGACATTCTTCATTAAAATATGAGAAATTCATTAAAGATGCACTGTGTTCAAAAAATCAAATTTAAAAAAAAATTGTCTTTTAATTTGGAGGAACATATTTGTGGAAATAAAATTTCGTTACCTTGTCATCTGAAAAGTGTTTTGTGGGAACTCAATTTTTTTTGCTTCAAAAGCAACCCTATTTAATATAATCATAAAAAAAATTGTGGGACTTAATTTTGTTGATAATTGTTACAACTGATTAAATTAAAATTTAATCCCTAATGAATATCTCTACTTCTACAATATAGGTCTTTATATGATATTAGAATATTAATCTAAAACAATAAAAACAACAATAGAACACAACATTAATAAGTTACCGGTAGTACAAAAGTTGCAGACCTTTTTAGCTTTGTTTTTGCGCTTTTTACTTTTCTTGCTTGGAGTGTTTGTTGTGTTACTTGGGTCTCGATACTCTTGGAATGAGTCCTCATAATTCTGAGCATCAGCCTCGGGATAGCCCTGGTAGTTTCCAGTGATTGTGTCCCCTTGATAGCTGTTAGTGGCTGTATATGATGGATAATTTGTAGGGGTGGTGTCCCCTTGATAGCTGTTAGGGGCTGTATATGATGGATAATTTGCAGTGGTTGTGTCCCCTTGATAGCTGTTAGGGGCTGTATAATTTGTAGAGGTAGGATCTCCATGAGAGTGCTGTAGGTAGGAAGCGTCTACTTGGGAATGGAAGATGTAGGTTCCAGAGACGGAATCATAGGTGTAATATGTACCTGTGTTGGAGTCGTAATGCAGGGCTGTCTCCTAAGAAAGAGATGATTTAGAAACAGCAATGATCAATAAACCAATTAAAATATTGCTACTGAATATTCTCAAATAAAATATTTTTCAATACACTTGTATAGTGTATACATTTACTGTGAAATCATTGATTTTTGTTTGGGTTTGATTTGTGTTGCTTTTGTGGTATGAAGAAACTCACAAAATTATGCCATCCACAAAATGTTAAATATCTATTAATACATGTTTATACATTGTAAGTTTGTAACCAGTGTTTTCCTTTTATTTCAAAGTAAAGGGTTAGAGATCAGTTGTAACAGGCTAAGGGCTGAGGTTTATTAACAAAATCTCTGTGGACCTTACAACAAATTATTATTTCAAAGCAGCATTTTTGTCAATTGAAGCGGTCAATTTGGCCAGTTGCTGGTTCTTAGGGAAAACACTTTGTAACAACTTATTAATAAGAATTCTTCAGCTGTTAAATATAGTCCCCAATGGCCATGAACCAAAATATTTTTAGTGAAAAGTTTGAACACAATTCTGTCTATAATGGAAAAAAAAAAACCTTGTACATTTGTAAATATAAGCCAATATATCTGTCAAAACAAGTTCCTACAAATTCATTGTAGAAAATAACAGACTTACAGGATTGTAATAGTAGCCGCTGTTTTTGTCATAGTACAGACCAGAAGCCTGGTCATAAACGTATCCTGTCTCTTCCACTGCTTCCTCCGCTGCTTGTTTTAATTCCTCGGCAATGGACAGATTGCCTCCAACATCATCTTCATCCTGAATATACCAACAATTAATATTACCAGTGTCATATAATATATTGAACCCCACGATATTTTGAACCCGGGTTCAAAATATCGCTGCAAAATATTGAACCCCCTATAAAATATTGAACCCGGGGTTCAAAATATTATGGCCATAAAATATTGAGTCCCCCTGCCCTTTTAATTTATGAGGGAGGGGGTTCAAAATATTATGGTCATAAAATATCGAGTCCCCCCACCTTTTTTAATTTAAGAGGGAGGAGGGTTCAAAATATTATGGCCATAAAATATTGACCCCCCATGTCCTTTTAATTTATGAGGGAGGGGGTTCAAATATTATGGCCATAAAATATTGATTCCCTTGCCCATTTAATTTAAGAGGGAAGGGGTTCAAAATATTATGGCCATAAAATATCGAGTCCCCTGCCCATTTAATTTTACATGGAGGGGGGGGGTCAAAATATTATGGCCATAAAATATCGAGTCCCCCTGTCCTTTTAATTTTTGAGGGAGGGGGGGTTCAAAATATTATGGCCATAAAATATTGAGTCCTCCTGCCCTTTTAATTTATGAGGGAGGGGGTTCAGAATATTATGGCCATAAAATATCGAGTCCCCCTGCCTTCTTTAATTTAAGAGGGAGGCGGGTTCAAATATTATGGCCATAGAATATTGATTCCCTTGCCCATTTAATTTAAGAGGGAAGGGGTTCAAAATATTATGGCCATAAAATATCGAGTCCCCTGCCCATTTAATTTTACATGGAGGGGGGGGGGTTTCAAAATATTATGGCCATAAAATATCGAGTCCCCCTGTCCTTTTAATTTATGAGGGAGGGGGGGTTCAAAATATTATGGCCATAAAATACTGAGTCCTCCTGCCCTTTTAATTTATGAAGGAGGGGGTTCAGAATATCATGGCCATAAAATATCGAGTCCCCCTGCCTTCTTTAATTTAAGAGGGAGGGGGGTTCAAAATATTATGGCCATAGAATATTGATTCCCTTGCCCATTTAATTTAAGAGGGAGGGGGTTCAGAATATTATGGCCATATAATATTGAGTCCCCCTGCCCTTTTAATTTATGAGGCAGGTGGTTCAAAATATTATGGCCATAAAATATTGAGTCCCCTGCCCCTTTAATTTTACAAGGAGGGGGTTTCAAAATATTATGGCCATAAAATATTGAGTCCCCCTGCCCTTTTAATTTATGAGGAAGGGGGTTCAAAATATGATGGCCATGAAATATTGACCCCCCATGTCCTTTTTAATTTATGAGGGAGGGGGTTCAAAATATTATGGCCATAAAATATTGATTCCCTTGCTCATTTCATTTAAGAGGGAGGGGGTTCAAAATATTATGGCCATAAAATATCGAGTCCCCTGTCCATTTAATTTTACAGGGAGGGGGGGTTCAAAATATAATGGTTATAAATTAATCAGTCACCCTATTGAATGACTTTAAAGAAAAGATTGGAGTCCTGAATTTATTGTGCTTAGAACACTCTAACTTGTGCTTAAGCAGAATGACTTAAGAGTAAAGATTAATTTTTTTTAATATTTGTATTACTATTTAAATGTTTCTATTTATTTCTTAAATATTACCCGTTTTTGCTACCTGGTATGACTTATCTAAATGAGATGCTATGAATTAATTTATTATAATGAAATGGACTTTGTCTTTTCTTATTCATGTTATGTTTAAAAATGGTAAAATTGAAAGAAACAAAAAGCTGAACAGTTATCAGCCACCACATATATCCTATCTGACTATTGAAATATTGTGAGATTCAATAATTAATCCCATAGAGTATAACTGGAATATTTGGTGGTTTATGAAGGGAGAGAGCAACATTAAACAGAAATGAAAACCTATGGAATTCTAATGCCCTGTTCACACGGAGAGTAATTCGAATTAAACATAAAGTTTCTGCGAATTAGCTTTGCTTAGCACTCAAACTGAGAATTTAATGAGAATTAGTTTAATTCGAATTACTTTACTGTGCATTAAATTACTTCGCATTAGCTCTGTGTGAATGCTAAGCAAAGCTAATTTATATTAAATTTTAAGGCATGCATAATGGCAAAATTAGGTCAAATGCCACATGTCCGTGGTCAGCTTGAAGTATTTGTGCTATTTTTGAGTGAAAAACTAAGGAAAATTGTGTTAATCACTAAAATGTGTGTACAGACACTGTAACATTTTGTCAATACATATGCTCCTGCATAAGGTGACGTGATTTGCAAATGACATTATAATAGACTTACTGACGCCTGTCCACAGAAGCAGAATTTTAATTCGCATTAGTTTACTTCGCATTGGCTGTCATGTGAACCCAATTTAATTCGCATTATTTTGATTTGCATTAATTTACTGCGAATTAAACTCATTGTGTGAATAGGGCATGATTGTGGTACAATATTTACCAGCAATATTATTTTCAACCACTCTTTTTGTTCACTGATTACATCAATCTTTAACCACCTACCTCAAATGAAAAATAAAATGTAAGAGGCAAGGTCAATATTTTACAGACATGATATTTAAAATCCCACCCCTCAAAAATATAACAGAAATCCAATATGAGGCAATCAATATGATGTAAAATTGTCATACTCAACATGAAAAAAAACACATACATACAATAAAGTCATCAATATTTTATGATCATATTATGTTGAAGCCCTAAATCTCTTCACTCTCCCTAAAAAATAAAAAGGGCAGCTACACTGGCTCAAATGAACGGTTTACTAATTTTTATCAAGTATAGAGTAATGTAGTGACTGTGAATACATTAATTTTTATAAACAGAATACATTCCATTGATTTTTAAAATAAAATTTTAGTCTGATTATAAAATTTCAATAAGAAAATCAGTTATATTAAAAATATGGTGATAGATCCAATTTTCAACAAATCTTATGTGCAAGTTGATTCAAAAGAAGATTACAACTGATTAATCAAACTCAAATATTATATTTTCAAGCCTAATGTATTACAGAATTTACAGTAAACATCTCTAAAACCACCTATAAAACTTTGATAATTTTAGTGTGCAGACCAACCAGTAAAAACTGAAAGCATTAAGGAATCAAATGCAAACATACATGTGATGGTTTAGCTGTGTCTTCCAGATGATCATCCCGCGCCTGTGTGAGAAAATATAGACTGAAGTAAAAAAAATTTTTTTTCAAAATAATACATGACAAATTATAAGTAAAGTGATGATCATTTTTTACATCTAATGGAATGATTAACAATGATTAACAATTTACATTGGTGCATGAAGTACATAACTCACTTTGTAAATTATAGTACAAGTACTACAAATAACTGGGAAAAATGCTTGATAAACACATGATAAATCAGACTTAATTATAACTCAGGCAATCTTCACCAACCTGTTTGTTGTCTTCACTTTTCTTCTTTTCCTCTTTCAAACAAGAACTGCTTTTATAATCTATTGAAAGATATGAATTATAAAAGGTTTTTAATACAGTAAAATTCGTTTAGTACGAACACGGATATAGCGAATTCACAGCTATAACGAAGTTTTTCAAAATTCTTAACAATTCTTTGTAAAATTTGCGGTTATAACGAACTCTGATATAGCGAATTTACAGATATAGCGAACTGATTTTGAGTCCCGTAGACATTAAAAATAATGTAATTTATATCTTTCATAACGAATTTTCCATGATATCAAAATTTTATACTTTGAACTTATTTTATTTTCACTAAGTATTTGTATATAAAATTCAATTTATAATAAAACCTTACTTATTTCAAGTATGTTTTGTAATAATTGCTTTCCTAGTATATTCGGTAGAAATTCTTGAAGGTAAACGTGCATATTGCGAATTCGCTATATAAGTTATACGAAATTCGTTATACGGATATAACGAATTACGGATATAGCGAATTAAATCCACAGGTCCCCAGGACTTCGCTATAACTGAGTTTTACTGTAATTGTTTTTAGCTTTAATCATCATACCTGTTAATTAATCATAAATTTTAATTACTATAGATTCCTAAATATACATGAGGAATTAATTTTCTTGTTATTTCCCTAGAAGCCTGGGAAAGAAAAATTCTGGCTTTTATTTTTATGGTGCTGAAATCAATGTAAAATCTCTTGATTGTGAATTAATGTTTTTGCTATTTGACAATTTAGTGTACCGATTGTTAAGCGATTATTTACACATTGAGTTGTCCATAGATTTTTTCCCGATTCCGTTAATTTCCAATCATGACAAGGAGTAAACAGGGAGTGTTACCAGTCAGCAGGGGATGTTCACTCCTTCATGGCAACTAATCCCACCTCTGATGTTTTGGAGGTCCATGTTTGCTCAACTCCTTCTTTGTGATGTTTAATAGACTTTTGAGCATAAGTACCATTTGTTATCTCCACACATTTCAATGGATCTACAGCTCTTTTTTTAATTTGAGTAATCTAATCATGTCTCGGCACAAACCCTCACCAAAAACCATGACAGTTATCATTTTAACAATAGAAAGTTCTATCTTCTGTCAGGTTTGTCTGTCCGAATTTTCTCAACCAGAGAGCTACAGTTTTGCAGCTAGAACATAATTAAACACGAATAAAAGCTGAGGGCTCTGCTTTCTAAAGAGATCTTACCGTCATTTGTTTCAGCTAACTCCACTTGTGTCCCAACGTCAGATTTGTTCTTTGATTTACTTCTAATTTCGTGAAGTTCTGAACTAAGCCAATGGATCTGTTTTCTCAGGTCTTCGTTATAATCATTAGCTTTTGTAAGCTGTCTTTGGGTTCTTTCCAATTTTTTCTGGGTCTCACTGAAAGCATTCTCCAACTTCTGACACTGCTGACAACCGTCTGCTGCCCGGGATTTGTATTGCACTAAAGGCGACTCAGCTGATGTATCTTTTCTTGCTTCGTACTCTGATTTTACAATATCTTGGTTCATTAATCGAAACATAGTGTTATGAAATCAACGAGCACGACGGTGCACGCTGCAGCCCAAAGAAGTCAGTTCCATCTCTCAACTTTTGCTTTCACCATCCGCCATCATGTTTTCATTCTTGGAATTTCGAACCCGACTTAAAAAACAGAAACTACAGAAGCGTATTAGTGTCACATATAAACCTACCTTGATTTATATCCTTTTGAACATGAGATAAAAGATACCACAGAGTCTGACACATCCGTTTCATATTTGAGTATTATGCTAGAAAAAGTCATCTTTGTTAACCTAATAAAAACTTTATGATAAATTTGATGACTTCAGCTTTTCCACCGTCAACTTCTCTCATTTATGTTGCAATTAATATACCTTTACTACATCATGTATCTGCATATTGAGTTAATGATTTGAAAATGATTCGATGGCTGAGAGGATGCTCTAAGTATGAACAATTTCTGAAAAGATGGAAGCTACTGACAAGTTAGTTGATGAAACAAGGATATTATAACAGTCTTGTTTAAGGTTTATTGCTACTTGGATAAGAGAGATAACTCTTGCTTGTAAAAATAAACACCAGTTTTATTCCTTAAAAGCCTTTATAAAATTGTTGCATCAACAAGCCATTCTTGTCAAATTTTGTCCAAGATGTACTGAAATCATGTGCATTTTAATTAAAATTAATTTTTCATTTGGAAACTTACTTATAATTACTTATCCTCTTCATCCCCAATGGGACATAAGGCTTCAACAAGCTGCCTCCATCTTCCTCTATCCTTTGCCACATACTGTGCCTGCCCCCACGAGTAGCCCATTTCCTTTAACTCCGAGTTATGGTTCTTCTCCATGTTGTTCGTGGTCTACCTCGCTTCCTCTTTCCAGATGATGTCCAATGTAAAGCTGTTTTGGGTATCCTGCTCTGGGGCATTCTCATCACCTGTCCCAGCCATATCTCATTCTTCTTTGCTTGATTTCTGTTGTTATACTCCTGCTTTTTGCTTTTCTTGTGCAGGTCTCTGTTAGAGATCTTGTTTGGCCAGAAGATGCGGTGGATTTTTCGAAGACAGCTGTTGCGCAATATGCCTCTACTTTTCTCATGTCACTGTCAAGAACATGCCAGCATTCAGACCCATACAGGAGAACTGATTTGACATTGCAATGGTAAAGTTGGAGTTGTTGTTCATTGTTTCATTGCTCATGAAAGTTGTTCATTTGGAGAACATAAGCATTAAACAAAGATTTTTACGTGAGTGAGCAGTGGAAGGATGAACCTTAAAGTCAATATTCTGAAAGTTCTTTGGTCAATATATTATAATGATCTTATTCAGCAAATACAATCTAGCAAATACAACATATAGTTGAACATTGACCGACGTTTTTCATACAAATTGTTAATGTTAGGATATCACATTACGTTCATACCGAGCTGTCTATAATTGATTTTTCTACTTGTCTGATTATGACAAGAGAGGAGAAGGGCTATTTAGGGGACTGGTTGACAGGAGATACTGACTTCTCCATGGCACCTGATCCTCTGATGTCCCTGCATGCTCTATCCTGATTTGTATTGTTTTAACAGACTTGTGATCATGGTTTCTATTTGTTGTTATCTTCATGTTTAATTTATCTCGTAGCTGATTACAGTCTCATTCTTTGTCTATAATTGTATCCCTGTCATACCCTCTGAGGGCCCTTGATTAAAAGTGAGCTATTGTTTATTGTACACGTTGCATACTTTTAACAAAACTATCAGCAATAATTTAAAGAAACTGGTGTACTACTGTTGGATTCATTCAAATCTCTATGAGGCTTGTGGATAAACTTGTTAAATACAGATTTTTTTCCTCAAAATTTCAGAAGTATTTAGATGTACATCTCAAAATGAAGGAAAACTGTTTAATGCATACAGATCCCTAATGTGCTCAGATCAATATATAGCAGCATTAAAGAAACTTGTGTTTCATTTCCTTTTGTCAATGCAGAGAGCAGTTAGTCTGGTTAATATATGTGCTTTATAAACTGATGGCCCTTCCAAGAAATGATGTATGTAAACTCAACTTTTTAGCAAGAAACCTAATACTCTAAGTAGCTCTTTTAGTTATGTAGGGAACTATAAGTCTGTGGGTATTTTGTTGCATAAAAAAGTGACCATAGACAAAATAATATGATGTGAGTAGAAACAGGGTGCAGAAAATCTAAGGGTGACTTTCCCTAAACATTGTTTTTTTAAAAGGACTCTTTAGCAAAAACTGAGTTTAAGATTTAATAAAAATATTAAGGGCATAAAAAAAAACAATTTCTTGGTTCTCAGGCCCTACCTAATCCCTTCCAAGGGGCGCCTCATTGACCCTTTTTATTGCTAAATCAATAAAATAAAAACAAAAAAATCACCTCCCTCATCATTTTATGAGGTTTTGTACAATGTAAAAAGCCGCCTCATCATGTTTTTAGGGCAATAAAAAAGAAAAAAAAAATGCCCCCCTCCCTCATCATTTTCCTTGAAAAAAGGCCCGAGAACCAAGGATTTAACTTTGCATGGCCTAAGAAAATTATTCCAATAACATTTAACACGGAAACCAACAAGGTAAATAGGAAACATGTTAACTAGACATAAATGATCCTGTTTTTTTTAATACAATGAAAACTCTTAGAGCTTATGATAATCTTTTCCTATAATTTTCAATATGGTCTTTATTGTCAATATAGTATTATAATGTTTATGGTGATCACAACTTCAAAAAACAAACAAACAATGAATGAAAAAAGAAATCTACTAATCACATAGACACTGCTCATGTATCTGAAGTTAGTACAGTGGTAAATGTACAGAGTCTGGCAACCTGATTTAACATCTATACAACAACAATGTGTCATTCCTCAATATAGATGTTTATCAGTTCTGATGAGATGGGTTCCTTGTTAGAGGCACAGCTGATTACTGTTACTGGAAAAAAATCTATAAACTGTCTACAAAGTTTATTTTTTTTTAATATTTTAGAGATAAACATGATCTTCAGGATGTATTTCCAGTTTTAATGGATTTCAATTCAATGACACTGGGAGATTGGTAGGTGGCCAATTAATTACTTCACAGGTTGTTGATTTGTTGAAGAATTCCGAGTGTAACATCACGCAAAGTCTACAAATAAAATATGAGCATCAAATAAATGTAAAACCATCAATGACTTAGAAAAATATTTCAATTTCTTTTTTAAAGTGGTCATTACTATCATTGTTTTTACTATTCAGGGACATGTAAAATAATTTATAAATAACATTCTTCTCAAACATAGGAAAATCACTTTTTGATTTATCTTCTCAAACATGGAACAACCTACTCAGAATATTCACGGTGCATCCTGCTCAAACATGGTACAACCTACTCAGAATAAACATGGTACATCCTTGACCTAGACAGCATAAGGCACTTTCGATATTATTATCTATGATACATCAAGACCAGGTTCCTGGTTATCTTGCATTACTTTTGTTAATAATTTATTGCAGTTTGGGTATCTGTGTTTGTTTGTACACTGCTCTGACCTGTACAACTATAATTGTAAGTTTCTTTGGTATCACTTTCCTGCATTAAACAAAGTATTACAGTTATATTTGTCACTACCAAGTGTTGACCTGTACAACTTTAATTATAAGTTTCTTAGGTATCTTACTTTCCTGCATTAGACAAAGTATTACAGTTATATTTGTCACTACTGAGTGTTGTATATTTGTCACTACTGAGTGCTGTATAGCATATGTCTGTCTACACCAGTGTTGACTGATTACACTGAACAGAGATTAAGTCAGGCCCTTTATATAGGGGTCCTCAGATAAAGTGAGAATTCGAACAAAAATGGTGGACACATTTCTAATACGAATCATGTTCAGCTTTAACCTTGAAACTATACCTGAGGTTTACAGTACATGGTACATCCTTAACCTTGACCCTTTACCTGAGGTTTACAGTACATGGTACATCCTTAACCTTGACCCTTTACCTGAGGTTTACAGTACATGGTACATCCTTAACCTTGACCCTTTACCTGAGGTTTACAGTACATGGTACATCCTTAACCTTGACACTTTACCTGAGGTTTACAGTACTCCTCCAGCCAATTAAACACACTCCCAGACAATTCAGCAAAGTTGGACACAGATATGTTGGCATTGAAGGACTGGAACAGGTTGTCCATGATGTTCTGGAACTGTAACACAGACCCAGGCAGTTTATTAGAAGACTTTTATGTTTTGTAACTTTAACAAAATACAGGACAGCTTAGAAGAGGAGTTTGATGCAATGAAACCATATCAAAAACCAGGACAAAAAGCTTATTTTACATGTAGGTAAAATTTAAACAAAATTATAATGATCAACAACCTGTCTTTTATTTTTATCAAACATAAAACAATTCATAAGGTAAATTTTTAAATGACTCCTATAAGTAAGACTTACAAAATTAATCATGTCGACTTCTAGGCATAAAGACTAATCAATATTTACACAGACTCCTAGACATTAAGACTTTCAACTATTCACCTAGGACTCATGGATGTTTAGACTTGTACTGCATGTATTCACTGGACTTACCACTTGAAATTTCTTCTCATCTGATACAAGGTTCTGGCCATGCATGGGGGTGTTCTGGTGGGTCTTCACAATGTGTTCATAATTCCTGATAAAAGATTGAATCACTTTACACAGAGGTCACATTAACAAACGTCAAATGATAAAAAAAGACTTCATTATACCCCCCGCTTGAAAAGCGGGAGGGTATATAGTAATCGTTAATTCCATCCGTCTGTCCGTACGTCCGTCCGTCTGTTACGCTTTGGGGTACCCATCTCTTATCCGCAACTCCTCTTATACCACTCAATGAAATTTGATGAAACTTTCACAGAATCTTTATTACATATTGCCATTGTGCACCTCCTATTTTACTTTTTGATCCGACACATATTTCGGGTTTCCCATAGCAAAACATGGACACTGCCATTTATACACATATGGGAGGCGGGGGGTATCATTTAGTGGGCCCATTGCTCACAGTACCTCTAGTTTATTATTGTGTGTATACTTGTGTATATATTATTTTCCTTAAAATTATTATTTACATACACCTTCATGATTTTGAAGCCACAACTTCTTTATGTTATTTTTGTTAATGAGTTACATACGCCTTCATGATTTTGAGGGCCATGACTTCTTTATGTTATTTTCGTTAATGAGTTACATACGCCCTCATAATCTTGAGTGATATGACTTTTCTATGTTATTTTGGTTAGTGAGTTATGTACGCCTTCATGATTTTGAGGGCCATGACTTCTTTATGTTATTTTCATTATGAGTTACATACACCTTCATGATCTTGAGTGATAAAACTTCTTTATGTTATTTTCGTTATGAGTTACATACGCCTTCATGATCTTGAGTGATATAACTTCTTTATGTTATTTTCCTATGCCTTCATGATTTTGAGGGCCATGACTTCTTTATGTTATTTATGTTAATGAATTACGTATGCCTTCATGATTTTGAGTGACATGACTTCTTTATGTTATTTTTATTTTTGTTAATGAGTTATGTACGCCTTCATGATTTTGAGTGCCATGACTTCTTTATGTTATTTTTGTTAATGATTTACGTACGCCTTCATGATTTTGAGTGACATGACTTCATGTTATTTACGTTAACGAGTTACATATGCTTTCATGATTTTGAGTGACATGACTTCTTTATGTTATTTTTGTTAATGATTAACGTACGCCTTCATGATTTTGAGTGCCATGACTTCTTTATGTTATTTATGTTAATGAGTTACGTACGCCTTCATGATTTTGAGTGCCATGACTTCATGTTATTTATGTTAATGAGTTACGTATGCCTTCATGATTTTGAAGCCATGACTTCTTTATTTTATTTTCGTTATGAGTTACGTATGCCTTCATAATTTTGAGTGACATGACTTCTTTATGTTATTTTTGTTAATGAGTTACGTACGCCTTCATGATTTGAGTGCCGCGACTTCTTTATGTTTTTTACGTTAATGAGTTACGTACGCCTCCATGATTTTGAGTGACATGACTTCTTTGTTATTTTTGTTAATGAGTTAAGTACGCCTTCATGATTTTGAGTGACATGACTTCTGTATACCCAGTATTATTTTGTTTAATGAGTTCCGTACGCCTTCATGATTTTGAGTGACATGACTTCGTTATGTTATTTACATTAATGAGTTATGTATGCCTTCCTGATTTTGAGGGCCATGAATTCTTTATATTATTTACGTTAATGAGTTACATACGCCTTCATGATTTTGAGGGCCATGACTTCTGTATACTCAGTATTATTTTGTTTAATGAGTTACGTACGCCTTCATGATTTTGAGGGCCATGACTTCTTTACGTTATTTTTGTTAATGAGTTACGTACGCCTTCTTGATTTTGAGGGCCATGACTTCTTTATGTTATTTTTGTTAATGAGTTACGTACGCCTTCATGATTTTGAGTGACATGACTTCTTTATGTTATTTACGTTAATGAGTTACGTACGCCTTCATGATTTTGAGTGCCATGACTTCTTTACGTTATTTTTGTTAATGAGTTACGTACGCCTTCATGATTTTGAGTGACATGACTTCTGTATACCCAGTATTATTTTGTTTAATGAGTTACGTACGCCTTCATGATTTTGAGTGACATGACTTCTGTATACCCAGTATTATTTTGTTTAATGAGTTACGTACGCCTTCATGATTTTGAGGGCCATGACTTCTTTCCTCAGTGAGTCCAGCTCATCCTCCTGTTTCTTCTTCTGTGTGATCAGAAACTGGATGTAATCAATGGCTGAAATTGTAAACAAAGCACTGACAATTATATATATATATATCTAAAGCAGATTACTGAAAATTATACTTATCTATCTTTTTGTTGAAAATCTGACCCAAAAAAGAGTACCAGTACTTAGATTTCAGCAAATATAAAATAGATCTTTTTGTATAAATTGAGTGCTCTTGTAAAATAGTTACATCTTGTTATCAAGTATTAACAGCTCAACCTATATTCCCACTTTACAGTACAAAGACAATGCCTTCCCAATTTTGATATCCTAAATGATGATGTAACATGCTAAATTTTCTATAGTTTGGCACTGAAGTAAAACAGTTTATATAGTGGGGTTGTGTATTACTTACAGCGCTGTAGAACTGTGGCCTTGCTTAGCTTGGTATTTAAGTAGAACAGTTTATATAGTGGGGTTGTGTATTACTTACAGCGCTGTAGAACTGTGGCCTTGCTTAGCTTGGTATTTAAGTAGAACAGTTTATATAGTGGGGTTGTGTATTACTTACAGCGCTGTAGAACTGTGGCCTTGCTTAGCTTGGTATTTAAGTAGAACAGTTTATATAGTGGGGTTGTGTATTACTTACAGCGCTGTAGAACTGTGGCCTTGCTTAGCTTGGTATTTAAGTAGAACAGTTTATATAGTGGGGTTGTGTATTACTTACAGCGCTGTAGAACTGTGGCCTTGCTTAGCTTGGTATTTAAGTAGAACAGTTTATATAGTGGGGTTGTGTATTACTTACAGCGCTGTAGAACTGTGGCCTTGCTTAGCTTGGTATTTAAGTAGAACAGTTTATATAGTGGGGTTGTGTATTACTTACAGCGCTGTAGAACTGTGGCCTTGCTTAGCTTGGTATTTAAGTCGAACAGTTTATATAGTGGGTTTGTGTATTACTTACAGCGCTGTAGAACTGTGGCCTTGCTTAGCTTGGTATTTAAGTAGAACAGTTTATATAGTGGGGTTGTGTATTACTTACAGCGCTGTAGAACTGTGGCCTTGCTTAGCTTGGTATTTAAGTAGAACAGTTTATATAGTGGGGTTGTGTATTACTTACAGCGCTGTAGAACTGTGGCCTTGCTTAGCTTGGTATTTAAGTAGAACAGTTTATATAGTGGGGTTGTGTATTACTTACAGCGCTGTAGAACTGTGGCCTTGCTTAGCTTGGCATTTAAGTAGAACAGTTTATATAGTGGGGTTGTGTATCACTTACAGCGCTGTAGAACTGTGGCCTTGCTTAGCTTGGTATTTAAGTAGAACAGTTTATATAGTGGGGTTGTGTATTACTTACAGCGCTGTAGAACTGTGGCCTTGCTTAGCTTGGTATTTAAGTAGAACAGTTTATATAGTGGGGTTGTGTATTACTTACAGCGCTGTAGAACTGTGGCCTTGCTTAGCTTGGTATTTAAGTAGAACAGTTTATATAGTGGGGTTGTGTATTACTTACAGCGCTGTAGAACTGTGGCCTTGCTTAGCTTGGTATTTAAGTAGAACAGTTTATATAGTGGGGTTGTGTATTACTTACAGCGCTGTAGAACTGTGGCCTTGCTGAGCTTGGTATTTAAGTAGAACAGTTTATATAGTGGGGTTGTGTATTACTTACAGCGCTGTAGAACTGTGGCCTTGCTTAGCTTGGTATTTAAGTAGAACAGTTTATATAGTGGGGTTGTGTATTACTTACAGCGCTGTAGAACTGTGGCCTTGCTTAGCTTGGTATTTAAGTAGAACAGTTTATATAGTGGGGTTGTGTATTACTTACAGCGCTGTAGAACTGTGGCCTTGCTGAGCTTGGTATTTAAGTAGAACAGTTTATATAGTGGGGTTGTGTATTACTTACAGCGCTGTAGAACTGTGGCCTTGCTGAGCTTGGTATTTAAGTAGAACAGTTTATATAGTGGGGTTGTGTATTACTTACAGCGCTGTAGAACTGTGGCCTTGCTTAGCTTGGTATTTAAGTAGAACAGTTTATATAGTGGGGTTGTGTATTACTTACAGCGCTGTAGAACTGTGGCCTTGCTTAGCTTGGTATTTAAGTAGAACAGTTTATATAGTGGGGTTGTGTATTACTTACAGCGCTGTAGAACTGTGGCCTTGCTTAGCTTGGTATTTAAGTAGAACAGTTTATATAGTGGGGTTGTGTATTACTTACAGCGCTGTAGAACTGTGGCCTTGCTTAGCTTGGTATTTAAGTAGAACAGTTTATATAGTGGGGTTGTGTATTACTTACAGCGCTGTAGAACTGTGGCCTTGCTGAGCTTGGTACTGAAGTAGAACAGTTTATATAGAGGGGTTGTGTATTACTTACAGCGCTGTAGAACTGTGGCCTTGCTTAGCTTGGTATTTAAGTAGAACAGTTTATATAGTGGGGTTGTGTATTACTTACAGCACTGTAGAACTGTGGCCTTGCTTAGCTTGGTATTTAAGTAGAACAGTTTATATAGTGGGGTTGTGTATTACTTACAGCGCTGTAGAACTGTGGCCTTGCTTAGCTTGGTACTGAAGTAGAACAGTTTATATAGTGGGGTTGTGTATTACTTACAGCGCTGTAGAACTGTGGCCTTGCTTAGCTTGGTATTTAAGTAGAACAGTTTATATAGTGGGGTTGTGTATTACTTACAGCACTGTAGAACTGTGGCCTTGCTTAGCTTGGTACTGAAGTAGAACAGTTTATATAGTGGGGTTGTGTATTACTTACAGCGCTGTAGAACTGTGGCCTTGCTGAGCTTGGTTCCTCCTATCTGATCAGTTTGTTGACACGTGGGAACAATGTACTGCAGTTCATCATAACCTTTCTGAAATTATTTCACAGAATACTTCACTTTAAAATTCGTTTTATTCTGCCTTAAATCAAGCACATGCTTTTGAATGTAAGAAATGACTTACTGTATCAATTTTTTTGTAAGTAGCAATAACAACTATATGGTATACTTCCATATAGACACATTTAAATATATCAAAATTTTCCAGATTTACCATTTGAACTGGGTCAAAAAATCTATTTCTCATAGAAAAATAGAGCAAATATTGAAAATAATAATTCTTCAATAAATCTGTTGGTAGACTATTTGTATGTGATAAATGTACTGTTAAGTGATGTAATTCAGTATATGTGATACATATACTGTTAAGTCAATAAGTGATGTAATTCAGTATATGTGATACATGTACTGTTAAGTGATGTAATTCAGTATATGTGATACATGTACTGTTAAGTGATGTAATTCAGTATATGTGATACAAGTACTGTTAAGTGATGTAACTCAGTGTATGTGATACAAGTACTGTTAAGTGATGTAACTCAGTGTATGTGATACTTGTACTATTAAGTAACTGTTTTTACCTTGATTGCATCTCTCCTCTTTTGCTCTGCCTGAGTGTGCGCCTCTCTTCTCCTGTCTTTGTAACTCAGTGTAGGTTTACTATCACTGTCCTCATCATCTGAAAATTCACTTCAGTTAATGTCTCTGCTGTCAAACAATCAAGCTGTTTAAGCTGGGCTTCATACATGTGCATTTAATTTTGATCAAGTTTAATGTCTATCAAAAATATTCATTTATATTAACGAGGCCGAGTCTAATTCGAGTGCGCATGACTTTGCGACAGTGCACCTTTCCAAAAAATTGTGATTTTAATATAAAATTAGTATTATCTGAAATGCCAACTGGTCTGAAAATGTGAATTTACAACAATAATTGGGGGGAAAAAAGGCTAAAATGGCTCTAACGACATCACTGTTTTCCAATTTTGTAAGCAATGCATGATGCTGAAGAATGGAATATGACTCACTAATAACATGTTCGTAGATAGAACATCAGAACTTCAAGAAACATAGCAGCAATCTAACTTTTGCTATTTTTTAAACAAAAAAAATTATCTGCGCCAATAATTCATCTGCACCAATATGTATTTATACCACAGTATGGCAATTTTATAGGTATTGGGCATCGAAAAAATAAACTTTGTAATTAAGACCCAGACCAATCCTGATGGTCAACTTTTTTGAAATTTCACATTTAGTGACTTTTTACAATAACTTCCATCTACTTGACTGAAGAAGAAATCTCTAGGGCAGAAATACAAAAAATATGGAAAAATGGGATAATTTGGTGCTTTTCCAACAAATTCCCATGGGGTCCAATAGTAAAATTTGACAACTTTTGAGATTACCCCCAAAGAAATCGGGGTAGTAAGCATTTGATTTTTTAATCTTAAAACAATAAATATAACACTAAACAGTAAAATTAATTCACCAAAAATTATCGAAATCCCTAGGGTAGAAATAATTAGACTCGACCTCGTTAAATTGTGAATATCTACATTTGAAGTAAAATAATTTGTTGAATTTACTGTCACAGATATGTATAAATTAGCCAATTTGCTTACTAGTTTTTTGAGTATCTGAAAAAATTGCTGTGTGTTTCTATAGAAAATTTCACACATAAAATTAATTTATTTTAATACAGGCAGATGATGTAATACATTATTTAGAATATGAAACAGTTATTTTTCTACATAAAAAATTAAATCAATCTGTTAGCACAATACAAGAAATTAGAACTGTTAACGACAAAAAAGAACAACAAACCAGATCCTTGAGCAGAGGAAGCTGAGGAGAAACATCCAGCGGGAATAGAACCGGTGCTACTGGTCCGTGAGAAAGAGAAACGGGAATTTGCGGTCGGACTAGTATCTTCACCATCCATATCTACAATAGTAAGACAAAATGAGAAACACTTCAGGTAAAAATCAGTAGAAGTAAACCTGATTTTGTAGCAATATGAACTATACAGCAAACAAATAGTTTTATCAACAATATTTCAGCACTAGTTACAGAACTTAAATTGGTGATCTCTGATCAGAGCTACTTCACTAGCAGTAAAACTGCCTTGCACACATGTGCATATTTATGATATCAAGTCGTCACCTAGGCCTAACCAATGCATAATTTCATGGCCAATAATTGCATAATGTGTGACTGTCTAACATTTATTTACACAATGCATTACACAGAGTTATAAACTTTCAAATAGGGCCTAATTGAAAATTTAAAAAAACAACAACTTGTATCTGCGTTAATTTTTCAATGCAGTGACCCTGTATAATGTAACATAGCATGTTACGTAACATTCAATGTTCAACAGTGTTCAAAGCTAACTTTAACAGTTGATCACAAGTGACAGACATGCCAATATAATACAGTTAATTAAAACAATTATCATTCTAAAAGCTTTGAAAACAATAAAAGAAAAAACAAAACTATAAAATGACATGTTTAAAGTATACTTACCTTTCGTCAGGACATCATACCGATGGTTTCACTTTTAGGATTAAGAGTGTTGACCTTGTTTACTGTTTCTTGAACCGGATATGATTATTTTACCGAAGCAGTAGTAAAAAAAAAATTCGGATAAAATTGGAAAACGTAGATTTAGTTCTATAACTAGTCCCCACCCCAATGCACCATCTGCTTTAGCTCTATGGTTATAGTGGAATTTTTATAATGGAAGATTCGAGGGTATATATTTTTTGCCCTGTCCGTCTGTCTATCTAGCTGTCTGTTTCTCCGCAAAAACTTTAACCTTGCTCATAAATTTTGACTTTGTGGGTCTAACCCTCCATCTGTCTACAGGCGCGTAGCCAGCATTGAAATGAAGTGTACGCAGGAAATGGTCGGGGGTCTGGGGGCCGCCCTGAGGCCCCCAGTGGGTCCAGGGGGCGAAGCCCCTGGAAGCTCCTGGATTTTACGAAATTTTTCAGTCATTTTCCTTTAAAAGAAATCACGTTACATCTCTTTTCTCAAGCAAACACTTAGCTAAGTTATACTTCCATGGATACTTCAGGAAGAGAAGGATAATTTGATTAAATTAATTTACGAATATATTGGTATTGGAAAAAAAAGTTTCCAAGTGTGTCAAGATAAAATAGAGATGTAATTTAATAAGCCATCATCGGAGTTAAAGTATTTCAAAATATAAACGGGGGTGTGGGTCTTAATTTTGAAAACCTTTATATTCTGATAGCTTAAACAATGTGAGAGTACTTAAATTCTATAAATTGGTAACATCAGTAAAAGAAGATATTCATAAATGATCTATATTTTCATTTACTTTGTTAAGTAATTTGACTTTTGACTTTTTTTATTATTCATTACTTTAACGGAAATTCTTGTATAGTCGTCCAAGACCCTTGTTACTTTTTCTTTAAACCAATGTCACTTAGATCGCTTTCCTTCATCAAATACATGTATTTGTCCGGATAATCAGGATTACGCGGATTAACAGTTGGAAATTTTGATTCAACAATATTTTCTTACTCAAGAAGTGTGGAATTCATTTTATAAAAGACTGGATTTTAACAATATTCTGCACAAAAAAAATGAATAGAAACAATAAGACGTAAAATAATTTGCAAGACAGATACTGCCCCTTTTTCTCCGAATAAATCTCTCTCTTTTTTATTCTTTTTTCTTTCTTTCTTTTTTTTTTTTTTTGAAAATGATGTGTACGCACTTGCGTACTTGCGTATAGGCAGCTACGCGCCTGGTCTATCTGTATGTCTGTTTTTCTGTCATTCTGTCTGTCTGTCTATTTGTCCGCAAAATCTAAAACCTTTTTCATAACTTTGATTTAGTGGAGCTATCCCATGGCTTTCATATTTCACAGATGTGTTCCATATGATAAGACCTTTGATAAGACCTTTCTTTGGGTACCACCAAATTTGACCTTGACCTTTGAGTTTGACATACTTTTACACAAAAATACCAAACTTTTACTTTGGTATAACTTTTGAACGATTGGTGCTAGGACTTCACATATGTGTAACGTGAAGCGGTCACCCATCCAAGGGTTAAACAGGCTCGCCGTTGCTTAATTTGCCTGAAATAGAGGGAGACTCTACCGCATCACCAGAAAAGCTAGCTCACTGGCGAGGCAGTATAAGTTCCCTATATACTGTCCGCTACACTTTCCCCCGCTCAGGGAAGCTTCGACCCGAAGCTTAGCATGAGTTCCCTCTGAGTATCTGGGCCTCTTCAGCTACGGCAACCAATGCCGTTCCCGGACACAAAGTCCTAGTCTTAGTGCTTCCTGAAGCAAATCGGAACCTGACTTCAGATACGGCAACCACTGCCGTCCACAGACACGAAGTCTGTATATGGACACTAAGTCCTAGCTCTAAGACTTCCTGGAGCAGGACACCAGATACCAGAGTCACTACGCTGCCACCAATTTTGTAACGTGAAGCGGTCACCCATCCAAGGGTTAAACAGGCTCGCCGTTGCTTAACTTGCCTGAAATAGAGGGAGACTCTACCGCATCACCAGAAAAGCTAGCTCACTGGCGAGGCAGTATAAGTTCCCTATATACTGTCCGCTACTTATGTATTCTTTGTGACAAGACCTTGGATTGGATACCAACTACTTTGACCTTTTTAACTTGCCCTTGGAGATTGACCTCCCTCTAAAAACTTTAATTACCCTGTCCATAACTTTTTTAACAGTAAGGGCTAAAGCTTTCATACCTCACATATCCTTGTTACAAGACCTTTCATGGGATACCAGCAACTTTGGCCCTTTGACCTTGGAGTTTGACCTACATTTAAAAAACTTTAACCTTGGCCATTAACTTTTGAACAGGCGGTGCTAAGGTTTTCATATTTGATTTGCATTTAACTTCGTTATGTTGCCATACGAGGGCATCAAGGTTTCACAAACACATTTCTTTATATTTAAAAAAAAAAAAGTTTTATTCCACGGGACATTCGAAATTTAGGACAGGTCCATAATACGGTGCTGTGGAGCACACGTTTTTTTTCTCCTTAAAACAAGAACACATACCTTTCGTTGATTTCCAGTTTGAAAAGACTCCACATTTTTTTATCAATCGCTGGGGTAGTGTCAAAGTAAAATCCATCCCATGCCCGCAGAATATGCGAGGGGCCGGGGCACTCATCCTCACTTCTCACTTTTTCTGAATTGGACGCGTACGGTTAACAATTTTTTTTCGGGGGGGGGGGGGGTTGCTACTCGGAGTTTTGGAGGAAGTTTTGGAAGCCATCGCTTCGATACTTTTTTCCCTACAACTCACCAACCTGTAAACCCTATTTCACTTGCAGACAGCAGCTAGGAACCAAGGGGAATTGGCACCTTAGCAAATCCATATTTCCCTGGTGTGGTTTGTACTGATTTCAAAAATAAAGGTCCATCATAATAAAACAAATATCTTTCGTTCAATATACAGAAAACCATGCATTTTTTAAAGTCCAACAATAACATAATGGGGTTGGAACAGACTAACCCTTTATTCTTGTCTATGTCTTGTACTCTGATTTGGATAATACTAGTAGTATGCTAAAATTGTGTTATGTAAACATCTTGAAAAAAAAAACAACAAATTATTAGAATTTTTCAGTAAAAATGAATCAGGTACCTTGCTTCTCACCAGACATAGAGTATAGGTAATGTGGAGGGACCCAGGCTCACTTTCTATTTTTTTCTGAGACTAGTCATTTATTCATGATTTAGGCCAATTTAAAGTACTGTTTGCTTGATTTCTCCCGACTGAGGGTAAAATTATTGGGTCGGTAGGTAGGTATGAAAATCTTTTTTTTTTCCAGAAAATTTCAGTATATTTGTTGACGGGATGAGAGGAATAATTAGAAAAAAAATATATCGTGTCCTTGAATGTAAAAAAAAAAAATAGGTTTTGAATCAGACCATTTTTAATCAGTCGAGTGGGAGAGGGCAACCAGACATTTTTTAAAGGTGGCCTTCTATGGATTTTTTTTTAGCCACAGTAATACAGGTTTCGCGGCATATAATTTTTGCCATGTCCGTCCGTCCATCTTTCTGTTAATCTGTTTGTAGGCAAAAAATTTAACCATGCCCATAACTTTTCATTGCATGGACCTATGGCTTACATATCTCACAAGTGTATTCCCTAGCTTGACAATTAAGTTCTTCCTTTTGGCACCAACATACTTAACGTGCTCTTTTACCTTGCAGTTTGACACATTCTTGCATAATTTTACTTACTTTAACCTTGGCAATAACTTTTGAGCAGTTTGTGCTATGCATTTTTTACTTTATATTCCATATAACAAGAGTTTTCCTTAGATACCAATAAGTTTTACGCTCTTGGCTTGATCTTGGAATATGACAAACTTTTAAAAAACTTTAACCTTATAATTTTTGACCAGTTTTTGCTACATAATGGCTTATATATTTTACAGATGTATTTCTTGTGGCAAGAGCACTCTGACCTAGGAATTTGACATTCTTTTGAAAAACTTTCCAAACCTTTTTAACAGTTGGTGCAAGGACTTTCATTTTTTTTTTCTTGTGTATTTCTTGTGACAAGATTTTTTAGAGCTCCATTTATTTTGTACGTCGTTATAACCGATTTAGCTTTAAATACATGTATCTCGTCAAACGTTTGATTGGGTGTATTGCTTTGGTCAGTAATTTAGAGTCGGGGATCAGACTGATATATATACTCCTTTGTTTCTTCGTTATAAAATACAAAAGGCAAAAGTACAAATTTATTTCTCACCATTATCATGAGAACTTCCATACAAAGATTCAGTCTTAAGTAGAACGATTTTGTCCTTAACTTTGTATTCAGTGGAACATTTAAACGATTTTGTGATGCCATTATTAATAATACTATACGCTGTTAGATTATATTTGTCAAGATATTCTTCTGAATCAGAACTTGGTTCCACAATTAAGGCATCTCTTGACGTAATTGACGGATCTTCTTTGTAATAATTGAAAGGAGAAATAAAGAAAGACTGCAGGTCTCCCGCTGTCTGAAAAACCGGAAGTGACTCCATAGATGGAACCTTGTACGTCCTCAAAGTCACCCAGGCAACCAGATCCTGTAACATCAAAAGCAGAAATTATTGTAACTCGATCGTAGGAATAGTTTTACTATACCTGCATGTAAGTGAAACGTAAAGGAGGTGGGTCTTTCTTACGAGTTGGTAATCCGTATAGGCTACATGGCCTCAGATTTCACGCTTAGACATTACAGCATGCTTTTCAAAATTCTAGAACCAAGTATATTTTCACTTTTGTAACTTGATTCAAAGAATTGGATAAAGCCAAATTGACCGGCATTAGTAAAGATCGTCAAGAAGTTAAAACAAGTGATTCAGCAATTTTCTGTATTTGATTATGAAAGAATAAGTTTGCAGTATGAATTTAAGCGAATTTCATCTGGCTGAAATATACTGGCTGAAGTTATGTGGATATTTACCTCATCTACGATATCTTCATCATCTGAAATATAGTTCTGAAAGTTAACCACTGGTTTCTGTGAATCCCACATGGAATAGATAGAACTACTGCATCTCTCTGTATCCTTACTCTTGGTCACTGCTATGTGATAATGAGACCAGGACATTGACGGCTCATTTCCGGTTCCGGAAGACAACAGTTGTCCTGCCGCACTCCCCGTCATATGTATCCGATAACCACTAAGGTCTTTGTATTTCGTTTTGATCTTATCATTATGGAATATAAAGTACCTTTCGAAAAAGTCCTTGATTAACCCTTGTTGTTCTGTCATTTTAAGATCAGTTTTTATTTTTAATTGTTGAATAACCTTATCGTCACTGCCAGCCTCGTCCCCTGAATATATATCCTGAGTTTGTATATCGATGGTTTCAAAACGGTTGCTTGTACCATGCACGTCTAAATCTACTTTGAAATGAAATGAAAATTGTCGTATGGGTGCTATGAAGTTTTCCCGCAATCGGAATCCATAACGAGATTCTTGCGGTGCATGGAATATTCCCATTGGATATCCCGTGACAGTTACCCTTGTCTCTATCACGCCATTTAAACGAAACAACACATCAATGATAAATTCGTTACCAAGCACAGATAATATGGCTCTTAATGTTAATGAAATATCAGATAATCCCGAAAAGAAATTATTTGATGATGATCGACGAAGTGGGAAACCCGAATCTTGTTCGAACACACAGAATGCGTTATGAAGAATACTACTTTTAGGTCGACTTTCTTTTGACGTAGTAACTGAAATGTATGTAGCATGTATAGGACAGTCTACGGACGGTATCAGTGACCTAGCATGCCTTCCCAGTAAAAGACTGCTGTACAAGAGGCTTGAGTGACGTAGCCATAGGTGATGCCCGGATGAAAACGCTGCTATTTCTTGGAGACTGAGTTCATACAGAATACGGACGCTCCTGTATTTAACATCCAATAACTGTGGCCCGGATGTTGTCGACATTCTGAAGTGGAAATCCCAGTCCATGTACTGTATTCTTCCTTGTTTGACAGAATACCTGTGTCCATCCGGTTCAATCACCTTTGGACTCCGCAATCCCATAGTAGGAGTAGAGGGATTAACGGACAGTAGAATGTGTGGATCTACGGGGAATGGGATCGAAGATTTTGGCGAATTTCCAGAAATATACGCCTCTAGAACATGATCAGGAGATCTGTACTCTTGTCCAGAGTACCATATTTTTTCTATGTGGTATTTGTTTGGATCTGGCCCATCCAAATTGAATAAGATGAAAAAGTCCACAGGATTCAGCAAGGATTGTTTGACTTGGTAGTGAGTCCAATACCAAATTAAGCGGACGTTTCTTCCAGACATAGCTGGAGTTACTGGGGTGTAATAGTCCAGAATTAGACATTGTGGATCACAGTCAAAGAAGCTAGCCTCGTAACTTTCCTCTAAGACATATTTAAGCGTGACGTCGACTCGCCGCAGTAGTTTCCGGACTGCGCGGGTTTCAATGGTGGACACAGGTCTGTAGAGGTATGGGGCCGATAGTAGAAGTCTGTGATATTCTATTTTGTGCAGCGGACCAACCGAGTACTCCTCCGTCACTGGGGGAAATTTGTCACCACGGAACAACACAACACGGGCTTCTCTCGGGGGCTGAGGCCGGCCTATAAAGTCCAGAAAATCTAAAGCTGATGTTTTGTTGGGCAACAACAATTCGACGAAGTACAGATAACTCGAATTCGGTGCATAAATGTTTCTTCTTTTAAGATTAAAAGCTTTGTTGGAATACAAATAATTTTCCAGAGCTGACCACTCATTTTTTGTAAGATCTCGAAAAATTGAGTGACCTGGATCACCTTCTAGGGGTCGTTCTGTCAGTGTGACTCGATTGCAGTGTGTTGAGCCGTAAGGTTTGCGAATGATTTCGTAATAGACAACCGTCGCTGCAAAGCCAACAACGAGAGCGACCAAGAAGACGAGCAACACAAGAGAGTAAGTTTTCCATTGCCGAGCCGAGTCTCGATAATCCTCGTCCATACCATCCGATTTGCTGTAATATTATCACCTCCAGTTTTTTTAACATATTTTTTTCTTACATATAAAATATCAGAAATCAGAGTTATTTTTTACTTGAAATTCCATGCATCACAGAGATGTATTTGTTACTTTAAACTAATTGCCGAGATAAGTTTTATTTGATTAAGCGCCATGCCGTCAGCGCTACACAGAGATTCAGTGAGTACAGGACACGGCAGGAAATTTAGAAAATAAGCTTTTCACGCTTTTTAACAAAATGTCGGAAGTTGGAGCCCGATAGTTACATATGGAAGAGATAATGTGGAGATCTTGAATTCAATAGGCTAACTCTTACGTTCTTTTGTAGATAAGTAATCTTGCACTTTTTTAAAACTCTCATGTGGTATTGTACGTAATCGATCTGGTTATTTCTCATTATATATAAATTTACTTATGTATTTTTTTCTTACAAACTTATGATCTCTGAGATAGTGTGCTTGAGAGGAAAGTTATAAATCTAAAACTTTAAAAAATATTTAAATTTCTATACTATGAAGTTGAAAAATCAAATTCCAGTCCATTTTGTTACTGAAGCCAACACTTGCTTGCAGATATTACCTGATTCTGCTCAGAGTACGCCGCTATACATGCAAAAATATAAATAGATTTTCGTCATGTTAAAGGCAAAATAATTTCTCGAGATTTTATCGTTATGTCATAAAATATCCAGCAGTTTTAAAATTGATTTTTTATGTGTACCTCTGCTTTGTATATCGAACTTGTATTCAAGATACAATACTGTTATATTTTCCAAAATATATTTTCTATTTTGAAAAAAATACACTTGTATATACATGTATGCAAGTATACTAGTGTTTTTACACATGTTCTGAAAGGCAGAATTGAGTAATTTTTTAGTGAAAGAAAATGTTTAAATGAATACATGTGTAATAATATCAGATTCAACCATTCCTTGACATAAACTCAGTTCTCCCTCTCATGATTTTGTCTGTTATATTTTTGTCTCCGGTGCTTCCAGGGCGATAATGAACATATCACGACAAATACTTTCTACAGGGAATTATTTAGTTATCCCTTTTTATAACCATATGTGAGTACCACATGAGTTGATCTTCAGTTTGAATTTTACTTTGAACATTTTCCTTACTGGCAAAAGTTGAGTAGAATTTCACCCAGTGTGATACAAAAACAAACAACACAGAATAAGAACATTGAATCTCCTTTAATATAATTGTTCTCTATTCCACTAACAAAATTAAAAGAAAAGTACAGCGATTATGTTGAAAATTACAATATGTAACAACATTGTGAAATCGTGTGTCATAAATTACAAAATGTATTTTTGATGGAATGTAAAAAGTTTTTATATTTATTGCTTGGAAAAGGGAAAAACAATATAAGCTTGTGACATTTGAAGCGGCAGATTAGAAACAAGCAATTGTAATAAGTCAAACATCATCAATTAATATCATGTACTCTAATGATAAACAATCATTGTTACTAATAAATAAACACAATTGTTATTACCGTATTTATACCGCACAGACCCTTTGCAAAACAGCATCTGGACCGGAAATGACGTTAGCAATTAAAGACTAACCCTTTTCCGGTAGAGATTACGTGCTTATTTAACAGTGTTTAAGTACCGCAAACTTAGTGTGAAAACTGTGCGACATAAAACGGTATGGATATTTTTGGCAACAAGTTTTCTCATAAGAAACGTAGTTATTTGTAATATAAACACAAAAATCTACGGCACATTAATAAATATATGTAATTTTTTAAACATCCGGACACCCAATGGCGGCCTAAATTAATCTACAAAAAATAGAGGTATATGATTTCTGATAGGGGCTATACAAAGAGGTTCTAAATTATACTAGAAGCAGATATTTAACATATTGCGTCACTAATGTTTTTTTATGAAATGTCCGTCTCTGTGCTAAAAAGTGATGACTTTGTTAGTTATATAGCACTACAGCATCCGGGCATTTCTCTCCCATGTTTGTATCTGTATTTCTGTTCTCTTGGAAACCAAACGAAAATATAGGCACTATTATTAAAAATACAACCCAAATCCAAAGATCTCTTTTATACTGACCCTTACCAAAGCTGGCCTTCACGATATTTCTACACAAACATAATATCACAGACTGTATATATGGGATAAATGAAATTAAGTTCTAAATTGTGCAGATTACGCAGCGGTCATCTGCATTCGGTTTGGCGACTGAAAGCCATTGGACAGTGAATGGACACTCTCGAAAACGGGATTATACATCTTGTGACCTCGCTGGTCAGTGGAAACGAATTGGTATTGCGACTGACCCTTTTCTATTCCTATGACAGGGCAGATTTCAACTTGTTTAGGTGTATAGTCTGTGCGGTACATGGTACCATCTTCAAACTTAGATCCACTCTGGAAAGCAGTGTTGTCGGGTCTAAAGCTCTTGTTTGGCTGTAATTCATGAGGAATGAAATGAGCCTTCTGAGTGGAGAGACCCTCAAATGGCGCCGTGTTTGGATGGTATTCGTCTCGCATCATGGGTTTGTTTCTATTCATCTCCCACTTTTTGTAATCATGTGCATAACTGGTACTCCCGTCGAAGGGGGCGTTACGTGCTTTATTGGCAGACGACGGACGATGGGCGACCACTCGGTCTATCGGAAGCTCGCGGTAGGTGGCGTTATGTGTGGTGGTCATTTCCATGGTGCCATCGGGCTTCTTGTACTGCTCATGCGCATGTACATAGGGGCGTTCCATCGGCCATTTTCGATAATCGTTTCTATTGGTAGTCGTGTCTTCTAATGGTTTCCCAGAGGAGAAAGCTTGGTTATCGGGTTTAAAGCTTCGGGTGATCTCCCCTGGGTTGCCCTTATAATCTCGTTTGAACGTTGTCATGTCCTCGAAAGGTGCAGCGGGGCCCTTGTACTGTTCCTTAGGATGAACGTACTTTGGCTCCAAAGGATGTTTGATGTAGGAATCTCTGTAACCGGTCCTATCATTGAAGGGGGAATCGGACATCTGAGCCGCCTGCGGGGGCTTAATCATGCCGCGTCTTTTGGCATCATACTTGATGTAGTCATGATGCATTGTGCTTTCGCCCTCAAACCTGCTGTTGGGTGGTTGCCATGCGTCCTGGGAAACGTATGGTCCGACTCGACCGGACATGTCCCATTTCCTATAGTCAGCTGAAATATTAAAATGAGAATGTCATTCAAGTATAGTTTATTTTTGCTCTTCTGTTTACAGGTACCATGAAGAGTGAAATCGCAAAATTGTCTCAAAGACTTACATTTGTAGGTGGGTTCCCCCTCGAATTTGCCCTGGGCCTGGCGCTGTCCGTCATGCTTTATCGCCCTCGCCGGTTCCTGATACTTCTCTGAAAATATTATTAGGAAGAAAGCTTAAACATACGCTTGATATTATCAAGTTCAGTCCAATTTTTTTTTTACAAATACATGTAATATTTGAAAATCCATAAAAAAAATCTACGTATAAAAATCTATTAACTTTGGCTTCTAGTTATTGGAAGCAATGCGATCGAAGGGGAAGGAATTAGTTGACTGCCAGTTTAATGACTAAAACACATTTTCAAGTGATTATGAAAAAATTAGGTTTTTTACTAAGAGCTAATTTAAAAGAGAAGTAAATATCACTCGCAGCGAAATCGCGTATGAAATAGACTGGATATACATGTATTGTGCTAAAATGACGCGTTCATTTTCTCAATTTAATAAACGAATATAAGTTCAGTATCTGACGCCGTAATCAATTTAATTTGCTTCGAACACACCCGTTCCGAAAAAAAACTGTTGTTCCTTTAGCAAAATACTTCATAGCAGATATATAATGATGTTTGAAAATGATAATGTGTTTGTTATAACGAAATGCCTCAAACAATTAATGACACGTATTATGTTTTTACTGTTATCAGATATAAAATATCTATTTGCATAATGTGAAAGTTCTAATGAAGATATAATTTGAATTTAAGGTTGAGCAAACGGGCAGGTATTACAAAAACTTGAGTTAGAAAGGAAAAAGGGGGGAGGGTACGAATGCTTTTCTTCTTGGGACAATTAGTACCCTGAATCAGAAATATGCCTTCGATTTCCCACGTTTCACTTCCAATATGAAAGATGCCAATTACTGGGTCGTAAAATATTTACGAAGCAAGAAAACCATTGTCCTATTTTTGTTAATTAGTCAACAAAATATTAGGTTAGGACACGTTTGTTGTAAACGTATGTATATCGGCGGGGGAAATCATGTTCTTGTTTACCATCTGAACCATGACTACGCCCTCAATAATATATGATGGTATACGAATATGCTTTGTTGACTCTGGGTATTATAATTGCTCTAAACGGTTTATCAAAATAATTCATGATTTTACGATCCTGGAAGAGATTTTCTAGACATTTAAATAAGTTAAGCCTAATAAGGTTAAATATCTGTATCAAAACACACGGAAGAAAGTTGGCGTAACAGAACATGGACAAAGCGGTATTTATACGGTACTTCAGCAGTGGTGTGCACCAAAGTCCGACTCGTTGTGATTTACAGAAAGAGTTTTTAATGGAAATTTCACAGCCAAAAAAAGATTTCAAATAATGTTGATATAAATAAAGTCATGAACAAATAAGTAAGACAATCACACACGCACAGAGGATAAAAAACTAGTATTACGCAGCATTAGACGGACATCAATATTAGGGTATAGATATCAATAACTTTGCTATATATCTGTCCCTGTTTCTAGGTAGGGACACCCATCTGTATATGGAAACGTGGGGGCTCCAATCAACGGAAAAGTGCGACACGGAGGTTAGGGAGCAACTCACGATCCAAAACCGGAGTCTGGAGATATACGTAAAGAGCGGAATCCAACGATATAAGCCTTTACCAAAAATACACTTAGAAGTGTTTACCGAAAATTTATTACAGAGATTAAAAGTTTTCCGATAAGAGAATGAAGATCTCTCGTGTAAACTGATACACGGCTCATGGT